ATGATGGACAACATTGTTGCCTCCAAGCTATACCGCAAGGGTTCGGTCGGCTACGTCTCCAAGTCTGGAGGTATGTCCAACGAGCTCAACAACATCATCGCCAACAACACCGACGGTGTCTACGAGGGTGTTGCCATTGGCGGTGACAGATACCCCGGAACCACCTTCATCGACCACTTGCTCAGGTACCAGGCCGACCCCGACTGCAAGATCCTTGTCCTGCTCGGTGAAGTTGGTGGTGTTGAGGAGTACAAGGTCATCAAGGCCGTCGAGGACGGCGTCATCACTAAGCCCATCGTTGCCTGGGCCATTGGTACCTGTGCCAGCATGTTCAAGACTGAGGTTCAGTTCGGTCACGCCGGTGCTTTCGCCAACTCCACCCTGGAGACGGCCAAGACCAAGAATGAGAAGATGAAGGAGGCTGGCTTCTACGTCCCCGAGACTTTCGAGGACATGCCCCAGGTCCTTAAGGCTCTCTACGACAGCCTGGTCAAGAACGGCACCATCAAGCCCCAGCCTGAGCCTGTTGTTCCCAAGATCCCTATTGACTACTCTTGGGCCCAGGAGCTTGGTCTTATTCGTAAGCCCGCTGCCTTCATCTCTACCATCTCCGACGACCGTGGCCAGGAACTCCTGTACGCCGGCATGCCCATCTCGGACGTGTTCAAGGAAGAGATCGGAATTGGCGGTGTCATGTCCCTCCTGTGGTTCCGTCGCCGCCTGCCCCCCTACGCCTCCAAGTTTCTTGAGATGGTTCTCATGCTCACTGCCGACCACGGCCCCGCCGTGTCCGGTGCCATGAACACCATCATCACGACCCGTGCTGGCAAGGACCTCATTTCCTCGCTCGTTGCTGGTCTGTTGACCATTGGTTCCCGCTTCGGTGGTGCCCTTGACGGCGCCGCTGAGGAGTTCACCAAGGCCTTCGACAAGGGCCTGAGCCCCCGTGAGTTCGTCGATAACATGCGCAAGGCGAACAAGCTCATTCCCGGTATTGGCCACCGCGTCAAGTCTCGCAACAACCCCGATCTCCGTGTCGAGCTTGTCAAGGAGTACGTCAAGGCCAAGTTCCCCTCCCACAAGCTGCTCGACTACGCCCTGGCCGTCGAGACTGTCACCACGTCGAAGAAGGACAACCTCATTCTCAACGTCGACGGCTGCATCGCTGTCTGCTTCGTCGACCTCATGCGCAACTGCGGCGCTTTCTCCTCCGAAGAGGCCGAGGACTACCTCAAGATGGGTGTCCTCAACGGCCTGTTCGTCCTTGGTCGTTCCATCGGTCTCATTGCCCACTACCTCGACCAGAAGAGACTGCGCACTGGTCTGTACCGTCACCCGTGGGATGACATTACCTACATCCTTCCCCAGCTCGGCTCCGGCCCGCCAGGCGCCGAGGGCAGAGTGGAGGTTCAGATGTAAAGGGTTAAGGGTTAGCGGCGGAAGGTTATGGGTTGCCACGGGATGTGGCTATAGAAATGGAGTAAATGATTTTAACGTCATGCGAGGGATGATGGTGTGCTAAATGGCGTCTTGTACGACAAGCTATATACGTGTAGTGCTGCGTAGTCCCTCCGGGATATACTAATGGTTTTGCCCGTTTATTGTTCCAAAACTGCCAGGGATGTCACGCATGATGCCTTGTCTTGGCTTTGCGGCGGTATTCTTATGGACAACTGCACAGACGCCTGCCGTTTGCACACCAGAGACACCAATGGCGTCTGCGCTTCTTAGTCGCCACTGTTTCCCTGGATGATTTGGATCAGACCTGAAGTGAAAAAGCAAACTTGAAATATCCGATATCATTGGTTTCTGCGGCCAGTGCGCAAGATTAACCACGTCTCGTACCAAGCGTCAATTAGAGGGTTTCAATATCAGAAAAGTGCAATCAGCAGTGTGAGGAGGACTTGGAAGCACACCCTCCTGTCGTGGCCATGGCCAAGTCTTTCAAACATAGTTGCGGTGTGTGGAGTTCACCGTTCCGCGAGGGGGAGGGGGGGCTCTAACCCCCGTTTCCACCATTGTTTGTGAGGCATGACAAACGGGGTTAACGCACTTCCGCTAACAGAGGAAGGCAAAGCGGCAAGCAGAGTGGTGTTCTTGCCGAGTTTCCTTTTTTGATCGGCTGCATGTTCGAGACGTGATGGCTTCGCGCACCAAGGTTTCTGCGTCTGCCAGCAAGAATATGTGAGGGGCGGGAGTTGCCGCATAATGCAGATTAGCCGTAGCGAAAGGTCTTTCTGTGTCGTTGGGTTTGCTGGCATCCCTCATATAGAAGCCGGGCCGACTCTGGGTCGGATTCGCCATACGATGACTCCGCAGTTTTGGATTCAAGCTGCTTGTTATGACAGCAAAGAGGCCCAGACCAGCTACGAGATGCCTGTTTAATGGTGGATGGAGTATTGCAGTCCCCAAGGCGTCTACTAGTTGGAAACTGGACGACATAGCAATACAGTGCTCTTGAAACTGACCAACCCAGCAGTCTTGTACTCAGCGCTTGACCTACGATGCTCTCTTGATGCGAAACTGTTAAACGCTCATTGGCAGGACTGGGGGCTAGCGAGCTCCTGAAATATACGAGTCTCTTTCATCTATGAATGATTGCGGCGTAGAATGGCTTAGAATTTGATACCTGCGCTCCGAGGACTGCGATACACGCCTTGGGCGTGTTTAAGGAACCATTCTCCAGGAGGTCGTGAGCCACAGGCCTCAACGAGCTCCTGGGTCACGGGCCCCTTCGTTCTAAACCGGCAAATCCCTCAGAGCTTGTCAGTTAATTCGTCTTCCAAAGGTCATAGAGAATGTAGATGACACAGACGTGAAAACCCTAGAGACTTCGTCGGTATGTTGTGGTGACTGCCCCCAAAAGTCAGCGTAAAAAAGAAATCCATACACATATGATAGCATCGGCCTCGTCTCTTTCCGCTACTGCCTTTATCTTTGGGCGACCCATCCAATTAGTGGCGTATCAATATACTACTAATGATTCTCTCCGGAATTTCACAGCAACATACGCACTGAGACTATGGTACAATACAAACATTATTATCAGTCAGTCTCTGATCAATGCCGAAGCTTTTACAGAGACGGGTCTATACAATGCAAGACTCGGTCTACACTTGGTTCTTGTCTGGTTCAACATTACCGTCATGTTCACTGATAGTCAGCAATACTGGTGTTATGTGCAAGTAGAGCTGTTGAACAGGGGTTCGATGTTCCACTTCACAGTATCCGTAAACTAATGAAGATGACCATACATGACTGTTATTGGAGAGCTTGCTGGAGAATCCGAATGGGGGCATGGGACCAAGCTCATCGGATTCGCCAATCACGCGTCCCTGTGATGGATAACAGGCCACCTCAATCTTCTCGTTCCTGTTCGCGGCGTATTCTAATGCCAATGCTTATTATGCCTGGAGCATTACTCGACTTTTCAGACCATGCGGGTCTTGAGAGTCTCCTTGCAAGCTCGAGTGAAATACTCTTTCAAGATTGATTTATGGACTCAAGCAAAGGTTTGAATCCAAATAAAGCTCCGGTTCCAAATGGCCTGTTCAGTCCTACGATTGAATTTGTGTGTATGGTTGGTGAGCATCAGCTACTCGGATGAGGTCGAAGCGAGTAGGTAATTCAGAGTGGAACCCATCAGTCCCTACCTACATGACATCCGGAACCCACCCGGCAACTTCCGCCGCGAACAGCGCACGGGCCATCGAAATCCCAACAGCAGCTGGAAGATCATTGAATTTTGGATCCTTTCGATCGCAAGACCACTTTAGAAGCTATTTGAGAGCAGGTCGTTTCCTTGAAGCCCAGTCATCACGGCATTGCGACACCGACGAACGGAAACCTTCGGAAGAGACTCAGCTGTATGTTGATTGAATTCTAAAGCTTATTGATCTAGCTGAGCTAACAGCATCCCTTTTTTAGAAGCGATCACCAAAACCCTCGAGACGAAAACCCAACGAACGCGACCGCGGCGCAAACCGATCGCCACGAGCACCTCTCACCTCCGGACAACCCCTCTACTGTCAGACCGCCCCCTAAAGACGCCCCAAAGACGCCTCATTATGTCCTTCTTCCGCATTACCCTCCACCGCTCCGCCATCGGCCTGCCTAAGAGCACCCGCGGCGTCCTCGAGGCCCTCGGCCTGCGCCGCCGCTCCCAGACCGTCTTCCACCCCGTCAACCCCCAGTTCGCCGGTATGATCCTCAAGGTCAAGGAGCTCGTACGCGTAGAGGAGGTCGACCGCGCCATGACCCAGCCCGAGCTGCGCGAGCTGCGGAGGCCGGACCCCGGGTTCTACGTCGAGAAGGCCGTTGCACGGTGAAGTTTGCCATTAGAGGGCTTTGCGAGGCAAAAGGGGGAGAATAATTCGAGATCGAGGAGGTGGAGACGGACAGAAATGGTGTATGGACACGCATCGGCATTCATATAGGAGAGAGGGGGTTGTCTTTTGGCATTAGAAAGCCCCGTGACGGACTCGGGAGGAAAATGTCGACCACCTGTAACATCACCACGAAAACAAAACCTGTACAAGATCATGGCAGAATATACAACGGCATACGCAAGCAAGGCTGTTTGCGCGGAATAAAATAAAAGCTCACTCAACGTCGAGGAATTCAAGCCCGTGATAAGCCGTTTTGTCGACCTCGAGGCCGCTAGTTGTGTTGATAACACGGGCGCGGAGCCGCGAAGAATGGCCGTGTAAGACGTTTAAGAATCGTGACCAATGCCCTCGCCGTTCTCAGGCGGAAATATCCTGTAGGGCTGCTCTGTAGAAAAAGAGTTCTGATTATGTACTTGTCCCAACCCTTCATACTGGTTAATAGAGCCCGATGCTAACAGGCCGTACAAAAATAAAATGTTGTCCTTCCACGCCCTCCAAGTGTGTATCCCGAGAGATGCAAAAGACGTAAGAAAATTGAGCTGAAACAGCCTACAGTCTTGTATAGGAAAAGGACCGTCGGATTCAGGATAATTCAGGATTAGACCTGGCCGCCTAGAAACTCCGTGCCTTGTTGATGTACTCCTGAGAAGGGGTTTCGTACTCGCTGACGAAGTAACTCTTCGCATTCTTGCCAAGCCAGACGGTAAGCTTTGAGAGCTCTTCACGCAAACGCGAAACAGACTGTTGATCCATGTTTGTCTGGGCAACGAGCTCGGGCAAGGATACTGTTCGGGTTAGCAACGCTGCAGACTACTTGGTGGACTAGACTTACCCATCAGACGGCACAAGTGCTCAGGACCGTACGTGTCGCAGACAGACTTGTGCTTATCATTCTCCGCTGCCTTTTCCCACATCTTACGGACCTCATGGTACTGAGGACGCTCAAACCTACAACCGTATTAGCGGGACCAAGTCATTTAAGAAGCGTGCAAGTCACATACCGGTACAGAAGGATCCGGCTCAATGACTTCTCAAAGTATTCGCGAAGACCAGCGACGACTTCTTCAAGAATGTCCATATTTGCCGAGCCATCTTCTCGGTTGGGACGCTCATAGTTGAGATAGTCGTTCAGAATCTCATCCACGGGGTGGGGATGAGGGAGCGGAACCAGTTGGTTATTCTTCGTGATGTTTTCCCAGTCGTCGACAAGCATTGCCTTGATATGGTCAGGAATGGGCAGCTTGATGGATGGGCGTGCATGAAATCCATCCTCCTATTCATGTTTGATTAGCGCTTGCCCTAAGGACGACAAACTCTTTGCGGTAAGGAAATATAGAAAAATGCAAGATGATCAAGGCCGCTGGGCTTATTGATCAAGTTTGTTTCCTCCGGTTGTCATTCGGTTTGCCAGCCTACGATCGTTTCAGACCGTATCTGTCTATGTCGTATTTTTGCAAACTCACTACCATGTTTTCTTCCTCCTTGAGCTGTGGAAAACGAGCAGGAGACTTGACGCGCGTGGGCTGTTGCCTTGTGTTACGGTTTGTGGCCGACCTTCCGCAGCGACCATTGTAGTATAGCCTGCCACCCTTGGATACACCGAGCCTGGATGGCGGGGGTGCCGTGACCAGGTAGTCTGATGCAAGGCGTGGTTCCGCCCATGTGAGTTCTTTCCCATTACGGGGTCGTCGACGCACCGAACTAGCCGGCTCGGGTCTGTGAGACATACAAGTCATGGCGGCCTGTTCTGCGTCTCGCGAGGGCGGAAGGAACCAAAAGTGTCCTGAGCGAGAGTGAAGATCGAGGCGCGGAAAAAGGCGAGTGTTGGCTGTGGAAAAAGCGTCGGAATATGATGCAGGTGAAGAAGTATCAAGTTGCGAAAAGGAAATGCGCTGCCGACAAAGCCTAGGAAGCTAGGACGAGCCGGTTGTCCAAGGCAGGGGCGGCAGATAGTGGCTCTTGCCAAAGCGGCCGCCCACATAGGGGAACCAGCCGCAAACGCTGGTATTGGCCTGGTGAACCAACGCATACTTTTTAATGTCGCCCAGGTCGAACATTGCGTTGGAACTCAAAGAGAAATTCAACACTGTTCTCCCGCTTCCGCTTGTTGCATCTCGGACATACGTTCTCTCGTGTAGGCTCCTCGACTGAGTCCACAACAGACATATGCTTGATTTTTTTAAGATTGACATCCTTCTGATCTTGAAGATCTTGCATAGGGATAGCATGGTGCTCGAAGTTGTCTCGCTCTTGTCCCCCATACTCGGAGGCATCTTTTGGTGTGGCATCGCGGTACTGGCTGATGTCATTGATGGGCATGATAGGTGATACGCCGAGGAGCTCAACGCTTGAGCTGCATTCGCTGCTTTCACTACCAAGGTCGTCGAGAACTCCTAGACCGCTGGACTCGCTCTCGTCACTGGAGATGCTGATGACGCTTAAAGCTCTGCCCTGACTTGATTGAATGTTGGTTCTGGGCGAAAGAGAAGGTGAGAGAGGGCCCCTCATGAGTACCTGCCAGTTCATCTCATTCCACTGAGGTAAGAACGCGTCGTATCGTCTCTCAACCTCCTCGGCAGATGGAGAGTCGTCCAGACCTGTCAGAACGAAGCGATAACATTGCGGATTGACCTGAGCTACCCAGTCGATGTCTTCGTTGTCTTCGTTGTCTTCGTTGTCGTCGTCCTCGACAAACGGTTCACCGGATCCATTGATCTCTTGGCTACCCGTCCCATGAACTGCTTCCTCTTCATCACCGCCCAAGTAGTTTTCTCCCAAGAGTTGATTTCCGTAAAGGCCCCCAGTGAGGCCGTCGTAATCTTGGTACGAAGTACTCATCTTTGTGGGCGGTATGGATTTTGACGAGAGCGATGTCTAGAGTTTTTCGAGATCGAAAAAAAGAACCCAAGAAGTGCTGATGAATATAAAGTTGCCGGTGGGTTTCCAATCGAAGCCAGCGAGTTGCTGGTTAAGCGAACCTTGCGGCGGCCAGAGAAATGTGATTGAACGCGAGAAAAAGTGAGTTGTCGCGGATGCGGCCCGGCCAGTCAAACTTTTTGAGTGAGGAAGGTGGTAGACCAGCAGGTACCTCGAAGGACGTCCAACTGATGGAATGTTTTCATCTTTCGATCGGACAGCCCTCAACCACCCAGCGGTGAATAAGACGGCAAGATTCGAAGGCTAGTGATACTGCAGCTCTGCACTGGAGCCTCGACGGCCCCACCCTAGATGATGCTATTCACCCCTTTTTGTCCTTTATCCACCTTCCTCTCTGTGTGTCCGTTTGTTTGATGAACACATACAATGTGCTTCTACTGTAGTTCTCCGAATAATGACAACCAGAGGATAGAAAGAAAACAGCAGAAACACAGAACAGAAAGTAAAACAGAAGAAAATCGTATGTTTCACTACTCACCTGCTCAAGGTCAAAGTCTCGTGCCCGTCGAGGGCCCCGGCCACTGGCGGCGACTCCCGAGGTTCGCTCTTCACTACCACGAGCCGAATCGGTGCCGTTGACGCGAAGACCCTTCTTGGGGGCTTTGGCGCTGTTCTTCTGGCGCAAGTCCTTCATCTGGGCGTGCAGGGTGCTAGCCAGCTCCTTGTTTTCCTCAGTAAACTTGCGGATGCGGTCGATGGAAACCCAGTCGTCCCAGGTATTCTTCCAGCCCTTGTAGTGGATACGGTACTGAAAGCCTTCGCCGCTATCGGCGGGCTGGACGTCGAGAATCTTGGCCTCATACAGCATCTCACCATGGAAGCAGAGAACCTTCTCGTCCTTGGTGAACGGCTGGGCTGGTTGGCGTGCGGGTGCCATGACCAATGTGTGCGAACGTGAAGGCAATGGGTCGATACGATTAATCTGTTGAGAATACAGACAGCCGGGTCTCGCTGACAGCTTAGATGCAGTCGAGAAGTTGATGAGCCAAAGGGGCAATGAAGTCAAATTCTCGGACAGTGCGCGGCAACGCAAGACACAGCCAACGCCGGGTGTATTTGGCACAAATATTAGAGGATTGAGGTCCCTGAATACAGTGCGAATGGTGAGCAATCGAGGCACCTTGACCGATCCGGATCACAGTGCTGGATGGGTCGCTAGCACAGTATGCACCTGAGGATCAAATTAGTTTCTGGTCCGAACCACGAGATGTATGGAGGGAAAGACAGTCTCACAGTGATATGACAAAGTTGCTGAAAGTTCTAGGCAAACAGTACGGTCGTTGGGGAACCTTCGCCCGAGGTTGTAGTCGTTGGTGAATGAGATGAAGATGGCAAGCTGTGGGAATTATTCCTACGGAGTGAAACGCGACTCTGCTGCGGCTCATTAACGCGTTCCCGCCAGGAAACCGCACCGCGTCGCTCATGCCTGCCCCCCAGCAAGCGCCACACTTTCACACTTGCCCGGTACGGAGTCCACTACACATAGACCTCATTCAAACACACCCCTGCCTTTTACTCTCGCTCGAGAGGATATCAAGAAGTCAGTCGCGCTCACCTCGAAGGCTCTTATCGCTTGCTACCCTCCCTCATCGGCATTGAATTATACCTGGGCCAGTGTCGCATAATCTCGCCATGGCACCCACCGAGTCCGCCATTTTGCACAATTACCTGACTTCCCCGGCCCAGCTACCCTCCGCCATCACACTCGAGGAGTTCACCGAACTCTTCCCCAAGGCGCACCGCGCCAACCCGCAAATCCGCTCTCTGTACCGCGATTTGCAGCACCAGAGGAGAGTGCTTGTCGACACAGTTACAGAAAACATCACAGCCGAGGAGAAACGCGGGAGGGCCATCAAGCGCGAGATTGCCCGTGCCCGAATCCGCGCGGCAGACGAGGATGCCGACCTCGAGCTTGAGATTGAAAGAGCTGTAAGTTGACAGTCCTGGCCGCAGGTCATTCGGGAGACAAGATTGCGGGCCTAACAGCAATACGCAGCTTTTTGGCTCGATGGGGGCGCAAGACGCCAAACACACTCTGAACTCTATCGTCCCAGAGATGGATGTGGCCATAGCCGATCTCGAAGCAGAGATCCAGAAGCTCGAGGCACAGGAAGCGACCTTGCTGGACTCAATCAAACAGACAGTCGGCACCATGAGTGATCTGCGCTACGGGCGTCTTTCCAACCCCAAACTCAAGGAAGACGTTATTCAAGGTCTCAAAAGCGTACAAGAGGCGTGCGACGGAAAAAGTTGATCAACTAAAGATTACTAATTTGGCACTGCATGATCCAAATGACCTGGGACCTCAGCCGCTTCCCTGACTTGCCTGGATTTCCCGGTACGCCAAAAACCGTAGCCTCGTGTCCTGTAGCTTCTCCTCCACCGGTCAGTGCGCTCAATTTACCGCGCGGCACTGCCAGCAGGGGCAGCGCCAGCAGCTGCGTTTTGGCGGCGGTCGATGGTGTTGTTCATGCGGCGGTTCATGATAGTACGGCTGCCAAAGGAGACGAGGAGCATGAAAAGCCAGTTGGGGATAAGGTTAAAGGCCCAGAACAAGTAGCCAACGGGGAGGGTCAGGTTGTTCTTGCCGACGAAGCTGTTAAAGGGGTGGAAGATGTTCTCCGTCAGAATCCAGTCCTCCTTGGACTTGTTCTTCCACAGGTCAATAATGTCGTCCGAGGTGGTGGTTGTTACGTTGAGGCGCTTCCTGTAGATGTCGATCTCGGATCCAGCAGGCAACATGCCGATGGACCAGATGGACGCGGTGCCTGCAGATATGCCGTTGCAGAGGACGGGCTGATCGTCACAGTTCAGAAGACCCAGGTGGGGAGATTCGGGAAGCTTAGCGAATTTTGTCGCACTCTCGTTGAAGGCGGTCTCGATCTTATCGCAGTGACCTGTAGGACACGATCAGTACTGAGATGAAGGAAGCATGTCATGTTGCGAAGGCGACCAAACATACCGAAGCAAGTCTTGTTGCCGCCAGTGATCAGGACCCACCACTCCTCAGGAGTTGTGGCCTCAGCCTTGACAGGCTCGTGGAGAACATCCTTCCAGTTCTCGATGGTCAGGACGGAGATCTTCTTGGCGGGCGTCGCAGCGGGCGCGGCGCCGTTGGGGGCAGCAGCGGCAGGTGTATCCGCGCTAGGGGCGGACGCGCCAAAGGAGCTCAAGAAGTTCTGGAACTGCGCCTTGTACTGCTCAAAGGGCGACTCTGCTGCTGTCGCAAGCAGCGGAAGTGCGAGAATAGTAGTGGCGGACACGCGCATTTTGATGAGAGTGTTTGGTGGAGTGGGTTGCAAGGTAAAGGTAGATGTTGAGAGAGAGAGAGAGAGAGAGAGGTAGCTTGTGACAGGTGTCGCAATCAGGCGGCCAAGCTATGGTGGGTGGTGAGGGGAAAGGGCAATTACAAGAGTGAGAGCAAAGCGAGAAGGTGCCGCCAGCTACAACACAGGTCAAGGAGGGACGATAAGTACAGGATGAAGGGTGGAAGTTCAGAAAGCAGCCTGGATTTGGCGCGGAGTTGAAATTGGGGGAAAAGGCCACAAGGTCAATACTGCGGAAAAAAAAAAGTGGAAGGGTGAGGAACAAGGTAGATAGAGCAATAAGGACCCTTTGGAGCGCCCAGGTGTGTGGTGCGGCCTGCTTTCTCCTGAACCTTGCTCGGTTGGTGATCCAAATGGGAAATCACGGCCCAGGAGCTTTGGTCGCTGGGGGGGCAGGAAGCCGCAGGACTGTGAAACCCACTGGGAAAGGAGCTTATATACTTAACCCTCTTTAGGGCAGGCTTAAGGGTCCTAGCCTAACTACCTCCTCTGCTGTCAGTCAGCGTCATTTGGGGAAGAAGCCTTGGTGGAACGCTGGTCCGGGGTAACAGCCACACTTGGTCGCGCCACGGGTCCGCCAGAGAGAAAAAAGCCTTTGGTAACGGCCAGTCTTAGCCTGAACCAGCCACAGTCACAAAGGTGACGAAGCGCGAGGTGAGGTACGTACCCAGCTTAGAGAGGAGACGCGTTTGGATGTCGACTTGGAAGATCTCACGAGGCATACACCTCCATTTACAATCGTGCAGAAGTACCGACGGCGCACTACTTCACAATGGTAGGCACGGTCTACTTGGTACGCTTGACATGACCTGACACAGTCTTAGCCCCCAAAACCTGCGGACCAGAAGCGAAAACGCGGTCGTCCCTCTAACGCGCCCAAAGTCGCCGACGCGTCGCTAGAGTCTCTCGAGGTCGGAGAAACAGAGCTCTACAACCTGGCCGAAGTTGCTGTGAATACTACAACTCCAGCCAAGCGCGGCCGGCCGAAGAAGAATACGAATCCAGAACCGTCGTCTTCCACCGGGGAACCGAATACGAAAAAACGAGGGAGACCAAGGCGAGAGGCGGCGGCTGAGAAGAAGGCGATAGGGGAGGATCCTGAACCGGCGCAACCGAATCATAAGTCAAGAAGGGCTGCGGATAGTATCACGAACAACGTTGAGGGAGCTGCTGATGAAGGCGAGTCATCGCAGCTAGCGGGCAAATCTACCAGGAGCAAACGGAACCGCAAGGCAGCGCAGGAGGCAAACGGTGAAGCCAGGGTCGAAGAAGGATCCAGCCCAAATGACGAAGCCAAGAAGAAACGCGGCAAACCGCCGAAGGTAGCAGAGGCGCCTACTGGAGATGCGACAGAGTCTGAACTGGCCCCGAAGAAGAAACGAGGGCGCCCATCTCTGAACAAAGAGTCTGTCGCAAAGGAGCCTGCCGAAGCCGCCGAGGACGAGCCCGCGCCTAAAAAACGAGGGCGAAAACCTAAGGAAAGGTCTGGCGACGCTGAAGAGCCGGTCCCCGAGGAAGTGGCCGAGGTTGAAGCAGCGTCTAAAAAGAAACGCGGACGGCCATCTTTGAGCGAGAAACATGTCACAAAGGATCTTGCTGAAACGGCTGATAAAGAACTCGCGCCTAAGAAACGTGGGCGCAAACCGAAGGCCGTAATGGAGCCCGAGGACCATCCAGTGGAAGAGGAACCGGCCGCCGCAAAGCAGAAGCGCGGTCGCCCTGCGATTCATCCCGAGCTGGAAGTCCAGGAGACATCGCAGTCGGAGCTAAAGGGGGTCCGCAGGCGGAAAGGGAGGCCGCCATCCCCAACAGAAGAGCCATGGGTGGAGAAGCCGACAAAGAAACGGCGGAAGCGGCTCTCTCAAGGTGAAGAAGAGACTTCAGAACCATCTCCGGAAACACAACGCCGCCGTCCGGGTCGTCCCCGAACCTCAGACGCAGCATCATCCGCACACGCCCCTGAAGACCAGGCCTCCAAGCCCCGCAAGTCCAAGAAGCGCCCGTCAGGAGACGACGACGCAACGGACCAAGTGCCGGCAAAGAAACGCCGCCGCCGAACATCTGAGGAGATCCGACAGCAACAGCAGCAGCAGCAGCAACAACAGCCCAGGACTGAACCAGTCACGGCCCGTCCAACCTTGAAGTACCGTCACATCGCTCCCCGCGCCCGCCAAATCCCCCGCTCGATGATCGAGGAGAACTGGTCACCCCTCGCGCCGCAATCCCTCGCCCACGTCTCCAGCCTCCTCCGCCTCTCCGAGCGCCCCGTCCTGCAACGCCTCGCTGCCAACGAGAAACGCCGCGACCAGGCCGCCTCGGCCATCCGCCTCGTCACGAGACGCCTCACAAAGAAGCTGTCCCGCGGCCTCCCCTTCCCCCCGGCCACCGCCCCTCCCACGGGATCCAGAAGCTCAAAGAAGCATGACACTGACGGTGGCCGCACGGAGGAGCTCAACTTCGAGCGTGTCATCGAGGATGTCGCGGCGCTGGAGAAGCAGCTCGACCCGCTGCTGCACGCCATCAAGCTCCTCAAGGCCGAGAAGGAGCGCGATGAGAGGGCGCTGGAGGCGGACTACGAAAGCCTGACAATGCTTGAGGCCAACGCAAGGTCTGAGGCCAGGAACTTCAAGGACAACCTCCGCAAGACGCACGTCCTCGTCCCCGAGAAAAAAGGGAGTGCAGGGGCCGCCGGCCGCGACGTCGGCGGGAACGAGCACGACTTCAAGTTTGTCCCCGACGAGAACGTCAGTGGGACTCTATTCAAGGTACGTCACCCACCACCGCCTCGTGCCGTCTGGCCGACATTAGCAGCGGCGTTGTCAGCCTCCGCACATGTATCCGCACCGCTAACACCGCCCGTAGGACCTCGAAGACGACGAGCTGCGCGGGCTGGCGGGTCAGGTCGGCAGCCACATGGAGAGCATGCGCAATAACCTGCAGCAGATCGACGGTGTCTTGCCGCAGATCGTCCGGACCAGGGCCGCGCTGCAGGACGTCCTGTTCAAACACCTCGGTCAGCAGAACTACGAAAACGTCCTGTTTGGTTAGGTCTTGCGCGCCTTGCGCACGCTGCGACGTTGTTTGAGAGAGTTGCGGGAGGGGAGCAGACCTTGGCATTCACGGCGAGACCGTGTGGATTCAAGGTGTCTCGAGACGATAGGAACCTTGACCGGGCTGCGGAGACTTCGCCTGATGCAAGGCTCCCGTTAACGTTACGAATTATGACCAAAGATATCCTACGTCGCGGCAGCCAAGTGTGGCGGTCAGTCATCAGTCATGCGACGATAGGTATACGGATTACAGCCTCAATAGACATATCTGGTAGAAATTCCCATCTTCACGGCGACGGCTTGAACCAAAATTGAAAAATTTGGCCTGGTTACCCGTTGTCTGTGAGAAACTCTACACTAGAGGAAATTCAAGCCTCGTCCCGACCTATACAATACAAAAAGAGTGAGCCATGCTATTGTGGGATGCTCTTTCCGAGACCTTCTCCAAGCCACAAAACCACCCCGTCTACTCATAACATACTACGCCCTCCGCGGACGTCCTCAATGTGTGCAAAATCTTGTCGGAGTACTGCCCTCCGTTCTTTGCTGCCACAGAGATACAATACCATGCCATATGATCCATCCGAGTTGCCGTACCCGCTACTCGTTAGGCGTCGGCGGAGCTCTCGGGAGCTCTCTTGCGTGAACAGCGCCTTATCGATTGGTCCTCTCCTCCTAAGCATCAGAGTTAGCATCACGAGGTACAAAGTATCCCTGACCCAACATCGGGCCTTCGTCCAAGAGCAGGTACTAACAGTTTCGGTATCACCCATGGAAGCTGGGCTGTCACCATCGGATGCAGGGCCGTAAGACAGACGGCTAGCCGGCGTTGCCCAATTCTCTGTTGTGGTAGCAGCGGTCGAATCTCCCTCTGAAAGATTGATCATGTTGGCCGGCGTGACTGGACGAATCGAGGGCCCTCTAGTATCGTGTGCGTGGGCTTTGTTACCCTCAAGAGTGCCATCCGCAGTCTCTGTGGCTGCTTTACCAGCGGAATCGTCTCTGGCATGCTCGGCTTCCTGAAGTTGAGCAGGAATCTTCTTGATGAGCGATTGCTTGGAGTGGGTTGCTAATTCAGCCATAACAAGGGCAGGGTTGGTTGCCATCTTCGCACGTTGGCTGGTCTTCAACGTTTCAATGCTCTTTTGGATTGCCTCGAGATCTTTATAGCCTCCCTTGGTTGGTAAAATCTCAAGCTCGGGAAACTCTAGCTGAGCTCCGTTCTTGGCACCCAACGTGGACGGCATGACCCTGCCCAGACTGCTCTTCATAACTTTGCCGAGTCTCTTGGAGAGGGACTGGCGTGGGTGCTTAGTTTCGGCTTCAGCACAATCCGAGCCCTTGTCGGTGATCCAGATATGCTGATCAGAATTCTCCAAGGCAGGGAGGACTGCAAAGTCCTTCGTGGTAACATCGTCGGCCATACCAGCAGCACCTGTTCGCTGGCTTCGGTCATGAGAGGCCCACCTTGCCCAGGATGGGGGGGGCGTAGCAAGCTTGCAGGAACCCGACTCCTAATGGGTGCCAACCGTAGCTTTGTGGTTATCTGCTTTCTGTGCCATGACAACAGTCGAGGTCTTTTTGTGAACCGCATGTAAGTCATGCGCGTGCTGAGACGTAACCGGATGGTCAAGTTGCAGAGAGACGTCCGAGCTGTGGGCACTCATCTCGTTGTTTGGGATGAAATCATCATTGTTCAAAGCATGGTGGGCGTTGTCGTCAGTAATGCGCGCTGGTATCGTAATCTTTTTCAGATCGGCATTATACTTGGCCTCGCGCTGGTCATGCTCGACTTTGAAGGCTCGTTTCCAGACTGCCGTCGCGCTCTCAGTCAGCTTGGGGGCGGTGAAGCTAGGAGATCGTGAGGTTGGGTGTATGTGAGATCTGGTACCAAGATTTGACAGTGACTTGGCGTGTCCCGTAGGCTTGGAGTTCTCATGAGACGCCGATGAAGACCCCAAGCGGCAAAGATCGGCAGAAGGTTGACTGTGCGACTTTCCGTGGCCTTTTGAAATACTTCCTTTACCATTACGCAGGACTTTGAGAAAGGAGGACTTGCGGGTGGGCGCGTCGTTCTGAATGCCGTTTTGAGTGACGCACGACATCCCATGGGCATCGCCGTGCGAGCCCTGAGACTGAATTCCAATGACGTTCGCTGGCATCTCAATTTCGTGGCGATACTTGCTTGAAGTGACAGACACGTCGCCGCAGGAGGCATCATCAATAGGCAATACGATGGAGGGGACAACTGCATCATGGTTTTGATCAGGAGCGGTGCGGTAGCTCTCGTCAGATCGCTGCTCCTTGAGATTATTGAACGCTTTCTAGTGGTCAGTTGGGTAAATTGGAACGCAAAACGGGGGAGTTCCTACTCTCAAGTTGGGCAAGATCGAGGTCGATGAGACTATCGGCATCCTCATCATAGCTCGCATTCTTTGAGCCAATGGGCGAGGCGTGACGTGTATTTTGCGTCGAAGAGTATACCGAAGATGAAGGATAGTGCAGCTCGGGTGCGGGAACAGACCCTGCGACAGCTGCAGCAACATTGTTGTCCATCTCAAGCGTCGGTGACAACGTATTCTTAGCAATGGAGGGGTAATCGTGCCGGTCGACAAGGAGCTTCGCCTTCGAGGCGTCATGGCTCTCTGGGTTACAAAAGCTCGTAGGGATCATTGGCGCGGAACCCATGTCATCCTTGTCAGAAGACTCTGCAGGACAGCCATCAGTGACGGCAGTTGTAGCCTTGTCATTCTTCTCTAACGCTTGCTGAGCCACGACGGAATCATCCTGGGCTGTGAGCTTTTCGGCAAGCAGCCAGGTCTCCCAGCCGCTGCCATCTGGAGACTGAGCAGAGTCTGCGGTGTGAGGACGAACAGAAGCGCCATTGGCTTCGGAAGCGGCCTTGGCCTCAGACTTCTTGTCGTTGCGAGCAATGTCGGTGTCGGTGCTACCACACTCCTGCTGAGGCTCAGTTTCGTGCTTACGGTCGACCTTTACGACGCTTTGAACGTTGGCATCCAGAGCGTCCTGAGTCTGATTTGAAAGAGCTGCTTGGCTATCAGCCTGGGGGATGCATTGAGAGAGACGCCAAGTCTTGAACGATTCGTCATCCTGGTCGCTAGAGACCTGCTGGACAGCAAGTACGGGGGCTGAAGGAATAAGGGGCAAAGACCCTCGCCCGCGAATGACGAGTTGTGTTGCTGCGACTTTGGACTCGGTCTCTGCCTTGGGGCAGCTGCTGCGGCGACGATCTCCCGAAGCGAAGTCGGTGGGATCAACCTTGAGACCATGGATCGAGAGCTTAGCTGCGGGGGGTCGAGTCGGTTGACGGGGAACCTTGAGCGCAGAAATTCCAGTGGACATGGCAGTCTCTATCCGGTCCCGCGGTCCGCCTGGAAGCTCGTCTTGGTGATCAGTGGGGTCCTCCTCAACCGTCTCCAGCTCGCGGAATCTATAACTCGCGCGCGTGGAGACTGATCGAGAACTGTGTTCGCTATCGACTTCCGCCTGGATACGCTTCTTGTTGTTTGATTTCACGGCCTGGAAGTAAGCGGCCTGGTCGAAGGGGGGCTTCTCGTGCTCCTTTCTGTCGTCAGGGCGCCGGGCGGAAGAGGGGCGGTTGACGCTGGGGATGGAGAAGCGCTTCCCGTCGTCGGGGCTCAAAGATGTCTTGCTGCCGTCCTGCGAGATGCTTCGGCTGATCCGTCTCCAATTGCTTGTCTTGGCCACTTCCTGGGACCCGTCTTCGGGGTCCGATGCGTACTCGACCGAGGTCGGGTCCGGAATGAAGTCCAACTCTGGAGATCGCAGGTTCGAGCGCGAGGATGAGGCGATGGAACCGGAGCTGTTTCTAGCGAGCCATGATTCGAAGTTGTAATTGCTGCCAGATAATTTGGCGGGAGGGGGCAATTGAACCAGCTCTGTAGGTGCTTGCTTGGTATCTTCGAGCGCCTCCTTCGCCTTCACGCCCGACTTGGCCTCCTTTTCCTTGGGGGGGACGTTGGCGCAGCAGAGAATTTTCCGCATCATCTTGACAGGTTTTTGCCGTCCTTGGCTCGGGTTTAGTCTCCAAACGAGCGAAGGTCTGCGATAGTCGGATGGCTAGCGATGATTGCCGAGTAGCGATCCAAGAAACTTCTCAGCTTGCCCAAAAGAAGAATGATGCAAAAGAAGGGCTTTTGAGCAGATGCTGAGGAAGCAAGGTTCTACTGGAAGCAGGCGATGGCCAAAAGAGAGTAGAAGAGGGAGTTGAAGGAGAGACAGATCTTGGCAAAGTCTTCTTCTGGGGGAGAGGGAAGCAGGAAGGCCAGGTGATGAGGGGGGTTGACCTGACGATGTCACGGCTCTGTGAAATCAGCGGGCACCCTTCATTGCTCCTTCTCGATGCCCTCTGGCTTTAGGCGAAGCAGTCACAAGAGACAACATCGTCTCACCAGCTGGGCACCCAGGGCGGGTACCAGCCATCAAAGGTAAGCACTTTCCTCGCCTCAACAATGCTCTGCGGCTGGTGACAACACGCATCAAAGGCTGTCGGCCTTAGTGAACAGCATTGCGCTCTCGTGCTAGCACTTGATCGAGGACTGCCGTCTCCCTTTGCCCCGTATCCCTCTATTCCCTCCCCCTTGCTCACTCATCCTTTGGGTACAACTGGTGTTGAAACCGCTATGCGAACTGCATTGCTCAAAGGAAGACCTATTTGAACAGAACGAATGTTGTTGGAACCAAGCTTTGTTTAAAGGGACTGGCGTTGAAATTGCACCCTCTTCCTATGTTGTGCTGAAGCGTCCTCGGCCATGTGTATCGTGTAGGCATTGTAGCTTACAGGATGGGCACAAATTCCATGCTCCTGTCCCCCCATGGCCCCTTTCAAAGTCGACTCAGCCACACTTAAGAACCCGATGGTCCTTGCAGAAAAGGATTTGAAAGGTGTCGCTGGTGTGATGCCACTTGGCATACTAAACAAGATTTTGAACACGGCGCAATGTGTATATCAGTAGGCTGTAACCAATGAGGAGGTGACTGTTTGAGTTGAGCTAAGTTGACGTTTTCAACGCAGCAATCCAGTCATGGTCTGCGGTCAACTATGTCAAGTATACTGCCGATTCAATCCAGTGTTCTCTTCATTCCCGGAGAGAGGCATTATCATTTCTGGGGGGTCCCATTTGGTTGGTGTTGTTGATGGAATCGGGTCCCAAGACAGAGGCTCCTGTTGGGTGGGCCGAGACAAGACGGTTCTGCGGTCTGCCTTATAGGGCCGCAAGCGCGAACATGTGGAGCACGTCCCGAACGACTGCCGGCGATGCCCCGGTTTGTCTCGGGAACCATGTTGAGCGTGAAGCGAGGCCGGTATCTGAATGCTACCGTTTCCATCTGCCAGCTTGTGAGTGAGATGGCGGGTTGCAGGCTCGCGGAACGAAACAGCCCAGACTCCTGAATTTGCTCGGTTCAGTTTAAGGTGGCCGATCACCTACAGCGGGTGGCGCGGAAGGAGAACGGAACCGCATTGCACTTGGTGGCAGGGAAAATACTCCGGCAAAGCGGTGGGTTGGAGTTTAGCAACAACAAGTGGAAAAGGAGAAAAAGGAAGAAAAAAAAAGTGGACAGGGTGGCGAATTGAAAAAAAAAAAGTAGAACAGGATGTGGGTGCTTCCCAAGGAGGAGGCAGTGTTAGGGGCTACCCGTGTTTGAGGATTCGCGGCGACTACTCCGACCTGGCTCACCCAGCCGGGCGATTTCTCTGATTTGAGCGACTGTGCCAAGATACTCACTTGAATATCTACTAACTACTACCTACACTAGTATCGTAGTAGCGGAGAGGCAGCCGGGAAGTGGAAGAAGCAACGGGGGGAAGCGGGGGTCGTCGGTTTTGCCATAGTTTCGCGCGCTGCGAGTTGTTCTCGTCCGTAGTATTCGTACACCGTGGTGTAGTTTGGGGACATGGAGGAAATTGAACTCGGCGGCCTCGTGCTTTGAAAGCGGACTTCGCTTCTCATCTTTTGGCCCGGCATCAATTTCTACATAGTGCGTAGTAGCACCTACCTAGACACCCAGGTCCCTAGGCATAGAGTCAGGACCTGCTCTACTTTGCTCATGCCTTGGCCAAACATGGCAAGAGCGGGCGGTATGTTGTATCTGCGAACCAATGGAAATAAAAGTCGGTCGCGTCAGTCGAATCGGCCAATGTCGATGCAACGGAACGCGATGCTTACAAAGACTACGAATCCCCTCGATTGCTTTTTCGACCAACCTCCATCAGGTAAAACTAATATAACCCCCAGGTGTGTAATTTCCGGCGCGAATTATTTTCTGTAGAATGAATAAAGTGAAAATCAATATATCCATCAACCCAGAGAGATGGCACAGCTGGACAGCATTCAGCCTTCAGGAAACAGTTTGTGCCATGGCCGGGTCCAGAACCAGAAGACTGGGAACTTTGGGATGCAGGGGAGGTAAACCGTGCCATCCCATTCATCCAGTCGGTCGATTAATCAATTCCCCCCAACTCGGAGCCGATAGCCTGGACTACATGGTACTGAACTACAAGCAAATGAGAAAAGAAAAAGAAGAAAGAAAAATCAATCAAACGGTTGGCCAGGATATAGCCACGCCGTACAAGGCGCATGTATGAGCTGGAAATGGGCCATGAGGACATAATCTTGACACAATCAGTCTGTGACGGTGACTTCTGGGGAGAACCCTGGGCTGGCCAGGGGAGGAGGAAAGGGGAGGGGAGATTTGGCTGCTTCCCCGAGAGCGCCGCCTGCGCCCCGTGATGATCCTACGCAGTTTATCCCGCACGCAAGGTTTCCTCCCTCAGGCCAGACAAGAGGGGGAGAAACTGGCGGGGATTGACAGTCGGCTGCGCGAATGAAGGCAACAGCGAACGGCATAGGGGGATCCTGAAACAGTGTCTCTGGGTGTTTACTACGCAATGCAATGCAATTGAGATAGACATTCGCAGCCACTTGCAGGGCAGGCAACGACCACCAGAGCAACAGGAACAGGAACAGGACCAGGAACAGGAACAAATACATGGCCATTTCATTTCATTTCATTTCAGGCCACGGTTCGCTGGCTTGACGCTTCAACTTCGGGCCAAGAGCCCAACAATACCGTGTCGCTGCCGCTATAGGCTATCAGCTCGTGCTCCGTCACAACGTGTTCCATTCCAGCAGATCGTCCCGCCGTTTCCTTCCCGTGTTTCCGACTCGCCTGCTCGGCAACCTAGGTACTTGGGTACCTACCAGTAGGCTGGCTGTGATCCTTCCGTCGTCAGTCCGGGTGCAGGGCCACCCATATCTTCACCGACGCAGTTGCACAGAAGCATTGCGGCAGAAGGAACGGAACCTCGTCTGCGACGAAAACATGTTGGAGGCATTCCGCAGGCACCATGAAGGATATTGACGATGCTGGCTCCGTGATACATAGGTAATCAGTACCTTGCCTTGGCGGTTAGTGACTCACAGACAGAGTTGCATCCGGGCCATGTGGTTTGCAACTACAGGAATGCAGTTAATCACGACGATGGAGCCAGATGGAGCCAGATGGAACCAGAGACAGCGTCGCGCCCCGATGGACCATTTCAGGGCCACCGCGTCGATCCCATTCCTCCCAAAGCGATGCCGCATCGATCGTTGGGGGAAAAGGGGCGCCGAGGGACGGGACAGAGCGTTAGGTGCCTTACCTAGGCAGCCACCTACCTACTACCTATGTACTTCTTCTACCTGTACGGAGTATGAATACCTAGGTGCACGTGTCTAGTGCCGTGCGACCTGGTTCCTGGACTAGAGCAAGGTACCCGAGTTGACCGACCTTCAGGGGAAGGCGCCTCATACCCACCGGACAAGGAACACAGCCGACATAATCCCGCTCCTACTCTTTCCTTGTCTTCATCCTGGGCGATACATACTATGTAGTAACTACCTGTAGCCGTGGAGCCTGACGCGACAGACGACGGACGAGCACAGCATGGGAGAGAATGATTATTGACAGGCCTGACCGGAATATTACCGACGTATAACTACATAACAAGGCATAATTGTTTCAGGCACAATTAATACCGGATAGTATGCACAACGACGTGCATGTGCCGCCGCCCAGTCGACGTCACTGACCACTGTCGTCCCTGTGGGGAAGGCCGACGGCGACGACGACGACGACGACAACGACGACCACCACTACCACCACACGGGACTATCATCACGAAAATCATACCGCGCGGCCAGCGGTAAGATATGTCTGTCGGCTTTGGCATACCAGAGAACGGGCAGTACGGGGGTGTGTGAGGGAGTCGGAGGGATTGGCTGGCTGCCACTCCGTCTTATCCTATGTATATTTTCTGGTCGGCGGCAAACCCCTTGTCCCGTCGACAGGCTGTCAGTATGCGCGCTCAACCGCCGCGGTAGTCATGTGCTGGGATCACAATCCAGCGAGTCTTAGTCTTGCTTCTTTCACGTCACAACATGATGCGCAGGGCCAAACGGGCGGGCGGGCTAAGGCTAAGGGGCGTTGCTGAGAAGCAAGGTGAATTTTAAGGTCCGTCGCTAGGCCACTTCGATCGAAGACGAGAGGTACGGTTTCAGAGCGGGATACGGCGCCACGACAAGGAAGGAGAGACACGTCATACACGCAAACGGTTCGCCGGCTACGCGGCAACCCGGTCACCGCTGGTGGCCTTTGTCAATTCTAGCTCTTCAGTGGCTGAGTTTTATGGGCGCGGGTCGAATCTCGAACGCTGGATTTGCCAAAGGTGCCGCTGGCGGATAGAATATGGCGAGAGGCGAGTAGAATTCAGGTGGGAGTGAAGATGAAAGTGAAAGTGAAAGTGAGAGTGAGAGGTGGCTGCAAATCAAAGGTGAGGAACGGTTGATCAATTGAGACGGGGTGTGTCTCTCCGGAGGTTGATCTAGCGGTCGACGGTCGAACGTTGGCCGAGTGAGACCTGCATCATCGTGCCTGCGATTTCTGCACGAATACGATGTACGACGGTGGTTGGTTCGGCGGGCCCCTCACACTGAACACGGGCTCGGTCTATGAGCTTGTCAGTTCATCCTCTAGGCGGGTGCCCGCGCACAGATTCGGTCCGGCATGGACCGAGCGCAATTCATCAGCGCATGGCACATGGCTCAGGGTGAGGGAGGGACGACAACGGGTCATTTCCATCAACCATCGTCCATTGCCTTACCTACTCGTTGTTTTCCATGGAAAAGAAGATGAGCAGAAAATGAGCGGGTGGGACCCTGCGAGGCGAGAGGAAAACAAGGACAGGCATGCAAGAAAAAAGTCTTAGCACGGGCAATTATAAACTAGTTTCCAGTGCGGAGGAGTATCCGACCACATGATACATCCATCAATCTCTGAGCTGCCTTCTCCACCGGCCGGATCTGCAAGGATCTGGGAGCTCTCAGAGAGAGAGAGAGAGAGAGAGAGAGAGAGAGGGGGGGGGAGAGAGAGGGGGAGAGAGAGGGGGGGAGGCCCGGTAGCTTGTCCGTAGTATACGCCGTACGCTGCATCTGCAAAGAAGCATGAGAGAAACCCCTCCCCCTCCCTCGAGATGGGTAGACCAGATTACGAATGGAATTGTACGAAAGCTTGCGGCAACAAAATTAAGGTAGCCCAGGTCAATTTAATACCTACCCACCTTGTGGTGCGGTGTGTATTCGTACGGGAAAGTGGGAGGAGGGTGGGAAACACAGAGAGGCGCCAGGATATGGGGTGGGCGCCGTGGCTACGATGTGGACCGTGATTAATGGCCGAGGTCGGGGTGATGTGGGCCTAGATAATTGGCCACGCTTGCGTCTCATGTTGGGCGGTACCTGCATTGGAAGAACGGGAATAAGACGTAGAGGAGGTACAAGCAGCACACCCGAGAGGGGTACGCCGGTCTGACAGCTGACAGAAGACCGTTGACGGATCCTGTCCGGCGACGATGACTGGAAAAAGCCCAGGTGACAGCTGGCAGGGGATGAACGGGCCAGGCGCCACGCAACACCTTGTTCAGTTCAGGGGGGAACGGAACGACTTCGAAAGGCAAGAAAGAAGGACGAAAAACGAGGGGAAAGGGAGGCAGGAGAAGGAGCCAAATGAGGCAAGCGCATTTGTATTATACGACGGTGCACTTGACCTACCCAACTCACCAATAGTCGTACGGATAGTTTACACTGACATCAATCCAGCTTACCGCTCCAAGGTTTGCACCAACAAGACCGCCGATCGGCCATCCATCTCTCGCTGTCACCATAACCAATTACATTACCCAGCTGCCATCCGAACTGCCATCATCACCGGCGCGGGTGGGCCTCGCTCACTCCTGAGGTTTAATGAAGAGGGCTTCGTCTGTGGGTTGAGGGTTGATATGAGCAGGGGGGGCAGGGAAGTGGAGCGTAGTGGCTTCACCAGTACCAACGCCGAGGGCTGTGCGGGTGTGTTGGCTGCTGTTCGTCTCCTCCTTGGCCCATCTCACCAAGGTGGGAAGTGGACCTTTTAGACCCCTGGATCGAACGAGCAGGGTTTTTGGGACTTCTTGGACCCACCCCTGGTGCTTGACGACGACGACGACGACGACGACGACGACTACGACGACAACGACGACACTACCTACCTACCCTTATCTCCCCCATCCACGGTACCGTATCTCATCAACCCGCATTTCCTGTCCTGCCCTGCCACCACGCTTACATGTTCGGGCGGCTGCCCTAAACCATGTCATCTCATGCCGACCAAGCAAGTGCTTGGCCCATGTCTGGTCCACCCCTGATGCGCCTATGCCGCCGAACGACGGCCAAGACTCACTACCTTGCCTAGGACGGGCCGGGGCTGTCAGGCACACGATGCTTCCTCCTCTCCTCTCCCCTCTGCTGACTTGAGTTGGCCTTGCGAGCGCAAACTAGTCTCGGCCGGGCCCCGAACCTGGTCGTCCAAGATGAAGGCCCCGCGGTCTAGGGTGCCGTCCTCCCCTCCCCCCCCCTTCCTTGAGGATTTCGATCCCATCCACAAATCCGCGCCCCCAAGCTCACACCCATGCATGCACGCCCACTCGTGGGCTCCACGGCCTAAAAGGACTCTGACCTCCCTCTCATCTTCTAAATATCTTCCTCCCCATCCTCTCTTTTGCTTCCTCTTTCCGCCTGTTCTCTCTTTCTCTCCGCATCAACAGTCTTTCGTTGCTAGTCCTCGGACGCTTTACATTCCTTCAGCTCTAACTACGCTCACTCCAAGAGTCAACTATTCCTTCTTTCGCGCAAACTGTGTCTTGCCGCCCACTTTATATCTAGCGAAATTGATCTTTCGCCCTTTTCACGCACGATCCTCGATCCGAACAATCCCGTCTACCCTTGTGGAGATATCCAAGAAGCTGTTGAAAACAACCCAATAACACACAACTATCAAAATGAAGTCCACCATCGCTGCCGTCGGCCTCCTGGCCTCGCTCGCCAGCGCCTCCGCCCAGCAGCCCCATCACTTCCACTGGCGCCGCGACAACTCTACCGCCTCCGCCGGCTTCACCACCCTCACCGTTCAGGTCACCGAGGTTGCCACCGTGACCTCGTGCGCCCCTACCATCACCAACTGCCCTGCTCGCAGCGCTACCCTCTCCGCCTCTGACCTCCACACCTACGTCGTCACCAACATCGTTGTCCTGACCGAGACCATCTGCCCCGTCGCCGAGGCCGCCAGCATCTCCAAGTCGCTCATCGACCAGCACGCCACCGGCGGTCTGCCAGGCTCCACCCTCACAGCTCCCGCCGTTACCCCCACCGCCGCTCCCTCGGTTCCCCTGAACACCGCCGGTGTCACCACGTCTGCCCAGGACGCTGCCGCTACCAGCCCTCCCCCTGCTGGCGGCAATGGCCAGAGCGACGACGAGGACGATTGCCCCGCTGATGATGGCGATGTCGTGACCACCGTCACCCAGATTATCTCCACCAAGACTCTCACCATAACCGTCGGTAAGGGCGCTACCGCTTCCGTCGTCACCACCGCTATCCCCACCACCATTGAGTCTACCATCCTCGTCGCCTTGCCTGCCGCTGGTGCCACCACCCCCGCCGGCGCTGCCGACGCTGCCGACGCTGCCAGCACCGGGGAGCCCACCACTACCGTCACCGCTACCTCCACCAACACCCGCACCGTCACGGTCAAGCGCCCCAACCCCACTGGTGCCGGCTCCTCCGGCTCCGGCTCCGGCACTGGCCTCGGCGCCGAAGGCGAGTGCTCTTGCCCCGCTGCTGTGACCGTCACTGTCCCCGCTTCCACCGTCTACGTTACCATTGGCGGCTCTGCCCCTACCGCCGTCGCCCCTACCGCCGTCGCCGCTGCCGCCGTCGACGCCTCGAGCGCGACCACCAGCACCCCAGCTGCTGCCGCCATCACCGGCGAAGCCAGCGCTGGAGGCGAGAGCAACGATGACAGCGACGACGAGGATGACTGCCCCGCGGACGACGATGTTGTTACTATCTCAACCACCGTCATGGTCGCCCCTTACCCCACCAACGGCACCGCCTCCGCCGGCGCCGCTAAGCCTACTGCCCACAAGCGCTCCGACAAGCTCTTCTAAAGTGTTCGATGTAGATTCCCCCCCCATGTCAAGTCTATCTTTGGTTATGAGAAGAATCTATGATTCATGAACAAACACATTTATATCCTTCTTTGCCAACATTGTCTTGTATACATTGCACACTTCTTGGAGTGAAGAATAAAACGAGTTTTTGTACAACCGAAACACAAGAAACGAAAGGGGGGGATACAATCAAGCTCGTCTTTATGCCTTCGATTCTGCCTGCTTTTTGGTGAGGTGTTTTTTCTTTTTTGTCACGCTTAGACGAGGGAAAGGTGTCAACTCCTACATGGTGATTCTATGCCGGGGAGGTGTCCATCTGGGTCACAGCATATTTTTGTGATTAGTGTTTGTGGGAAACAATCAACGGCATCATTGCATTCAAGTAGCGGGTCGTTGGGGATCAACAGATATCGTTTTATCCTGCCGAGTAGCGTCCATCCATCCTGGACTCACTATCCGTGTTTGGCAAGAGAGAAACAGCCAGAAAACCTTCCTATTCTTTTTTGTACAGTACTATTTTTTGAGACGTATTACCCATGGGATGAGAGTTGGTGACATGCAGTCCCTCCCTTGTTAAGGATGCCACGATTAGGTGAAACATTCAAAACCTTATTTCAACCGCCTCATGTTGACTGTACTTTTGAGACATGGGATGCCTAGGCCTGAGGACGATCTTACTCTCTACGCGAGGGTGGGGTTCCACGGCGTTGAGTCTTAGATAAAGTGTTTCCGTGCACCGAGATGGCGATGGGCAGCACGTGGCTGCCTCTATCTGTTGGACGAGCAACAACTCCCGCGGGTTCCCTCCGGCGACAATTCTTGGCCAGTGTGTTTGGGTTTGTCTACGCATGTGTGCTACTCTATGCCACAGGTAGTAGGTACCTGCCTATGTCCTGCAGGCGCAGGAAAACTGTTGATGGTGATGACGGTGGCGGTGGCGGTGGTGTTTTGTATCAGGTTGCCCGGCGAGTTGAAGTGTGTCCCAACCATTCAGCGCCCTGCCGCTGCTGGCTCGGGGCTACTCCGTAACAAACACACAAGATGGAGAGGAAGGGCATCGATGAAGCCCAGGGCGCAGTTGCGGCTGACGGATGGGAGAGCTTGCCGATATGGAGACCGAAGAATGACGCCCAGATGAGATGGGCAACTGAAATTGAGAAACCCCCCTCTTTATCAGGAGGAGCGGGTGAGTGCGCCTTCACCTCAATATACGTCTACATGGCATTCAAAGGGCAGACAACAGGCTACAAGACCCATCAAGGTGTACCCCTATCAGGCAACATCCACATGTCAACGAAAACTGCTGACGGCTTCAGGTTTCCCATGCAGGCTTACGCTTATGGTTGTTTGGAGGCCGGAGTCGCCCTTCTCCCCTTTTTCTTTCTTCTGCTCATACCGCATGCAAGCTCCCTACTCCCGTCTCATATGTGCTCTGCTAGCTTTTCTCAGGCCATGGACGGTAGTACCCCTCTTTGACAACGGACAGGTCCAAGCAGTGGTAGCTACATGATTGTTGCTTTCAACGCCACCGATGCCGCCCTTTTCAAATGCCAATAGTTTCCTGCTGTTCAGGTTGCCTCGTGCTTCCGTCGTCATCATGACCAGTTTGTTTCCTGATGTGGTTGGTGATTCGCGTTTCCTCGTCGTTGACGAGGCAGCTTTAAACCAGATGTGCAATGCATGTTCTTCTGGGGCCGTTCTTCCGAGACCTTCCGGCTTCCCCTTATACCTCCTCCGCTTTCTGACCTGCCAAAATGCCTTGCCGCGATGCCCTCCTTGCCTCCCTCTGCTTCTGCTCTTCGACCTTTCTCTCCATCTCGGCCTTCCTCTCGCGCAACGCAATGCAGAATCTCGATCCGGCCCGGATCTGCTCGCCCTTCCAGATGAAGATGAAGGGAATGACGCACATCACGGCGCTCATCCCGCCTAGCAGACTACACGCCCCCGCGATCCCCAGCTCGTTGAACATGCGCGTCGTGGCCAGCGGCAACACGACAGCCAGCAGGGACCGACTACCCGAGGCCGCGGCGTTAGCGCTAGCCGCGAAGATCTCGTACGCATCGGTCAGGTAGTTAAGCAGGGCGATGAAGATGAGCATGAACCCTGCGCCGAAGGGGATCCCTGCCAGCATCGGCACGACGAAGCTGATACCCTCCCTTGAAGACCAGCCTAGCCAGAACAGAGATATGAAGAACAGCGGGCCGCCGACACAGGCCAGAGGAAGACGCCGCAACTCTTCCTGCTTCGCCCACCTAGAGCCATCGCGCTGCGCGCGAAGATGGCGTTGCTCCCAGCCGATGAAAACGGGAACCGCGATAATCGAACCGCCACCTATGGGTAGGTACGCCAACCCAGACACGCCGGGTGATAAGCCGTATAGCTTCTGGAAGATGATGGGGAATGCCTGGAAAGACATGTAGAAGATTGTATAGACCAGGGCAAGATACGCACAGGTACAGGTGACAAGGGGTTCCGAAACCAACATTCGCATGGGACGGGTTAGCACCACGGTGGCCAGCTGCTTGAGATCGGTGCGTTCCATTTCGCGGGGTGCAATAACGTTGGCAGAAGGGTCGAGTTTGCGTATCCTTCGGGCACGGCGGCAGAGTAGGATCGGGCCGTAGGTCTCGGGAAGTAAGATGATTGGCACCAACGTTACGCCGGCGTAGATAAGGGCTATCCAGAAGGACCAGCGCCAGCCTATCGTGGGGGAACAGAAACCGGAGACGATAGGGGCGAAGAGAGGGCCGAAGGCGGTGGTCTGCGAGAGTTAGCTGTGCCTCCTGGGCTGGGTTCGTGGTTTGGGTGATTGGGTGAACTTACAACCATGAAGGCGGTCATGGCACGGCCGCGGGATTGTGTGTCGCCGTAGATATCCGCAAGGATGCCGGCCACAATGGCGATTGGCGAGCTTGCGAACACCCCTGCAAAGAAGCGAAAAAAGAGAAACGCAGGCCAGTTGGGCGCCAGAGCACACGCCATGGTCCAGATGGTGAACATAATAAAGGTGATGATCGTCAGCGTGCGCCGGCCAAGGTGTTCGCTGAGGGGCGCCCAGACAACAGGGCCGAAGACGTAGCCGATGAGAAAGACAGAGATGGGTAGGACCTTTTGCTGCTCGTTCGTGACGTCCCATTCAGCTGTGATGAAGGGGATCGCATTAGAAGGCAGAGCCGAGCCCATGGTGCTGTTGATGACTTGCATCATAGTCAAGCATAGAATGAGGAGCTTCCTGATCTTGGGTTTGTCAATTGCTGAGCCTGCAGTTGAGAGTTGGCATAGCATACATGTGACCAGTTGTACGGGTTCTCTGGGTCACCCTCATCCCAGGAAATTATTGTCTTCTCATCTTCGTCACCAGACGAGTTTGGGCTCGCGGCCGGTTTCTTGTCTAAGCCTTGCTCTTCGGCTCGAGCCTCATATATGCTGCGCGCCTCATCCTCGCCTATCCGCCTCGCAGTCCCTGGCAAAGATGAGATGCTATCTGTAGAGAATTAGACATGGTGACGCTATTCTGTCTCAGTCACAGCCGTACTTACGTTGCAGATTCGGCAGACTTTGCCCATCGACCAAAACAGATTCGCGGGGGGTGGGCATGGCAAACCGTTACCAATCTTGTTGGAAAGATGCTACGACTACGTGTATGGGTTCCATCTCAAAGGCAAGAGGGGGGAAGGGCGCGAGGTCCCTATCAAATACGTGTGAACATGGATGGATCATTAATAACCCAAAGGGCCCAGAGGCCCGAAAATCGGTGACTGCATGCATGCTACATGACCCTTGTGGATCAAGACAGTCTAGTCCTCGCTCCCACCATCTCTTCCACATTTTAGCAACCCAAACATGCATTTGTGACTGGGCCGGGCGTAAGTAGCACAGCACGAAGTCTTATCCCCGTCACAACTGACGAGGGGAAGGGACACTAGGTGGGTGGAAGGGCGCGTTCTGCCATTGGCTCGCCATTGGGCTCGGAGCCGATTCGTAGACCCACTTAGCTCTTGAGGCCGCTCTATGCGGCCTCGGCGATGCTCCTTCCCGTAGCCTCCTCGGGGCCGCCCCTTCACAGTGGTCAGTTGGCTTTAGCATGACGCTATTTGACGCTATAGTCCGTACAAGGTGACTGGCAACACCGCCAGTTTGCATCGTCGAAAACGGCATGTATCAACGGTATCGTTGGGATAGACCAAGCCGGACTTCAGGCCGCTGCGGACGTCTCGTGCTTGCTGCATCACTGCATGCGATAACGGAGTATCTTATCCAAAAGTCGGCCGACTTGCTGGCCTGTTTGTCCTCGCTTTCATCGTGCCTGGAAGCCGGAGGTGCAAATGCGATATAATTGTTGGTTTGTCCCGATCGTCATTGATTCATGTCTCGAGGTTGATGCTCTTCCCGAATCTGGCGTACAGCTCAACTTTCAGTTGGGTCATCTCTTCCTTGATCGTTTCCAACTTTGTCTCCAGTCCCTCGACATCCTCCTCAATCTTGGCCGACGCTTGCTCAAGCATCTCTATCGCTTGCGGTTGCGGAACGTGGAAGTAGGCGTCGCCGATCTTGTATCTATCGCTGGGCATTAGTATTGCATACTAGCTAGTCTTGTGATGGGTGGCAGCATGCGTACGGTACTGCCTCGTCTTCGTCGGCAAGCTCCAGCTCGGTGCTGAGGTCGTCAAGTTCTTCCTTTTCCTTCTGTATAGCGCCACGGCGGTTAGATTTTGTCTCCCGTCAGAGTTGTGGGTCATGCCTCACATTCTTGTTCTTGAGCTCTTGCTCGATAACGAGCTCGCGCTGGTGTAGTCGGCTGAACTTGTTGATCTTGTCCTGGTCCTCTCTCCTGACTTCCACCTCGTCGCCGACGGACTCCTCGTCGGCCTTGGTAAGCTGCAGACAACAGCGTCAGTATGATCAGGTAACAAATGCTCGCATCTCGCTTACCATGCGCCGTGACAACATATTGGCGGTTTCTAGTGTGACGCTGTGATGCTGGACGTGGATGTGGCCGAAGCTGCTGGGATCGATTGACTTGCGCTCTGGTTGGAGCTTCCAAAAAGCTCAGAAGGAGGGTCACAGTATCCAGGCACAGTGCAGATGGGCTATGCACGGCCCCCAGAAAGAGGGACATTGACGTTCAATCAAGGTGTGTCTTCACCTCGGGAACTGCCGTCTGTGCTGCGGTTGCGCAACTTACCCAAACAAAACAAACCAGCCTCCCCCCACAACGGAACGTCACACCGGAATTCGCGCTACTTCGAATCACAGCGCTTCCGACTCTGAACCTGACCCTTCAACAACATCGACAAATAACACCGCATCGTACGGATCGTGCTTCCTCATCATGGCGCCCGGTCAAAAGGCATACCCGCGCGGTACCGTAAAAAAGATCATCAAAGCCCATTCCAACTGTAACTTGAGCAAAAATGTCGACGTTATGGTCAGTGGTTTGCCGACGCGTCATGGACGCGCCGCTAACAAGGGAACAGATCTACCTTGACTATGTTCTATTCATGCAGACGTAAGTTGCCGATGTGATTGATCACATGGCTCCAAGCCCTAACTTTCCTAGACTTGTGAAGGAAGCAGCTATTGAGTCCAAGAAGTCTGGGGAGAGAGGCATCACTGCACGCAGTGTGAAGAAGGTGACCTCGGTATGTATCTTTGATCGCGCCCAAGCTTCCAAATTCAATGCCAGAAGACTAATGTAAAATTTGGCAGGATACTCTGACCAAGTTCAGGGGCTGAATGCCGAACCCTCCGATGAACGAAGGAATACTGTACGCAACATGGTATCGCGATATCTCGCCCCTGTCTCCAGTGTTCATAGGCCACCCAATTCTGTATATGCAGCTTCGACCACTGGAAAGGTAGGGGTTGCCGCAACGCGTATACCAGGGGTGACGACTCTTGAAGTGCGACAGGGCCGTCCGCGCAGAGGAACACGACGCAATCAGCCGTTAGTATGTTATTGATGAGGTGATGATGGCGTCTAGCAGCGGAGGGAGCCTAAGCCGACAGCGTAAGACCTTGAAGGCGTTGGTGTCTTGCTCGCATCGAGAAATATGGCGCCAATGGATGTATACGGGTGGAGAAGGGCGGTTCGTCTGAAGAGTGCCGGACGAGCATCGTTGGACGTTGGGGTACTTACAACGCGGTGAACGGAATCAAATCCGCCGTCTGTCGGCCGATTTGTTGCCGCCAGTCACGCGTATGCTGTTGTCAGCCACTGAATGGCTGTCGGACGCAGATTAAGTGCGGGGGAATGGCGCTCATGTATCTTGGGTGTCGACCCATGCAAGGCTGCTGGTATGCCCTGTCGGATACGTCATTTAAAATTGAGGCCAGAAAAAACATTCAGTGAGTAGAGATGGCATGTTGCGGGCTATAGGATGAACCGATGCATGCGACAACATGCCGTGTATCGAGAAAGCCAGTTCTACACCTGAAAACACCACCTATTAGCTAGGTGTCCGTTTTGAAACTTGTACCCCATTGCAGTACTCCGTACAAGTCAATGTATCTTTTCTTCTTGCCAATTCTAGAATCATGCTGGGGGAGTGGATACAAGGGGGTCTATGGGAAGGCAAAGGGAAGGAGCCCGGTAGCAGGGGTGCTTTCGGCTCCTGGAACCCACTTTGGATCTGACCTAAACCACCCCGAAAATGGGACCTTTGGGCCCAAGTCCAGGCAGCTTGCGCAGTCAATGCAGGCAGACAGGGCGCCCACACTCGCTGAAGGTGGCCCTTTTTCTTGTTCTTTTTTTGTTTTTTTACTTCCTTGTAGCTTCTCCCGGCCGACAGACTGGCTGACTCTCCACAGCATCAGTGATCTCTACGAACCTCCCCGAATTTGATTCCGCCCTAAACCTACACATCCACGTTACCTGTCTTGCTTCACCCACCTTTCTCATCATCATTCCTCTGTGTCTACTCAGAATATCCTTCTTCGATCCTAGGCCTTCCTCCTTCGATCATCAAATCTACAGGGAACCCAGTGTGTTAACTCTTGTGTCTCCTGCGCGCTCTCTGCCATAGCTGGCTACCACGTCACCCCCAAAAATTACCACCTAAGCTCACGACGACCCCAATCTTGTTGGCTGCGCACCACCAAAGCTATCAAACATGGCCGCCTCCCCCGTTCAGAACCCCGCGGTGCAAGCCGAATCCAAGTCGGCCAAGAAGAAGAAGGCGAAGATTGCTGAGCGCACCGAGTCCCCTGCTCCTACTGCCTCTCCCGCTCCCGAGAGGGCTGACGGCTCCGATGAGTCTGGCGAGACGCCCTACATTCGCGAGATCCAGAAGTAAGCCGCCAGCCATTAATTGGCTCTTCTCCGGCGCGTCTTTTACTAATTGCGCCATCCAGGAACATTCGTAACACCAACAAGAAACTTGTCCGTGTCCTTTGATCCTCTCCGTGGCAAACACACCCACTGACAGTACATCCTCCAGACCAACGCCTCCAAGATCGACAACTTGATCGCCGAGAACCCCGGCAAGTCGCTCGACGACCTTGTCGCTTCCCGCATCATCAATGCCGACCAGAAGGCTCAATACCTGAAGAAGCCTGCTCTGCAAGCTCAGATCACCCAGTATGAGGAGCAGCTTGCCCAGTACAAGAAGATCGACCAGGAATACCGCGCTCGTGCTGCAAGCGAGAAGGCTGAGCTGGAGAAGTCCTTCGCCGAGAAGCTCGAGAAGCTGGAGAAGGAGAAGGCTGCTGCCGTCGCCGAGGCCAAGGCCCAGCTGGAGGGCGACTCCAGCAAGACCATCAGCAGCAAGCTTCTCACCCTGTCACAGTTCCTCCGTCTTGCTGCTGCCCGCCGCTCCGAGGATGCTGACCCCAACGTCGAGGAGAACCGCGCGCTCGAGGGTGTTCTGCTTGCCATATACACCGGTGACGAGAGTGCTGTCGCCACCATGCTGAAGCTGATCGACGGCAGCGACGAGCTGACCTACAGCGTCAATGGCGAACAGCTCCAGACGACTTGTAAGCACAGTCACTGGACCTCATAATACCTCCCAAGTACTGACCTCCTGTAGTCGGCCAGGTCAAGGCTGCTTCTCAGGCCTACAAGTCTCCCTTCGAAGAGGCGACTGCCGAAACCGAGACCGCCGCTGCCGAGGCCGTTACCGACCCCACCATTGCCAACGCTACTGTGAACGAGATCGAGGCTGAGAACGCGGCCGTCACCAACGGTCAGATTGAGCACGCCACCGAGACCCCCAGCAACGCCGACATCGTCAGCGGCTCCGGTAACGCTGCGGGCGAGAAGTGGGACCAGGCGGCCGATAACAGCATGTCGCTATCCCAGGAATGGGTCTCTGTCCCTCGCGATCTTGCCGAGACTGAGACCGGCGTCGATGCTACCCCTGCTGCTGCCTCCAACACCCAATCTTGGGCCGACGACCAGCCCGAGCAGCATGAGGTCCAGGCTGAGGTACGTTGTCTCCCGATTTGCAAGCAGACCGAAATACTGACTGCGGTGCAGGCTCCCGCCCCTGCTGCTGACCCCAACGACGGCTTCCACCAGGTCCAGGGCCGTAACCGCGGTCGTGGCGACCGTGAGGGAGGCTACCGTGGCCGTGGCCGTGGCGAGTGGCGCGGACGTGGACGCGGCGAGGGCCGTGGTGGACGCGGGCGCGGCGGCCAGCGCGGCGGCTCCGTCTCTCAGCGAGGACCCCGCCGGACTGAAGAGTCATAGAGACGCTCTGTCCGATGGCGTTCATTGGCCTGTCGAGGGCCATTGGGTAGGCTCAATTCCTACGGACCGCCGCGTCTCTCGCGACGGCGCATGACGACGGGGGCACAGCGACGCCCTACGCAACGTGATTTACTGCAGTGGCTTTGATGGGTGTCAAGGCTGGTAAAGGAATGGGTGAGGGATGTTGTTTAGTTAACGACATAGGCATTCGGGTTTCCTTTTCAGGTTTGGCTTCTGGGTCTGGTTGGCATGGCTGGCGGTGTTGGGTTGCGTGGCTTTACGCTTGTACAATACACAGCATGACTTTCGGGGCCGGCATACAAAAAAACATACGGAATGAGACATTAATACCCAATATTTGCGAACCTTTCGATGCACATGATACCTTACTTGGGAAGCGATAATTACGCAAAAATTCCTCCAAATCACCGCATGGGTTTCTCCAGAGCTGGATCCACTACGGGAGTAGATATCAACCATTTCCTACGAAGCGTCCAAGAACATACATTGTAACGTGACACCATCCGCTGCCCAGCTGCCTTTAGACCGTGCACTCTTCCGCCCCCCTCCAGTAGTATTGACATTGCTTGTTTCTGTGTCGATGATGACATACCGTCATTCGTTGAACACTGGTATGGAAATGAACGACTTACGTGTCCGCGCGTCGTTGCGTGGTATGTATAAAAGAGCACCAGCATGTTGAGTACTGCTGCCCAATCCACCTTTGCTGGTTTCCGCAAGTCGTCCACACGAAAGTTGAGCTCAATCTATAATCACACGAACTTCAGTCGTATTGACGTTTCCACCAGAGGCTTTCTCTCTCTATCTCTCTGTGTTGCTATTGACGCAAAGCCTGGCTTCGTATACATGTCAGACCAACAAACATGGCAAGGTGCCTTGCGTCTCCTGCACTGATACTCACCTCGCGGTCAAAACTGGCGGCGTGTCAGTCTGCTGCGGCAGAGGGGCCTCTGGGCGTGGTGGCAGACATGCTGTGACTCGTACGGCTCGAGGCAGCGGGCGCAGAGGCGCCGGGCGAACGACGAGACGATTCTGGAGGCCTGTGACAAGGTGTTGTTCATGTTGATAATCATGTGGTCGGATTCTGGCTATGAGGCTCTCTGATTAGTCTCAAGATTGGCTGTACACCGCAGCAGGATTCGCCCTCCTTTATCCTCGCAACATTCCTTTTTCTTTTTCCCAGACGGCCAGCCGCCTGTAAGCAGCGCCGGTTCACGACGAGGCTGTGGAAGGGGTTACAGACAGCTAACGGCTGTTAAGCATACCGACTTTCTCATTGATGACCCACACAGAGGAGACGGGCGGAGACCATGGTCACCGTACTACGTATGTTTCGCTGACTGTTCCCGCACTTGGCGGCCTGCTTACGGGCTGGCGAGGCCGTGTGATACGTCCGGATTGCCTGGGGGAGGGGGGGGGGGGCTTATGCATCGCGCGTCTGACAAGGAAAACCGAGGTGGGGAGGGGCACGTAATCATCATCGAGAGGGGAGCAGCCTGCCTTAATGACGGCGATAGTGGTGAACATTCGCCAATATGGGTTCAGTGGACTGTCACTTGTTTCCCGGATCTTACTGATAGGTGAGAGCCATAGGAGTCAAGGTCAGATTGCGACTCGCTCGTGTCGTATCTGAGGGCTCTCACTGACTCAATATCAGCTCATAGCCTGGTTACGGACATGACATGATTGTATCACGCGTGACTGAGATAGGCGGGCACGTGAAGCAGAAACAGGGGACACCGTGTCCCGTGGCCATGTATTGGCAATGTATTCAAGATTTTCATCCAGCCGCTCGTCGCTAAACATCATCAAAGGCATCATCAACATTATGCCCGGCACATTCTGCCGTCGGCAGCGACATTCCACACGTCGCTACCGACCGTCTTGAGCGCGTAAAAGACACCTTGGGGGTCCCACTGCTTCTTGACGGTCAGCAGCTTGTCGTAGTTGCTGCCAAAGAACTTCTCCTTCCAGTCGGGGATGTTGAAGTCGACCTCGTTGACGTAATTGCCCGAGCCCGGGGTCGCTGCCTCGATGGGCGGGATGATGGCGTCTGTCATGGTCTTCTGGTCCGCCAACATCTTGTCCCAGTCCCCAGGCGCGTTGCTCCAGGCCGTCGAGTACTGCACGTGGATGGAAGCGCTGCGCCAGTGCGGGTTCACGGCGTTGTCGACGCCCGTGGGCGCCGTGGCGTTGAGAGCGACACCGGCGGCCAGGACGCTGTGATTGTCGGCGCCGTAGCGGATCGCAGCGATGTAGCTGGCGCGGGCGGCGTCGTCGGTCAGGACGGAGCGTGGGACGAGGCGGGAGCCAAAGTTGTAGGACTCGACCTCGACGTGGCCGTAAGGCAGGGGACCCATCCACTGGTTGTAGTGGTCGCTGTAGGTGGTGTAGTTGGTCGCGGCGGAGGAGTAGGGGATGGAAAGGTCGGCGAGGACGTCAAGGAAGGGCTGGAGGATGGCCTTCGCCTCCTCGGCCGTCTTGTTGTAGGCCGTCAGCGGGTTGATGGCGAAGATGCTGCTGTTGTAAAGGAAGACGACCATGGCGCCCTGGTCGGTCATGCCGGGGAGGAGGGAGTGGAAGGCGTCGAGCATCTGCCACCACTTGTCCTGGGTGGTGTAAATGGCCGCGGTCTTCAGGCCGACACCGCCGACGACGACGTCGGGGTGCGCGCGGACAGTGACGGAGGTGACGACGCCAAAGGTACCGGGGCCGCCTCCGCTGAGGGCCCAGAAGAGGTCGGGGTTCTCGGCGCGGGAGGCGGTGACGATCTTGCCGTCTGCGGTGACGACCTCGTACTCAAGCGCCTGGTCGGCGGCCATGCCGAAGTTGGTGGTGAGGGCCGAGTGACCGCCTCCCTGGATGTATCCACCGGCAAGGCCGACTGTGGGGCATTCGCCGCCAACGACGACAAGGCCGGCGGCCTCGGCGGCCTCGGTGACCTCATAGCCGAGGACACCGGCGCCCAGTTTGATGGCGGGGCCGGTCCAGAGGTCGTCGGACCATTGGGTGACGGTGATCTCCTTGAGCTTGTGTGTCCAGGCGGCGAGGGCTCCGGCGCCGGTTGATCGGCCGAGATGGCTGGGCGGAACGGGTCAGTTGACGTGCTTCACGGAGGCGAGTGACCATTTAGGAAAGAAAGAAAGAAAGCAAGAAACGGGGGAAGACGGGCTTACTCGTGACCCGTGTTGCGGACAAGGAAGCGGATGTTGTTGTCCCGCGCAAAGTTGACGGCCTCGACGACATCCTGGGCGGACATCACCTCGACGGCGTAGTTGACGTAGTTGCCAATCAGGCACGGTGTGGTGCGGTCCGTGAAAGGGTCGCAGGACTGGTTGGCGAAGTAGGGCTGCATCACGGACGACGACGAGGGCAAGCTGGCGTCTTGTTAGCATGATTGTTTGGATTCGTCACCAGATAGATGGCTGGCTCCCGCTTGGCTTACTGAGTCTGCGGGAGAGTCCATGACTCCCGCAGGGCGGCGCAGGCGGCCTCGTCATAGTTGGGGTCGTGGCAGACGGAGCCGATGGGCACGGTGGCAACGAGCTTGCCTCCAACGGTGCTGTTGAGGGCGTCCCAGGACGAGGTGGAGGGCCAGCAGTCGTCGCCGGGAAGGCAGCGGCACGAGGCGTCATCGGCGCGCTTGGGGAGGAGCCCGGCGGCGGCGAAGGGCGCGACAGCCAGGGTGGCGGTCGCGATGACGGCGGAGGTCTTCATCTTGACAGGGCTGAAACAGGAAAACGGGGTGCACCGACGAAAGAGCGACGAGAGAGCCTCTGCAGGAGGGAGTGAGTTGGGATATTAAAGAATGACTGGGCTGCAGGGAAGACTCCTGATGAGCCACGTTGAAGCGGGAGGGCCATTGGGTCGTCTTTATATCCGTATGGATGAAGAGGAAAACGGACTGTGAGACCTGGGATCGATCCTTGGCGGCGGCGCATGGGGGCCGCTGTACATACGATGTGCTATACTAGGTACTCCGTAGTATACCAGGTAGTATACTAGGTAGTATAGGAGGCTTGAGGTGGTGTGGTGTAGTAGGGGACGGGGATGGAGGTTTTCGACATCAAGTTGGACTGAAGAATGGAGTCGGACAACCTCCACGCCGTCGCCCATTTCTCGCTGCTCCAGGAGGGACCGTTCCCAGGATCGACCCCCCTTTTGGGCAGGATGCTCCGGGATAGCATGGTGAGCATGAGGGACGGGATGCGGAGCCACCCCCTCCACCTTTGCGTGATTCCCTTGAAGCAGGCCAAGGACCAGGGTCTGCGGATATGGGCCTACCTAGGTGCCTAGGTACCTACAGGTAGGTACCCTAAGGACATCCACCGTTAACATTTGGGGGTTTGTTTGGCTGCAGCAGCTTTGACCTCGAGGATCGACACGAGGTTCTGTTGGTGCGAGCGAAGTGAAGTCAGGGGGTCTCGGAGGCTTAGATATCGAAGGAGGGCGAGAGGAAATGAGACGTGCATAATGTAAGTGGAGACCCATGCATGGGGGGGTACGGTGGTGGTAAGGAAAAGAGGCCGTCTTCTTTTCTTGTTCTCTGTTTCTCTCACCCGAGTGGCCATGGTCGTTCCGAGTGACAGGCTTCTAGAAGGTGTGTGAGTGTGTGTGTCTGTGCGTGTATATGTGTGTGTGTGTGTGTGTGTGTGTGGAAATAACCGAACGGGAAAAGAGCGTGGAATGGTTGCGTTGCGGCTTCGCACTGACGTTGCATTAAATCGAATCTCGCCAATTGCCCGTTGCATCGGACGAACAGCCGGTTGGAATGCTTGACCACGATTGTCGTGCCTCGGTGATTTGTCTCAAGGCATCAAAGACAGATACGGCGAGAAGATTCAGCCTGCAGGCAGTGAGAGAGTTGGTGTTGTGGACAATCAAATAATGCGAAACTCTCGCTTGGAGATCCTTTTGCCGGGAGCGGGCGGGTGGCCCCCAATCTTCTACTATGTAGGGTTTACATGTAGTTGGAGAAACCTTGATCGCTGTGCATTTCTGGAGTGCCCATTCTTTACACTTTCATCTCTTGTCACCGCTCGTCCAAGCTTCTTACCACCCGCCCGCATCGCTTACCGTGACGTTAGCCAGTCTATAGTTTAATTTATTTATCATCAGTTGGATCTTTGAAATCATCCACCTTCGAATCGGCGCCAAAAAAGAGACTGCCAGTAGGCACCGACCTATCCAATGCGTCAACCCAGTTAATGTTTGATTATTCATTCGTTAGACATACAATACTTATCAATGTTTGTGGGTATGCTTCGGATTTACGCTGGTGAAAATCCCCCTTCACTTCTTTTTTTTTTTCCGTCCTTCCCGACGGCAAGTGGAACTTGTTCCCCTTTTTGGGTAAGAGGCGAAGGCATCTATCCATCCGGACCTAAACCCATCACCTCTGTTTGCAAATACACCCCTGATCGCACTCTTGCAATCGTCTTTTCCGAGTCTTCGATCCCGAGTGGCGTGGTGTCGGTTCCAATAGTCTCGGCCACTAGCGTCAGCCGCCACGTTTTCCACCTTGTCGCTATTCCAAGTCCCAACGGTCCCCCGAACTTAGCCAGTCGTTCCAGGCCCGCCATGCCACCAACCCCTTGGGACAGCGTATACGGATAGAGGGCAAGGAAAAAAAGAAACCGCAGAGATCAGGGGCGCCGGGGACATGTATCAGGTGACGACATCGATCCATTTCGCCTCTCCCTTGCGGCTTAATGACCAAATTCTTCCAACAGATGGGTACCTGCAGAAACTGCGGGTCGATATGGTTATGTGCGGACAGCCGTTAACCAACCGCAACCTCGAGTCTCCCACAAGTATTCTGTAGTTGCCAGAGAGCAAACTTCTTAGCCTCGGCAGAACGCACCACCCCTGCACTTGCTTAACCCAGCTGTCAACGTGGGCTTCCATCAGGAAGAGGGGCCGGGAGGCAATAGTTGGGCTGAAAGGGGAATCTCTGCGCCGGCATGATTTGGGGCGAGCTTCTCCTTTTCAGAAATCGGAGCTTGCGCACGATCCCGCATCTACTGACTGCATGTTACACGTGTAATCCGCCGGTGCAACACTCGTTCCATTCTGATGGGTGGGGAGACCATCTCTATCTACGAAGTACGGAGTACAGAGTAGCGTATTATTGATTGTTTTCCATCTCTTTCGGGAAAGAAAGCTCCTTCTCTATCTTTACCCCTGGTTCGCCTCCGTCTTCTTTGCCATGATCCGAGCCTTCCCATACCGCCAAAGTCGTCTTAGGCTCGGTTACACTGCACGTAGCCCACTTCTGCCGGGGGGCTGAGGACAACGGTCGTCGCGCGGGCAATCGTCCAGACCCCGAGCCCCTGTCTGCTGGGCTCGGGTTCTAGAAACGCGCAGCGGGCGGACTGGCCTGGCGGGGGGTAGATGAAGACGTTCGTCACGATGCCGTTGCTGGCTGCCGAACAGGGTCGGAAGAGGTCAGCAGGACGATGTATATCCGGCCATGACGCCCGATTCAGGATGGCCTTACCTAGGGGGTACCCTGATAGCGTCTCAGGCACGTCGTAGACATCGGTGAAGGTGCCGTTCTCGTATGTGAACGAGATGCCGAACACTGCACCGGGCTCTTCGTCTTGTGCTTTCGGGGCTGCCGCGGCGAGGGCGGCAGAAAGGAACGCCGACGCAGCAGTGAGCCTCATCGTGGATATCGCCAGATGTGCTTGTTGACCCGTCGGCGAGACACTCAGATGCATCAGCAGTTTGCTTTATAGCGCAGGAATTTCCAGCTGCCCTCTCAATGATAGCCGGTTGTGCTGACAGAGCGCCATACCCAACACGAGGTATTTGCCTTGCTATTGGTCCACCGCATCGTCCTCTTCATCGTAATCATCAACAAGCTAGTAGTGGAAGTCCACCGTCAGCAGAAAGGCACGACCTTCTTGGCACACCCGCAGTGTCGGGCTCGTATTTGAGATGCGAGAATCAAGTGCCGGGCTACGGTTTCCAATGCTGACGCCTTGGGTCTGCCCGCTGACAAGTCGTGGCATTGGCCTTCCAAGGAGGACACAAATGAATTAAACACCACGTCTTTGGTGGGTACCGCAGCTTTCCCACTATAATGCTGCTGGAGGTTTCTGCTCTATCCCTCTGTCTGCTGCCGACGTTTTCCCCCTTCAACCTGCAACCTGGAGAATGTACTTCACGATTTAGCGTGAAACGGTTATTTAGACCAAGGCCATGATTCCACACCAAACTCATGCATAATCGCGACATGACAACGATACCCATTAACCACAACGCCTCGGTCATTGATGCCTGTGAGAGCTTGTTCTTCTAGTGCTTCGTGCCCTCTCGCCAAGCGCCTCTTCGATCAAGCAGTATTGCCGTCATCTTGGCACCCAATTCGAAGAGGTTGCTCGAAGAAGCTCACAGATCCGTATTTATCCCGGGACGTGCCATGCCGTCCTGCCAATACCCCTGTGCCGCAATCACGGGCTCGCAAGGTTGGAACGATGATAGATACCTGGGCATCGAAAGTTTTCTTTCTTCCAAATCGATCAGGCGCAAGACTCAAGCACTGGTGACTAACGTCCACGCATGCAGATTCCAGTCGCAAATCATAGAATACCAATGCCCCGTTGTTATCGTCATCAGGCATAGGCCACGAAGGGCGACCCCAAGACCCGACCGCTCGAATCAATCTTGACGCCCTCTTTCCTCAGAAGCATCCTCTTCTCATCAACAGTAATGCCCTCTCCGTCTTTGGGCCACTTGCCCTTGAAGCCCCCCAAAGCCCCGCCAGTGGCAACGACTCTGTGGCACGGTACTTGTGGCGCAAAAGGATTGCGACGCAAAGCGTTGCCGACGGCGCGCGGTGAGGACTTGAGATGAGCTGCTAGGATGCCGTATGTCGTGACTTGGCCTTTGGGTACTTGGCACAGGGCAGTCCAGACTCGCTTCTCGTATTCAGTGCGATTTGACCGGGCGATACGGTCGAGCTGTGTCTGCATATCGTCGCCTTCGGGTACGGAGATGGATGCGATGTCTCGTACGATAGTCACAGACGACGCCTTCGCAAGCGCTGTTGTAGACATGGCGATGATGTGTGTAAGATGACTGGGATAGTGTCACTGCGTGACGCGGCCGGTTCAGGATCGGGTAAAGCTATAAAGCACGGCGAATATCGACAGAGAGTATTGAGAGGAGATGAACAACAGGCAGGATATTGACGAAGTGCTGATTGAGTCAAAGATTAAAGAAGAAAGTTTGGCCGCTGCCAAGACAAGGGCGCGTCGCAGACCGCGACGAGCCCAAGCGGGGTCTTCGCGTGCACTCGCGGAATCACATGGTAAGCACGTGATCGTCGATACTTGGGCCGGTTCAGGCTTCTCGCAGCGCATACCTAGTACAGTCTTTTCTCAAGATGGGTACCTAGCGGCCAACTGGTGCTTCCCATGTTTGAGAAGAGGCTTCGATGGCCCGTCGAATAATGTGCAGTCTTATTTATGTATCTTTTCTGCATTTTCTTCGGAATAAAGGATGTCCAGCCCATGATTTCGTGACTATCCGAACGCCAAACTGATTCAGTCGTAAGAGGTTTTGTAACTTCGTGGCAATCCCGAAGTAGGCCGCTCACGAGCTTCGATAGCGAAAACAATAATAGGACCTCGTCTTGGTAAAAATGAAAACAAAACCAGGCCCCCTCTCCCAGCCTCTTAGTCGCCAGTGTCAACCTCAAGGTCCAGCTGCACACCGTTGCTGACACCGTAGTCCTCCAGCGTGAGGTTGTCCTTGAATGGCCGCTCGCCCTGGCGCTTCAAGAGAATCTCGTGAGGCTCCCGGCCGACTCTTGCAGCCACCAGAATCTTGAACATCTTGACAGGGTCCGACGCCAGGCAGGGGATCGCAGCCTTTGTACCCAGACGGTCGTTGACGTGCACGATTATCATCTCCTCACCGCCAGCAGCCGGGGCAGGGGCGGGCTTGTCCTTCTTGGCGGGCTTCGGCGCATCCTTCGAGCTCGAGGCACTGGGCCTGTTATCTCTGGGGCCCGAGTCGCGGGGGCGGTAGCTGTCGTTGTTGCGGTTGCGGTCCCGATCACGGTCGCCGTCGCGGTGGCGGCGAGGAGAGTTGGAACGATTGCGGTAGCCTCGCTCGAGGCCTCTTCTGTCGTCGCGGTCGTCGCGGCGGCTATTGTCCTTCCATTTGAAACCGCCTTGTTTTCTCGGTCTGTCGCGGTCTCTCTCGCGATCTCGCCGAGGCGAGCGCGACCTTGAACGCTGTCGATCAGCCATGGCGAGGGGGGGTGGTTCGGTGTGAGAGACGAGTAATTCTAGCGGCGGTCTCCAGAAGCTTTAGGTACCTAGTCTAGGCACTGCAAGCGCAGTGATCTCACAAACTGCCCCACCTTCGACATTGGGAGCTATAGTTGATTACATAACCATTTAACTACCGATGCCCCACCTCGAGTCAGTCTGCATTAGCCTAATAACTCTGGAACCACACTTGTTAATCAAGTATGTTTGTTCAGTCTAGCTAGCCTGGCATTAACATACCGAAATCAAAGTCAATGGACAGAGACTGGGGAGCTGTGTGTACATTTGTTAGAATTCAACAAAGAAAAGGCTTGAGAGGAGAACCCTGAAACGCTTAGGGGTCTTGCTAACCAGACAGTAACAAATCGGAATCAAGGTCGATTGTAGGAGACTCAGGAGCTGGAGGTTTGGGCATTGGGTCATATGTGGAGTTATCACTTGTCAGGGAAGGACGCATTGCTGCTCAAGATGCGGGCATGCGCTATGCAGAAGTTTTGTATCCAGACCGGGGAACTTTTAACGTCTCCTTTATTGAGCGTCTATATCTATGACTTGAAACCAAATGTATTCCTTCTCTTCTAGTCGTCAAACGAATTGGAGGCAATGGCCGTCACAATCCTATTCGCGACACTCTCCAATATGTCCGTTCCTTGCGTAGATGCCTCAACCTTAGACTCCTCAATGGATTCCAGAATAGTCTTAATTCCAAGACCGATCTTATCGGATCGGGTGTCGTTTCGCACAGATTGGACGACGGCTTGGATGTCGTTTCCGCCAAACATACCCGTTTGTTGCAATACCGAAGCAAGTTCGCGAACGTCTGAGACGGCAGGCACTGGGATCTGTCTGCGGAAGTGCTTGAGAACGCCCAGGTTGCTGAGGATGGAGCGTTCCGAAGTCGTGACCATGATGAGGATGCGTCGGCCCTACGTGAGGTTAGTTTCAGCTCATATGTGTGAATAGTGTATGTGGACTTACCTTGGGGGGTGGTGTCTGAATAAGAGAAATAAGTCTGTCAAGCACAGTATTGGAGAAGCGAGGCCCAATCGGGTTCCACTGAATCAGCTGCTCAAAGTTGTCCAAGACCACGATGCTTCGCTCTGACTTGTGGGCGTCGGTGAAAACCTTTGTGAGGTAGTCACTCTTTCCAAACTCGTCCCGGTAAGCAGTCAGGTGTTGGGGCGAGACGAGCTTAACGAAGGGGAATTCAGATTGCATGGCAGTGTGAGCGGCCAATGCTGTCTTTCCGGACTCTTGTGGCCCATGAAGCAGAACCGGGATTCTGGTGAGAACATCTGATTCCTTGACAGTATCAATGTAACCCATCATTGTACGGATAATGGCCGGGATGTTTTCGTTGAACTGAAGAATTCCCATTCCAAGAGCGTTTGCGATTTCATCCTCGGAAACCCCGTAGGCGGGCTTGACCTCGGTCAGCGCGTTCTCGAAGTCGTCCATGGTGATCTTCATTGCAGAGACATCGGACTTCATCTTGGCGCTGTTGCCGACTTCAGTGTGGCGGTTGAAAGCGAAAGAAGTTGCTGCCTTGACGACACCGGAGATCTCGGCACCGGAGTAGTTCTTGGTACGGGCTGCCAGTGACGCGATGTCAACCCTGGGATCCATAATGTTGTTGTCCCGCATCTTGGCAGTGTGAATCATCAGAATCTCCTTGCGTCCTTCTTCGTTGGGCAGACTGATTTCCAGCTGCACTTCCAAACGACCAGGACGCAGGAGAGCCTCATCGATCATGTCTTTTCGATTGGTCATACCAATAAGCAAGATATTGTTGAGCTGGTCAACACCATCGAGCTTGGTGAGCAGCTGGTTAACAACACTGTCACCAACGCCAGTGCCACCGCCAGCACCGGAGCCTCTCTGCTTGCAGACAGCATCCAACTCGTCAAAGATGATGATGTGAAGGCCACTCTGGTCACCCTTCTCCTTGTACTCCTTCTCTGCGTCGGCGAACATCTTTCGAATATTCTCTTCGGATTGACCGACGAACTTGTTAAGGACTTCAGGACCGTTGATAATCTTGGGCTCGCGGGCATTGAGCATCTTGCCGATTTGTCTGGCGATGAGCGTCTTTCCGGTTCCAGGAGGACCGAAAAGCAGGATACCCTTGACGTGCTGGATACCGAGCTTCGCTACCAGTTGCGGGGGAAAGACACGGGAAGCAAAGGCTCTGCGGAAAATGGTGGAGAACTCGTCGTGCAGACCACCAATGCCCATATCCTCAAACTTGAAGTCTGGCGAGATAATGGGGTTGGCGTTGCCCTGGTGTTCTCCGACTTGGAGCTTTAGTTCAGAGTCGGCAGCCTTGAAGAAGGACAGAAGCGTTGAAGTGTTGTAGAAACCACGGGCAGAAGGGTCTGAGGTTGTGACGACGGCTTCAGGTCCGCGGCCACCTTGAAAAGTGATGGTCTTTACAGTAGCAAACACCTTCAGCCCCTCGATGTCGAGCAGAGTTCGCTGGCCAGGAGCGAAGAAATGCATCTGGAAGAAGCGCTCAAAGACCTTGGCCAAGTACTCGTGCGTGAACTCGTAGTTGGGGTCTCTCTTCATCGAAGCCCAAGAAAGCTCTAGGTCCATCGCTTCCAGGGGTGTAGCGCCTTGCCTACTGGCATCGTAGACCTCGCCCTCGAAGGTGTCCGTCATTCCGATCTTGAGCCACTGTCGCTGCGGGTCGGAAAGACTGATGGTGCCTTCGGGAAGTTCGGGTGTCGGCCTAGCCCTAACGACATTCTCTCGTACGGTACCGCGGACAGGGTCTCTGGCTCTGATAAGGATGTTGATGTCGGCACCGTCGCGGCTTGGGGCAAAGTCTCGGTAGCTCACGCCAGCGCTATATCAGAGTTGGTTGTGAGTTGTGAGAGAGACTAGGAAGGAATGTTGGGATACTTACACATTGGCGTAAATGAGCTGAGTCTGTAAGGCCTTATCCCGTATCTTTTCAACCCTCAGGCGCACGCCCGGCTGCCTAGGTTGCTGTGGTTGCTGCCGAGGCAGCGGCTTCTCGGGGAAGCTCATGCTGAAGTTCGCTCGGTCGGAGTAGAGAGGGGTGATAGATTTGGTTATTCGGTCACCCACGGGTTCGTGTAGCGGGAGAGTTATGTTTTGGTTATTGAGGAAGACGGCGAGGGTGGGATGATGAGGGGAGGTTATGTAGTTTAGGTGGATGTTGGGAACTTGCTTGGAGGGGCTTCGCGGTGTCGTCTACGCCTCAAGTCCCTGGGCCCGGGGAGCGCTAAACCTTGTTCAGGCAACGTCGACTTAAGGCGAAGTAGGGTACGTACACGGCAGACCCCTTACCTTACCCTTGCTGCAGCGAATGGTGTGAAAGATGCATCGGTGCTTATGTGGACCCAGCAGGTGGGTTTGTCACCGTGTTCAGTCTGTTTCAACTCTGGCTGGCCAGTTTGAGGATGCCCGACTCGACTTCTTCGAGTATGAGACATACGGCTCATCAAAGCTGGGTTGTTTTGAACAGAATCATGGGTTTCTGTGAGTATGACGGTTAATCTTGTAAGCGCTGACATATGTCATGAGCCTGAAGCGTTGACGACAAATGGTAAGTGCCTACCTACCTGGGTACCTAAAGTACCTACCTACTCTGTATCTTTAGCAGAGCTGACTGAGCGTGACAGCCCAGGAGACGCAAAGTGGGGACACCGCAGCTGCCACAGCTGTCTGCCCACAGCCTGCATTACAAATGACGTCTATTGGCGGAAGAATCTGACTAGTCCGCTTTCGGACTCCACACCCCACTTGCTCGCAGCTTAATGAGCGGCGATCTCAACTGAGGTGGCCGTGAACCTCTCCATCTTATCAAGCCTCATCACCACGCCGTCTGAGATACCCAGTTGCGATAATGCCTCTGTGAGTGCATTTCAATATAGATACAACTCGAAAACGGTCTAACAATATTGCAGCCATCTGCTGGGCAAAAAGTCCTGGAATGTTTACAATGCAGACAACATCGCCCGTGTCCGCCGAGATGAGGCCGCCGCGAAGGCCAAAGAAGAGGCCGAGGAACAGCGCATGCAAGAAATTGATGCAGAGCGCCGCCTAGCCATCCTAAGAGGTGAAGAGCCACCGTCTCTGCCCCCAACAGAGACACTTGAAGATGAGACACGGCCTCGGGACCGCGATGCCGTGCCCATCGGTAGAGAGAGGAAGAAGCGTAAGCGGGTGGGCGAGGACGACACGGATTTTGAGTTACGTGTCGCGAAAGAACGCGCAGCTACGGTGCAGACTGCCACCCAAACGCTGCGCAAGTCGACGAGTTCTGCGCCCATCGTCGACAACGCCGGCCACATTGACCTCTTCGGTGAAGAACGCAAACAGGGCCGCCATTTGAAGAATGAAGAAGCCGAGAAGGAGGCCGCCAAGAAGAAGAAGGAACTAGAAGACCAATACACCATGCGGTTTTCGAACGCTGCAGGTAGGGACGGGCTAGTTGGTCCTTGGTATGCAACTTCTGGGGCTATATCAGAACTCGAACCCCCGAGTAAGGATGCATAGGGCAACGAAGACCCCGGGAGGAAGAAGAGGGATTCAGAGAGAATCGTTTCAAACGACCCTCTTGCCATGATGAAAATGGGTGCTTCGAGGGTGCGCGAAGTCAAGAAAGAACGCCAAAAGTTTGAGGCTGAGCGACAAAGAGAACTAGAGCAACTACGCAGGGAGGAAAGGCGCAAAGAGAGACACGAACGGCGAAGACGAGAACACAGAAAGGGCGAAGATAGATCCGGGAGAGACGGGTCTCGTGAAGAGGATCGGGATGAGGAACGACGTCGATCGAGGAAAGAAGATGACCGTCATCATAGATCAAACCAGCGGGACGATGAGCGCTCACGAAGTAAGAATCGCTCTCACGGAGAGAGAAACCACCGGCTTGAACAAAGGCACGGTGACGACAAGAGACGAAAAACAGAAACGGGGGGTCGGGATAAAGCAGGACATCGATCAGAGAGTGAAAGGCACAGGCGAGACTCTGACTCGCGACGACGTGATGAATAGGGGTGTCGACCAGGACTCGATGAGAGGAGCAGGCATTAACTACAAAAGGCATGAGCAATATCTGCAACTACACAAGTGTTGAGGGGTTATGCATACAGCTTGTACGGAAGATCATGTCCAACCCTTCGTGGTCTTGATGTTTCAGACGTCTTGCAGCCAGACGGTCATAGGGAGTTTCGAAAAGTCCTCCGTGAACATGGTGTTGAATGCTTTGCCCTCGTTATGTGGGTACCCTAGGTCGGCGCTCAATCACGCCAGACAAGGTCTCTCGTCCCCTCGAATCACTGATGGAACCTGCAATCTTGCGCGTCAATGAATTCCGTCGTCGGTATGAAGGCCGTCCGGGTTGGGCGGAAAGGCTCCTATGCATGATGAAGTCGGAGTTTTGGGAGTCAAACGGCGAGGCCTTCAACCTGCAACACCAATCATCGGGTCTCGGAATGTGATTTATGCATGCCTCTTGTCGTTCTAAGCGTTCTAACGATGACCTTGAATGGCCAAGCGCTCGACGAGCATGTTCAAATCCCAGGGTTTCGATTTTATCTTGTACGCTGCCACGACGTATGTCATGAGATACGATAGCCTCTAGGAGACCAGGAGGCTCTGGGGTAATTCTCCGAGCATCCGAGGCGAACACTTTCGGTGCTGAGCTTTGATTTATCGGCCTGGGATTGTTCCTCGCAGGACTGCTCCGCGACAGCTCCGGGCCGTAGCGCGTGAATACGACAAGGCCTGAAGATAGACATAGATCTGGTCGCTATGTCGAAGCTTGGCGATACCAACAGTTTTTGTATGGGATTTATTGGGTCCGTGGTAGCTCGGTTAGCAAACGCCATCATCACTGAGCTGCGTATCTTTGCACATACTTTCTATATTTGCAAATGGAGGGCAAGGTTACTGATGCTACTGAACCTAGATTCAAGGAACTCCGAAAGCAGATCGATTCACTTTACACATGCTTCAGAGCTGACTGCAGTCGACAAGATATCGCCGGCTGCTGCCGTTGCCACGGATTACATCTCAAGATGGAAGAAATGCCTGATCATTTCGTCCCAAGAAGGGGTGCTTTGTTATATCGAAATCTCCAGGAAAGACTTCGTCATCTTCAAATTATGGTAGGTGATCCACTAACGCTTCTCTACGCAGGGCTTCAGTCGCCTTTCCATCTTGTATCAGCCGGTCAATGCTGGATCTGATCTTTCCCCGTTGAAACAAGATGTCCAACAGGCCATTAACTTTGTCAAACTGGACCCATGTGGTTCCAGTTCTTCCCAGACAGCGGCGAAGTCGGTCGTTAGCTGTCGTGAACTCTTCGTATGCGGCCGCAGATCGGGGCTGGCCTCAGGAATGGAAGGCGTGGTTACATGTGAATCTCGATGTATTGTCCTTAATATACTTTGGGCGGGATGATGATGTATATTCCAGAATTGATTGACTCGCAGGTACAAAGTGTGCGTAGGTGCCTTATATATGTGGAAGGTATCAGAAATAAGCCGGCAACAGGTACAATACTCTGCTGACAAGATCCAATGGATAAATTGGAATTCGCTGATCCACAGACCGCTTCAGGTCTTCGAGAACTTATCACTATATTGATAAACGACGGGTTTATGTTGATAAGATACTCCTCATAGGACTCACTCTTTCCCTTTCTCGTTCACATTTTCTGGTGCGCCTTCTCCAAGCTGACACGTCTGCTTCGCTGCCTCACCTCCGACACACCCACTTACTGAGTCTGATCTAGTTTCCTTCCATCTCTTCCATCACCCAACCCTAGCGTACCCCCTCACTCATACATAAGAGCAACACTGCGCAATATTTTGCCTCGATTCGATCGTGGGAACGTGCACTGCTGTTGTGGTCTCCAGGTCTACATAGGCACATGTGTAACAGCTATGGCATATGCGCAAAGGGATACAAGACTTCCAGACTGGCAGGTCCAGAAGTCAGTCACGCTTAAGTGGGTAAGTCAGCAAAGCGTCACGTGCCTAGCCAGCGATGACGTTCCTTCTTGGGCATTTGGATCGTGGCTCAGCATATCAGCTAGCCAGTAGTCGCAGGCGTCCTGAGCATACTAGGTTAGGCGTCGTGATCCTGGTAAATCCACGTTATAGTCACAAAAAAGGCCCGGTGGCGAAACTGGAAGGCTTCTGGAAGGATTCGAAAGCGGATCAGGGAGAGGCTCAGCCCCCTTGGGACTTTTCAAAGGCCAAGATCTACTCCGTACTGCTTATCTAGCAGTTCATCCTGAAGATGTCTCGGAGCTTGGCCGACCAGTGCAGTGAGGCAGTGCACCCATGTTTTTTTTTGTATCTCCTTACACAAGCAGAGCGAACAGGGCTTCCCGAAGGCTGGCACCGCTTGTCTGGCCAACGTTAGTGTACTAGTCATTGGGGAACCGGCGATGGGCCGGGTCTAACGACCTCACGGATATGATATCAAGATCCGAATAATTGGTAGACGATATGCTGATGGGCAGACATACCGGTACTGCTGGTTGCAGAACTATTCCTCCGAAGACGCCGGGCGAAAGAATGGTCGGGCAGTGCTCGGTCACGAGTGCCGGAGAGACGCTATGGCCACATACGGAGAGTGTGGGGACAGGGCGGTCGGCGCAGATTGGCCGATCCGGAGGCTAGTGCATCAATGGCGTCCTGCCCAGAAGCTCGGCGGCAGTAGCTCGAGTGGGCAAGAGTGTTTGTGCGCATATGCAGGAAGCGGCGGCTATGAAGTCATTCCTAGATGCCGTGGGCTTTTTCGGAGAGGCTCTGCAGTTCCTTTGGGTGGCGGTGCGTTCCTCGGAGTCGGCCGTGTCGGCCGTAGGTGAGGAGCTGTGTTGGTTCGGCGAGGCCAGAACCAAAGGAATGCCGGCACACAAAATGGGATATCAAGGAGCACCTGACTGAAAGCAACTGAACCTACTATGTAGTTACTGAATACTTGACTGTGGTTAGGTAGGATTCTCGACGCTGGAGTTCCATGATACCATGCCGCTTTGCCGTACACCCCTTGACGGAACTCGGCACGCGCAAGTGCGCTGATTGGCGGTTGGCGTGCTTGGTAGGGACAGGGCTCCGAACATGATGAATGATGACACATGGATGAATGTTTTATGAAACGTTTCCCATTCACGAGGGGACTGTGTTTGGTTCGATGGTTGCAGCAATCGCCGCTGACAACCAGACATTGCGCGACACCCCGGATTCTGTCGAGATCAGATGGCGCAGGCTTGGATGGGATTGCGGCTTGCTTGGGGAAGGCCTGGATGAGGGAAAGAGCGCCAATTCATCCTGAGCGATCCCTGATCAGCCGCGCCCAGCCCGTTAGCAGGCAGAAACTCGAGCGCAAGTATGCAGTAACCGAATTACCAGGGATGATTAAAATACATGGGCGAAAATCAGGCCGGCCGCTGGCTCCTAAGGTTGGTTGCAGTTGTTCAGGCAGCGACGAATGAGGAGGGCTGAGCATCAAAAAGCCGCCTCGTGGAAAGGTTGAATGCCACCAGGCGGTCGTATGTCGTATATGGCCTGGATGTAGTGTACGAGGGCAAAGGTTTGGGAGTTCGTCCTGGTTGACCGGGCAAAGCGAAGTAAGTGTGTACCGCAGTAAGACTGCAGGGCTGGCAGGTTCATGATTGGAGGTGGCATGGAAAGTCAAGCCGTCACATCCAGACGGCAGCTATGTGTGGGTGTAGGTACTTCAGTACTTGGTTAGTTATGACACCGTCACCCTGCTCTCTTGATTCGAGGGGTGGGTGAGTGAGAGGGTGAGTGAGTTCAAGAGAGTTCAAGAGGTTGAAGCTAAAATGAGAGAGCACAGGCCACGGGGTTTTCTCTCTGTCTTGGAGAGTTTCTGCGCTGTAATACTCTCCATCATCGGGCGCGTTTGCCCCCGCATATGGTCATCGCTTCTTCTGCTTGTATCCCTGTCCATACCCCTGTCAGCAGGTGAACAGGCCACACAAAGATTCTAGGTGGGTACCTACCTCTAGGCTCTAGGTAGGTAACTACTGGTAGGTAGGTGAGGTACCTCCTTCGATTACGGAGTACACGCGACCGTCATTACCCTGATCCTTCGGCTTCCGTAGCTTCCTCTCGGGGCAGACAGGTGGATGGATCGAAGCCTGTTGGTGGTACCAACGCTGCTGTAATGCACTACCTAGGTAGCCTACCTACTAGGTAGGTAGGTTGGTAGGTAGTACTCGCCTCGCCCCTCTCTCCACTCCCAAGGTAAAACTAGCTAGTAGTAGGTAGATAGCTGGCCTCGATAAAGTCATGTAGACCCCGTACCTCATTCTGGGCGTAACACAGCCCACACACACGCCTTCTGTCATTCGACCACCCCGGCTTCTTTGACCCGCGTTGTCTATCATCTCCAGTTCTTTTTGTCCCTCTCTACTTCCCCTGCCGTTAGCCTGAGACTCGAGGTGCTACCTACCTACTTAAGAACCTCGTCTCCCCATTTCGCCCGAGCTGGTTGAACACATGGTTCACTATTCCGACTTCATTTACGAAGCTTCCGATCACCAAGATAACCATACCCACCAAGCTTCATCCTCCAACTCCGCTCGACATCTACTTCGCAACAGCTCTATACGGTCGTATTCGCCCGCAATGAGCGCCATTAATGCTCCGCACCGGGAGGGTTCCTCCACCGGCAAGGGCAGAGCCCCCGACTACGATGAGAACGACCACCGCACCGAGACCACGACTAACGGTGGTAGTCTCGGCCAGGGCGGCTTCAAGCCCCACGGAGAGATGACGGTCAAGCCCCCCACCAAGGAGGACCTCCAGCGTAGCTACGCCAAAGTCGTCGAAGAAGATGCTAACCCCAAGGGCTGGTACGGAACCATGAGTACGTCCCGTCCCCGCCGCCGTCCTTAATGTCCCGTCGCCGCATGCTGACCTTGTGCTTCCAGTCAATGCTTTCGGCGCCTGCATTGGTACCATGGGAGCCATTCCCTGCTGCGTCGTCTGCCCGAACCCCTACAAGAACGTGAACCAGGGTAACGTCGGCCTTGTCACCAAGTTCGGCAAGTTCTACAAGGCCGTCGATCCCGGCCTGGTCAAGGTCAACCCTCTCAGCGAGAAGCTCATCCAGGTCGACGTCAAGATCCAGATGGCCGAGGTTCCCCAGCAGACCTGCATGACCAAGGACAACGTCACCCTTCACCTCACCTCGGTCATCTACTACCACATCGTCGCTCCCCACCGCGCCGCCTTCGGAATCTCCAACGTGCGCCAGGCCCTCATGGAGCGCACTCAGACCACCCTTCGCCACGTCGTCGGTGCTCGCATCCTTCAGGATGTCATCGAGCGCAGGGAGGAGATCGCCCAGTCCATCGGCGAGATCATCGAGGACGTTGCCGCTGGATGGGGTGTCCAGGTCGAGAGCATGCTCATCAAGGACATCATCTTCAGCCAGGAGTTGCAGGAGTCGCTCTCCATGGCCGCCCAGAGCAAGCGTATTGGTGAGAGCAAGATCATTGCTGCAAAGGCTGAGGTATGCCTCTCTTCCCCATTTTCTTTCTCATTGAAACCGCGAATCTCACACGTCCCAGGTCGAATCCGCCAAGCTCATGCGCCAGGCTGCCGACATCTTGTCGTCTGCCCCGGCCATGCAAATCCGCTACCTTGAGGCGATGCAGGCCATGGCCAAGTCGTCCAACAGCAAGGTCATCTTCCTGCCGGGCCCCGGCCAGACCATGCCCAACATCCAGCAGTCGCTCAGCACCAACCAGTCGGGCGAGTCGTCGACCGGCGCCAACAATGGCGCTGCGGACTTCAATGACTTTGGAGGTCAGAATTCCGGTTTCCAACAAGCCATCAACTCTCGCATCATCGAGAACATTTGAGTTCTCACCGAGTGCTGACTTGAGGCTGTCGTTGGGGGGGATAGCTTCATCCTACTAAAGCCGGGCCCCTGCACGGCCGATCCCACTTGTCGATGATTCTTGTTTTTTTTTTTTTTTGCGATGACATACCCCCTTGTACTTGACGATGCTCGACATGATTAGTTTTTCAAATACCCCTTTGCGACGACCAAAACACCACCGAAAACATGTAAAAAAACAAAACAACAACAAAAACGGAACATGTACTTGTATCATTGGGCTGCCGGATGGAAAGGGAAGGTCTTGGGCCTGATCAAAAGACGATAGCCGCCATCGGCATGGTCAGGTCGGACAGGCTTTGCAGGATACCTAACCCGTTCGTTAACTATGTACTCGAAGGAGATAACAGTGGGTGAATAATGGTAATGGTAAACGAAGAAGCTTAAATTGAGGACTTGGCTACTGTACATTTTCGCATCCTCCGTCCATTTGCCCCTCTGTCTCTTGATGATATATCATGGCCGCGTGATTACTGAAATGGAAATTGCCCATGAGTCGGCGGACGGTTGATGCGCATTGAGGATGTATGGCTGATAAATGATGAAAGATGCTATTATACTATTATTCCCTATACTCGGTCTTGCGATACGATACGGCTGTTCTGAACCAACAACATGTACGCTTTTCCTATCTCCCCGATCCATCGGGAAACGCCGACACGTATACGGCTGCTTCAAGTCTCCTTCCAGGGTAGAGAGATCTCGACGGGCTGCATGTCCTTCTCAACCATCTGGGCCAAGTCCTTAGCCTCCAGCCCCTTCAACCCCTCGAGCACCTCTTTGTACCCCTCCTCACTCAGCCCCTCTTTTCGGTCGCAGTACACGTCGACGCCCTCCTTGGTAAATATCGTGGGCGCGAACCAAGTGACGGCCCAGCGCTCCCTCTCGCCGCCGGCGATCTCCCGCTCTCCCCAGCCGAGAACCTCCCAGTGGCTGCTGACGAAGAACAGCCAGCCCTTGCCCCGCCAGTCCCAGGCCGAGGTGTCCCCGGCCGCACAGGCGGTGTCGACGCCCTTGACGGACTTGACGCCGCCCGAGGCGGACTTGTTGGACTCGTACTCGACAAGGTCGTCGACGCGCGCGGTGCCGCCGGGCTTCGGATCGAGGGCGGCGTAGGAGATGCGCACGTTGCGGGCGTCGCGCCACATGGCGAGGGTCGAGTGCGTGACACACCAGGTGCGGAGGAGCCAGTCGACAGGAGGGGCGGAAAATGTCGACGGCGGCGTGGGCGCGTACTTGGAGGGAGAGCGCAGGGATACTCTCGTCGGAGGGGAGGCCATGATTTTGGGGGGGGGGGGGGGGGGAGGCTTTGCGCCGTGAGGGCGAAGTTTGCTCGATGAGGAGCTCTGCCGGGTCGGAATGGAAGGCGGCTGATAGGATGTTTGTAGCGCGATGGTTATTCAATCGGTTGGCTAGTCTGTTGGCAATGCGAATTGAGCGAAAGCTGGTCGTGGTAGGTATGTTGGGGAGAGGTGGACGTCGAGCGAGCGCAAACCATTCACCTGGGATGAGCGCCAGGGGCGGTCGTGTTTCAAATGATGTCAGTGGCCTCGGTTACTAAGACAGGAATGCAACATTCTCTCTCTCCCCTTCCGTTTGGGGTCTCAGTTCAAACAAACCAAACAAACATGCTCTCCAAATCCCCAATTCTCGACTCGCGATAAACAGTTGGATCCTTTAGGCCGTCCAACACCCGCAACTACCCGCGTCCTTCCTCCCCTTCGACTTGATGAGCAAACACATGGATCTTTGGACCCCGATTTCTTGGACCCTACGAGACTAAAAGCGACCAACCGCCCCCACCCCCACCACAGTGCCGAACAGGGGTCTTAATTCGACCTTTTTGCGCACCACGGGTCTTTCCGCGCCCAGAGCTCCCTTTTCCCTTTCTTTTTTTCTTCTTTCTCTTTTCTGCCTTCTTCCACTTTGCCATTCCCTCTCCACACCCGGAGCTCGTCTAGATAGTGTGTTCCCCCCCTTTCTCTTCACATACGACCTCGAGACCTCTTTTCTCAGCGTCATCGCGTCGCAACCTCTCGTGCCCAAGGTACCCTCTCACGCGCGCGTTAACAAAAACGATAAAACACCCGGCAGCCGACCGATCGCTCACCTCCGAAGATGGACGACCAAGACCTAGCCGCGGAAATCGACCCCGAGATGGCCGCCTTCATGGGCTTCGCCTCCTTCGGCACCCAGCCCGCCGCCAAGAAGCGCAAATACAACCACCGCACCGATGCCCTCTCCTCCGCCTCAGGCCCCGCGGGCCACCACCCCGTCGCCGCCGCCACGGGCGCCAACCAGACCGCCCTCGCGGCCCGCACGCCTCGCGCCCCGATGACCGATGCGCCACCAGCCAACACCGACGAGATAGCCCTTGACGATGACGACGGCGCCGACAACGCCGATGCCGACGCTGCAGCAGGAGGCGAGGACCAAGACCAAGACCAAGATCCCGACGAGGGCGGTACGAACATCTACTCCGACCCGACCATCGCGCCGGCCCTTGCCCACGCACAGAGCCTCATCGACGAGCTCTCAACCAGCGGTGGCGTTCCCTCCAGCGCGTCAGAAGACACCTCTGCCTCGCAGGCACAGGGCCCTGCCCTCCTCCCCGCCTCCGCAGCATTGCCCAGGCGTCCCGAAGTGTCGTGGGGCAAGGAGATGGGATCCGCGCCGACGACCATGCCGACGAGGGAGCGGAACGCCGAGGCTGCTGCCGGTCACCCGCCCCGTGGTGGCCGTCAGGGCTACCAGCAGCAGAGGAGCGATGGGAAGCCTTGGTGGGAGGGGTACTACGACCATGCGTCGAACGAGAACCCGTGGGAGAGGTTGGAGAAGAAGGCCGGTGTTCAGCCAAGGGGGGCTTGGTTGTCCAGGGGCCAGACGCAGACGGTATGAGGTGTGCTATTGGAGAATGGTCGATGACGGAAGGAGGAGGGGGGGGGTTAGGCCCCGGACTGGGATGTACATGGATGAGAGACACTGTGTGTGCCTCATCCATGGGTCCGATGATATGGACATTTACTGCCTACCCAGCAGCCCCTGTCAGCTTTGGCATATCGACAACATGGTATTCACCGGCTCCCTCATCGATATCACGTGATGACACATCTCGGCCCGGGGCTAGGTCATCCACACAAGACACCACGGCTCATCACATGATGTGTTTACTCGGCTTCGGATGTCCACGCCACGGGCCTGGCCAAGACGTGGAGGGTCATTACGGTGGCATGACGGACACCATACGGGTCACGACGGTGGAATTACGGTGGACATATCGTGGACAGCAGCCCCCGGGTAGGGGCCACCACGACCGGATAATAAGGGGCTTACGATATACGACTACGAAACTGGGGGGGGGGGGGGGGGGGGGCGTGAGAGAGCTCTACCGTCGCTGCAGAACCACCAGGGGGGTCTGAAGAACACCATTCCCGCCGGCCTAGGAAAACCATGACCTCGTCCCTGTCGTCTCCCTTCCCGAAAGAGCAATATCCTACCGCCCCGAAAAGGACAAGCGCCTCCAACAGAAATGCCACCCAGTTTTGTACCTCCTCGTCGCCTGGTTTCTCCCGTCTCCACCGCGGGGACCGGTCTGTCGGTCTTTCGACCCCTTGGGAGGGACCTTTCAAAAGGCGACAACAGCCCCCCTACCCTCCCCGGGCGCTTGCCCTGGCCCGGCATGGTCTCGACACCCCCCCTCCCGGTAGGGAGAGGGCGTGTGTGTACTTTTTTTAAAAAAAAGAAAACTACAAGAAACCGCCCTAAATCATACCCCGTTCGTCCAATCATATCTCATAATGGCCTCGTGCAACAAAGCTCCCACTCCCGCAGGGCAAGGTTCAGAGAAGGACGGCGGAAACCCCACAGCCCTGCATCAGCCGGGGTGGGCGGCGCCAAAGCTGTGGGAGAGATGATGCGTGCGTTTGTGGAGGTGTTCCCGGTCGCGTTGGGAATCTCCCACCCCCGTCAACCCACACACTTGACCCTACTCTCAGCATGCCGCCGCCGCCGCCGCCGCCGAATGTTCCTATTGCCAAAAGCAGCGTGAGATGGGCGGCCTAGGCGGTGGCCCACCCATGTTCTCAACCCGCGCCGTGCCGCTGCGCGTCAACCCGTCCCGGCCGTCGGGTTCGCCCAGGACCCCTGTCTCGCCCCCCCCCCCCCCCCCTCCTCGCCTGCTTGCCCAATATGTACCCAAGAAAATAATTAAACAAAAGTGTAAACAAGCGGAAGTGGAGGGAGGTGTGCGCTCATCAGGCACGCAGCGAAATGCAAAGTAAATCTCCGAACGTTCGGTATCACGCTTCTCCCCCCCTCCCCCCCCCCCCCCCCGCCCCCCTGCGATTCCTGCAGTGCCGTTGCCGCCGGCAGGGGTATGTGCCGCAGGTACGGAGATGTAGTGCGTCTGTGGTGGTGGTGGTGTGTGGTGGTTTGTTGACGACGGCGGGCTTGGAACTTTTTTTTGTGGTGGTGGTCGGAAAAAAAGAAAAAGAAAAATGACAGGCTAGAAGGAAGTAGTATCGTAAGGCTGGATGAAGAAGGGCGCTCGCTGGTCGCCAGTCTTTTCGACGTCGGCGGTGTCGCGCGGCTGAGAGTTTCTGGACGGGACAACGACGACAACAACAACAAGACTCGAATCGCCGAGCTCGCCGTCCGTTCCCCCCGAGCAGAAGACTAGAGAAAACCAACCAGGTTTTTCTTCTTCTTTTCTCTTCTTCTTCTTCTCTAGTACTCGGGCGAGGGATAGCGAGCACGCGCCTTGTTGTACTCGTTGGCGTGCTTGCGAGAAGTCTTGCTCTTGAGTGATCTGCAAAAAAAAGGTCCGCGTGTTAGCCGCATTGTCTCAGATCTTGCACGATTCTCTTTTGCAACCGCACCGACAACCCGGTAATGCTTCCCCCTGGATTGCGGGGAAGTTTTGTGTCTTCTCCCCCCCCCCCCCCCCGGATTGCCGGGTCGATCACTCATTGTCTCGTTTTTCTTTTCTTTTTTCTCTGTTTCTTTTTCGCGGGCCGTGGGGGGGGATATTGTGCTGCTCTCGGAGTCCCGGGAGGCGCAAAAAAAAAAAAAAAAAAGGTAGGGGGCTCAAACAACACTTACGAGACTTTCTTCTGCGTCCACTCAAGGTCCGCGCGCACGTCCTGAGCGTCGCGGTAGCCCTCGTTGAAGCGCTCGCGCGTCTTTGAAAGCCGGGCCTGTGCCTTCTTCTGCAGCTCCAGCAGCTCACGGTGCTTTGCGTTGAGCTTTCCGGACCTGTTCCTCTCTCCCCGGTTAGCCGTCTGTTTCGTTTGCACCGCTCGAGGTCCCCGGTGGTCGTTCTTTGGGTGGAGTCAAAACACTTACGTCTGCGCCTGGACCGCAATGTTGCGGTCGAGGGGGATGGGGTCGAACGTCTGGGCGAAGCGGTCCTGCATGTAGTCGTTGAAGTCGACGCCGCTCGCCGAGTGGTGTGTGCTCTCAAAGTCTCCGCTGTTGCTGCCGGCGTAGCTGGAGTTGGCGACCGAGTAGCCGCTGTTGCTGTAAGAAGGACCGGTGCCAGAGCTGACCGACTCATCCGTCTCTGGGGGCGAAACCGAGTAGGCGTTGCTGTAGCTTGGGTAGTGTTGGCCCTTGTGGGAGGGGACGGGCAAGGGGAGGGAGTAGTGGGAGTTGTAGTGAGAAGACATGATGGGCGGACTCTCAAGTCAACGAAAAGAGGTATATTTATGCGTGTGCGATGTGAGCGTGCGTGGGCAACTTGTTTGAAGCAAACAAGGGATGACTAAGTTCAGGTGTGAACTGGGTAGATGGCGGCAGGACACAAGAGTGTGCAAGGAAGAAGCTTGTATTTGCAAAGGAGGACAGCTGCGAGAAACTGTTTTGATAGAAGAAGCCTTGGGAACTGTGATGGGAGAGGAAGAAGAAGTCAACAGAATCAAACCGCTCAACATGTGCCCTTTTATACTTTTTCCCTCTTCCTCCAGAGCCATTCTCGGACTCCATCTCTTCTTCCTTTGGGCGGGGGGGGGGGGGGGGATAAGACAACCGAGCCCTCGATTCGTCCGATGACAGGCCATGGCTTCATCAACAGCCGGTGTCCCCCGGCCCACCAAAAAGGGCGAACGGACAGAATGGTCCAAGGGGCATGATGTGATGGGATGATGCGAGCAGAAGGGGGTCGCAGACGACAACGACGACGGCAACCGTGATAGAGCGGCAACCGGTCGACCTGCCCGGGTCTGGCTAGCCCGTGCGTTAGTGACAGGGAAGTGACATGAACTAGACCCTGTCTTCACCCGCGTTGCTTGCCTCGCGGATACAAGGGGGGCCGCGGGGGAAGAATTGGGAGGAAAAATAAAGAGAGATATCCAACGACGAAGCAGTCGGATGTCGAGGGTGTGGGCATCGGGGTGTGGCAACGGACGATGGTGGGAGGATGACGGAGAGAGCCATTGGCCAAGGAGGATGAGGTAGGAAAGCGGGCTGGCTCCATCTGCAGGCCGAGGTTTTTTCTTCTTCTTTTTTTTTTTATCAAGAGGGAAAGTCAAACCGGCAAGTCTCAAAGACAAAAAAGCGAGAGGAAGAAAGTGAACAAGGCGTCTGCATATGCCGAGGGGGGCAACTATCATGGGTTGGATTGGTGGAGCATCATCCCACGATGGAGGATGGGTGGTCCGGAAGAGGCAATGGATCAGTCTGGAAATATCCTAGGCAAGGGGAGGGGAACCCCTCAGAAGCAGGCTAGGACCCCTCCCCCCCTCAAGAAGAAGTGAAAAAAGAAGAAGAGAGACAGACGAGAGAGAGGGAGAAAGAGGGAGAGAGAGAGAGAGAGTGTGTGTGTGTGTGTGTGTGTGTATGTATGTCCGGTAAGCCACCACGGCACGGACTTAGCCGGCGCGGGTTGGCCAGGAGCAGCAGATGAGACAAGAATGCGCGGGTTGATAAAAAAAAAGCCATGTATGCCGTGTAAAACGGCGACGAAGAGATATGCAGAGAGTGATGTATGCGTTGGGTCCATGGCAAGGGAGGGTACAACTTTAAGATACTTTAGTTTACTTCACTTCAGCCTATGCCTTTTCTCCCACACGACTCTGGCGACTAAGGCAAGGATAGGAATAGGATGCGCCTGCAAGCCAGGGGCATGGGGCTCTGTGGACAGGAACGGCCATGGCGTGAAGGGCTTCCTAGGGCCGACGAGTTCCGCCCACGCCCTTGCGGTGTGGTGTCAAATAGGTAATTAGTATGTAGAGTGTGCCTTAGCTCCCAAGGGGCCGAGGTGTGGGTGTAAGACGTATGTGTATGTATGTATGTGTATGTATGTGTGTGTGTGGGTGCGGGCGTGTGTGTTTGTCGAGGAACCCCGGGTCGGAAGACGACGATTTGGCTGCTTTCCTACGGACACACACACACACCAGGGCCGTACATGGGAGGTGGGATAAAAACCTAGGTGGGTAGCCTGCGTATGACGGAGGTACCATGCGGGTCGTATGGGATCTCGGTCCATTCAGACGCAAGCCGAAGAGACATCCGCCATCCAGGGAAGCGAGGGGCGGTAACGTCCTGATTCGTGACGAATGGGTTTGGAGGAGGAGGAGGAGGAGGAGGGTGAGGAGGGTGGAGAGACGAGGGGTCTTGAGGGTTCAGAGGATGGACAGACGTCAAGACACTTGGGGAAGAAAACCCGGAACTACGGAGAAGAAGCAGGACCTGACGTGGATCGAAGCCATGGGCCAACGAGAGTGTCAGGCTAAGGGAGGACGGGGTGGGATAGGTTGAAAGAGGACAGGTTGGGGTAGGAATCATGAGAGACATTGGGATCGGACAGGAGAGGGCAGGGCAGGGCAAGGCAAGGCAAGGAAAGGCAGGCTGGGTCAGGAAAGAGAGTTGGCAATGGTGAGATGGAATGGGGGAAATGGCAACGTAACCATCGCTGGCAACTCAGGCCGGGGAGGGGTTATTTCTCCTCCCCGTTACCTTTCGTTCGCAATTGCGAACGAACCTGACGTTTTCTCGGAGCAAACAACCCAAGGTACCCTACCTGGTGCAGATATTCCACAACCCCAGATATCGTCTACATCTCTCATCTTCAACAATGACTACACTACGATATGACCGAGGTACGGCGATACAACGCAATGCAGGACGGGGACAGAAAGGAAATAGGTAATATGTACGTTCATCACCCACCTATCCACCCTCCAGAGAAGAGAGCCGAGCCAAGAGGTCGGCTTGATATCCTCTCTCTCTCTCTCTCTCTCTCTCTCTCTCTCTCTCGTCTAAAGCGGCGTGGGCATGCCCACTCCCACGCAGCTCGTGTCGTCGTCTCGTTGGACTGCAGGAGCCACATCTCGAATGAACCACGACGTGGGAATGGCAGGATAAAGAAGCGCCCCCCCCCCATGTTGATCATCCTCGGTAAAACAAGATATAGAAAAAAGGGTCAAGGGGGCGATGCTTTTGCTTTCTGCCGCTGAATGTATCTTTCTTTCTTTCGTCGTCGTTGACTGTTGGCGTCAATCAAGTCAGGCAGAAGTGCATCAGATTCGGGCATTTTATGTGGTGATGCGTTGTCAAGATGGGAACCAGGGACTTTTGTTTCAGTACGGATATATTTGTTTTATTTTATCCCCGATTAGTACCTATTCTTTTTGAATAATATTAGTTTATTTTTATTTTATTTTAATTTATTTCATCTTACTCTAGGCATCCCTCCTCTTCCCCCCCCTGCAAGTACCTACTCTTGAATGTCACTCTCCCTCCTTGCGACTGATTTTCCACTGGACGGTCCTTCTCGCCGCCCCCATTGGTTCGGTCACTCAGTCGCCTTCTCTTTATCTCAGTTACACACCGTCTTCTTCTCTTGCCTGTGATTGACTCGATCAATTCAATACTATGTACTTTCCAACCCTCGATTGGTGCAAAAGACGTCCGGACCACTTCTGGAATCTACAGATACAATACCTGAAGAAGGACGCCCTCCGGGGCTTAGACAGGGCTTTCTAACGCGCTCCCCCCCCCCCCCCCCCCCCCCTGCCATCCCACCCGGGCCCTCTTAGGAGACGCACCAGGTGTATATGATTTTTCCAAGTCTTCATTGGTAATATTTTCATTGGTGATAATTCCTGGAAAGCGTTCGCCCCCTGCCGCCGACTTGCTTCGGTCACTGATGTGAGGAGGGTCAGAGAGGGAGGGGGAGGAGGCATGGAAATGTGTATACCTACAGTGCCCTGTACCTACCTCGTTTGCAATGCCACCCCGTTCAGAGTCTTCACAGCTGTTTGGAGGGGGGTGGGTGCATCTCCGAAGCATAACCGTATCCGTATGTACGTGTATGTACTACACCATGGTATGGACCATGTATCCGTATGTACGTGTATGCGCAAAGGCGGAGCTTCTTGAGGCGCATCGCATGTGAGCGTTGAGGAAACGAAATTGCGTCCAAGGAATAGCCGTATCTGAGAGCCGTTTTCTGACGATAGCCCCTGGGGAAGTGTAAGAAGAGCACAATGAGCTCGTCACATTCTACATTACACCCGCAGCACCATCGACGGCGGCGGCCCAAGTCCCCGCTCAACTCCGTCATCGTCAGCCGTCGACGGTTGACACAAGTTGACCGTTCCCGCCCAATGCTGAGCATGAGAGTGAGATTGGGAGCAAGGCGAGGTGAGGGGCCAGCCCGAATTCGGCCCAACAGGCAGAGGTACCCAAAGGCCCCCCAACCCAATCTCAACCCGAATGGAACAAAGACGAAGAAAAAGTACCTTCATCATCGCCATCATCGGACCCTCCCCTTCTTACCTCTGCCTAATGTCATGAGTTACAAATGCAAAATCGATGGACAACGGGTCTTTTTCCGATCCGATCTAGCGGCGCATCGTCTTCGCGTCACCCCCATTCCTCAAGCGTCCATGTCCACAGCAGCCCGTGAGCCCTGCTGAGGTGCGTCTCGTGCGCCGCCGCTGCGATACGGTGTCGACCAGGATGTGCGAGTTGCCCCCACCGGGATACAAGACTCCTGACGATAGAGGACGTTCTGGCGATTGCAGCCTGGGCACTGGGGTGGATCCTTAGATGCAACGATGATGGGCATGAGCATGAGCATGAGCATGAGCATAGCATAGCATCAGCATCAGCATCAGCATCAGCATCAGCATCAGCATCAGCATCAGCATCAGCATCAGCATGGCATGGCATGGCATGGCAGGGCAGGGCACCCCAATAAGGCAGTCCTGTCCTGCCATCTGCCACCCGAGAGGCCCGTTTGTTGTATCCGTACACACAGGTACAATACCTAGTGGTAAGCACCTCCAATCCGGCCAAGCGAGATTGGTAAACTGTTGTCGCCGCGTGTGAGTAGGATCGTCGGTTGAAGACATGTACGAATATGTACCGAGTATACATGTATCCGTATGTGTATGCCGCAGCGGTGACGCCGACATGACAGACAACGGCACTCGGTCAAGTTCATTCAGACAAGAGAAGGGGAATGGGGCGAGGTCGACAGCCAAATGTCAAACTCGACTAGGTCGGCTAGTCTTGCAGTAGGTAGAAAGGCTACGAATGACAGGCATAACGCCAACAGTCGGCTTACCCAGTGAGAGTCATTGTCAAGCAAGCAGGTAGCGAAGCTATGGTGCCCAGACGTCCGCCCATAGGTCGAGGTCCCTCTCTCCTCTCTTTTTTCTCTCCGTCTCTTCTCTCACCCGTGTGTGTGTGTGTGTGTGTGTGTGTCTGGGGATGGCATGTCATGGCACGACATGGCACGGGCGTATGAATGAGCAGCCAATGCTTCAGGTGCGAGGCTTGAAAAGCCGTCCAATGATGGGGGAATACATGGTAACTCTGCGAGTGAATCGGAAGGTGACTCGGGAGGCGCACTGGTTGAGAATGAGCCCGTCCGGCCGCCCGTCAACCAGGCTCCGAGCTTCCGCCCGGACCTGACTGGAGCCCGCGCTGTCATCCATGCATGCCAATGTCAGATACCCTTTCTTTCCGCCGTCGGTCGAGGGACGGGGAGAAGTAGACAGCCGAGGGGGAGAAGAGGGGGAGAGAAACAGAGCGGTGACGGGGTGAAACCGGAAATGGCCTGTGCGAAGGGATTAAACATTGTTTTCTTCTTCTTTTCTTTTCCTTCTGGGCCCATTTCAGAACTCTCGTCCATCGTACAATGTTCCTCCATCGTTCGTCACGGCCAACGTGAACGTACGTACCTATGTAGTCAGTCATGAGTTACAGAGGAGCAGGACACGGGATTCGGAGCCAAGCAGTGCACAGGTAACGGGGGACCCTGCTTCGTCCCTGTTTCTCTCCATCGTACGGCTGCTTGCTGCTCTGCTGCAGCGATAGGTGTTTTGACGATGAAGGGGTGGGAGAGGCCATGCCGGGTCAACTCACTCACACACACTCTCTCCCACACACTTGTTTTTTTGCCCTGCCGCATCCAAAAGAAAAAAAGAAAAAAAAAAGAGTATTGGCTCGCTTGCATCTCCTGCACCGTACCACACGCTATGGCATGAACCGGGACGTGGGCGCAGATGCAGCTGCAGTCAAACAGGGCTGCTTGATGATGGGGCACCACATTACTGGACGACAGCTTCTCTCTGTGTTTCTCTTCCTCTCTCGATCGACTACCGAGGAGAGGGCGAGTGAGCATCAGATCCATAACCACTCGTCGAAACAACACCACCAACCCAACCTACGGTAATCAACGAGACGTCGACGTTACATCGGACCCTTGACGGGACTTGCCATCTCGCCCACGAACCCCACCCCCGGCATGTCACTACTCACTCGCCTCCCGTCGACGCCATCGCCATTCCTGCAGATCTAACTCGCATGCCCCCCTCTCTGCATCTATCTCCCATCTCTACCGCTTTCCCGGTTGCTCGCCAGCCCGAACTGTCCGTCCGTCCTCGTAGGCGTCCTTGGTCCCCCTCCCCTTCCAACAGCACACAGTTACCTCGACGAGGTCAAGCCCCTGATTCGCACCAAGCAGAATGCAGCCGATGCCACGCCATCAGGAGCATGAGGGCAACACAGCAAATGTCATACCGCATTCCCGTATCCTGCACGGATCGACCGCAGTGTCAGGTTCAACCAGCTATCAGCTGACGGCTACGCCTGGGTTTCCCCCCCTTCCAGCTGGTGTGCAGTGCTCCAAGTGCCTCCCGTGTTTCCATATACGTCCCGCCTCCCTCTGCCCTCTGGCCCGGTCTCGCGTGTCCGCCCGCCAATCTCCTCTTTGTATGAGCTTCGCTGTAGAACGTGAGGCTCCTGCCGCCCTACCTCGGAGCATTTGCTAAATTAAGAGGGCGGTTCCCGTGATGGAACCCTCAACCCCCGGTGCGAGAAGGCACGGAAGAAGAAGAAGAAGAAGAAGAAGAAGAAGAAGAAGAAGCAAGCATGCATGAACGAAATGTCCGTTAGATGCACGACATCACGACGGACGCAGCTGCCCGCGTCAAAAGCATGCTGGAGATGCTTGTCAGCCGCAGTCCATCTCAACCCCCAACTCCCGGCCTGGCCTGGATGGAACGGACGTATGGGTGGTGGATGGTACATTCGTTCGCCCGAGTCGCCTTTGCTGCAGTGCGACGAGGACCCGGTGAACAAGACTTGAATAGTCCAGTATCCCTCGCTTCCCCTTGGAGAAGGCAAAGGTCCATTTGTTGGACCTCTCCCCCCCCCACGTCGCACGCCGCGACGTCGATCCTTCTCGTGCGCCCCCCTAGGCGACGCTAAAACAGCGATGATGCTTGACCGCTCAGATGGTCCCGGATCTTGGGGGCCTTGTCCTTGCATCCATATTATCACGCGGGAACCGCATGTCAGATGGAACACCCAACTAAGGGGGGCGGGGGCGAAAGCCGTGAAGAAGACCAGGAAGAGATTGAAGAAAGGGGGGAGGTTCTGATGATTCTCGTTATCTTGTGATAGCAGCTACCATTATATATGTACCCATGGTGCTCGATGCGACCATGGTTTCCTGAGATCCGTTGCTCCTGTATCGGCGTCAAAGCCCCAAAAAAAATTCAAAAAAGAATTGGAAGAAAAAATGGTACAGACTCAATACCTGTCCTGTCCTTACGCGATGATGGCATGTTTCCTCGTCCCAACCGTCGTCCTCGCATGCCATTTCATGCTGCCTGCCATAAGGGACCCCCCACCCCGACTCCTTTCTCATCTCCTATCTCTTGGACATGATGTGAACGCCAATTAATCATGCAAAGTTAAAAAACATCATGCCAGCCGCTGGCACGAGGCAGATGGCGCGCGCCTTTTCTAGCCTCTTTCCCCTCATGATCCCCTCATTTGCCGTCGGTTTGTGCGCCTGTGTGTTTGTGTGTGTGTGTGTGCGCGTGCGTGCGCTAGCATCGGTAGGCTAGTTAGTAGCTTTCATCCCACCCCGCCCCCCGTCTAACTCTCAACGGCCGCCGCCCTTCTAGCCAAAGATTTTGAGGAATCCCCAAATACCAGCCCCGCTGAGCATTGGGATCGTCAGGTTGTCGTCCCAGCCGAAAATGTCCACCACCTCGCTGGCGGCCGCCATAAAGCCGGACCATAGACCCATGACTCCGAGCGCTAACGGTCCAGTAATGGTGGCTTGAGCATCAGAGAGTCCAACGGCGCTTGCTATGGCGCGGGGTAGATGCAGCGCCCCGGTGAACATGAAGGGATAGTCCTCGTCACCGGGGAAAGGCCCCGTCCGCGGCGCGAGCCACCCCCAGAAGAAGTACGAGGAGATGACGCCGACGAGGAAGGCCGCCGACGACCCGGCAAGCGACTTGCCGCGGCGGATACGCGGGGTGTAGGCGCCGTACAGTCGCCCAAAAGTGCTGGCGGCGGTATCGCACCAGCTGAGCAGGAGGATGCTCATGACGCCGACGTCCTTGGGGAAGAAGCGGAGCGAGATCCAGGCGCCAAGCAAATAGAAGATGACACCGTTCCACCCGGCATATTCGCTCTCGCGCATCAGGGCGCCGAGGACAGAGACGTAGAAGCGGTTGAAGGAGGCGTAGTTGTGACGGAGGTAGTCGGCGGTCGTGATGGGCATCAGGGCGGCGAAGAGCCACGGCGCGACGGAGCTCGTCTGGATGCCCGAAATGTAGAGCCACAGCGTGAAAAAGCCGATGGAGACGTGCAGGACCTTCCTCGGCACCTCGTGCTTGTGTACAAACGTCCGCCATTTCCTGTGGATCGGTATGAGGCCCAGCGGGCTGGGGCTCCGACTGAAGTCCCGCCAGCTCCAGCCGACAGGCGCAGCCGACGGCGGGGCCAGGTGGCCGTTGGCGGTGGGGACTTTGCCGTTGCCGCTGCCGTTTGGTTCGCCGTCGTCGACGACGGCGGTGACGTGGTTGGTGATGGGCTCGCTCGGGATGACGGGGGATTTGCCTCTCTTGGCGGGCTGCGGCGGCTTGACCGAAGTCATGGGGGTGATTCGGCGCGACTCGATGGGCGAGCGGCTTCTCGTGCGCGACCTGCGGGTCGTCGACGGCTCGTGTCCATGCTCGTCGGCACGCTCCGTCAGCGGTTGAGGTGTGGCACGGCGCTTCTTCGCGGCGGACCTCGTCACAGGGCCAAAGTAGTTGTCGTGGGAGGCGGCGGCATCGATTTCGGAGGGTGTCGGGCTGGGGGAGATGACGCGCGGGGTGGAGGGGACGGCGCGGACGGACGACATGATGGTGCAGGAGAAGGGCGGGAGAGCAGGACAGGCGACTGCTCCCGTGAAGATGGGTCGAAGGGGTAAGATGAGTCGGAAGGGCCAAAGAGTGGAGGAGAAGGAGTGGAAGTGTCTATCTCTTCTAGAGAGGCGAGAGTCGTGGGGGGCCACGGCGGCGGCGGCGGCGTCAGCAGAGCGGGCGTGAGTGTCGACGAAACGTGAAGGGCGAGTATAATTCCGGCTATGCTGGGCCTGGGATTCGAGTTCGGAGGCTACTGTGGCTATTGGATCCAGGGTGATGTTTAAGGATGCAGCAGAGAGCAACTCCGCCGCATGGTGTGCCGGGCTGAGACGGAGGAGAAAAGGACCACGAAGACATACGGTCGGTCAGCAGACAGCGTGACATGTGGTTTAGACGACGAGTTTGGGCCGGTTCGTCGGAGTCTTGTTGTGCTGCGAGTCCCGTCCAATGCTAGCGAATATGGCTGTGTGTGTCTGTCTGCGATGAGGATTTTTCGCGGGAGAAAAGTACCGAGTACGTACTTTGGGCGACGTAGCCAGACAGTGCGCATGTTAGTTTGCACCGTGTACAAGGTAGTCGAGCCGGCGCCAGCACCCACACTCTTCTGCATGTTTCTAGATCCTGGGTCGTATACGTACGTACGTACACGTACTACCTACCTGGTGGATAAGACGTACAATGTAGCAAGTAGTTAGTAGGTCCACAGCTGTCTTGCTTAGGCATAATGGAAGAAATGGGGATTTTATTTTCCAACATATATTCTTCTTCCATCTTGCGAGAGGTGTCATCAGCCAGTCTGCATTAGGTTTCTCTCTCTCTCTCTCTCTCTCTCTCTCTCTCTCTCTCTTTTTTTTTTGTTTTGTTTTTTGCAGTCCCGAAATCTGATAAATATCAAGCAAGCACTAAATAAACGCACCCATGAGAGCCCCCGCACCACAGTGTGTTGAGCCTGACTGACCAGCGCCCCCCCCTCTCGAATCCCACCTCCCTGTATACCTACTCGGTAGTCTGGTAGTGTATCCGTACCTACTATCTGGTGCACACGACCAAAGCAGGGACGGCCTTTCGGGGGCAGTCGATGTCAAGCCCCGGTTTGCAGGGGGTCTTTGGTGCGGTTCAGTCCATCTTGCGGTGGGGGCCCTTTTAGTGTAAATGGGCTAGGCCGCCTCTATTAAGCAAGCATGTGAAGCCATCTCCGGCCATCCCGCCGGTTCCATGTCCTTCTCAGGCGAGAGTCCACCGTCTTTCCCACTTCCATGTACGGATAGGCAGGGGTACGTAAAAATGCAGCATTTTAATTAGTGTACGGATACAGTATGTATGCTATACGACACGAGATAAATTTCTTTTCTTCTTTTTTTTTTTCTTCCTCTCCTGGATTCCCACACCGCCCTTGCCGCGCTGGGTTTGCGCAAAACCAACGGGGCTGAGAGTTTGGGATGGCTTGTGCTTGTGTGACGGCGAAACCCGTGGCTGCGAGTGGGTGGCTGGACAAGACCTGGGAGGTAGACGGCATGATATCACTCTTTGGCTCTGTCCGTGGGCGCTCAGACAAGACATGGCGCCAAGGCGACTTTGAAAGCTGTCACTGGATGTGATGTTCCAAAGGAGCGAAAGATTGATTATCGATAGCGCCCATTTCAGCTTATCGATAACTGGTCTTATCGATGGCAAGCTGACAATGTGCCCCCCCTGTCAACCCGAGAGTACCGTGCACGATAAGTACTCTGTGTATACGGATACTCCCTTATCGATTGATGCGTTTATCGATAGCGATACCGAAAAAAAGTTCTCGACCGGACCCTCCAGCTCCGACGGCATTCAAGTCCTCTGCGGCGCGAAACTCTGGCTGATCTCAACCGGTTTGCACTTCCTGCATAAGCCAATCGATTCGGCCTTGACGATGCCTCCCGCTCCTCCCGAAAAAAAAAGGGACCCCAGGTCCTGGCGAGGACTCACGCCCCCTCTGGCCGAGTGCGAAAGCCCAGCACCCTTCCACCACCTGCGCGCCCTCTACTAACCTTGCTTGGGCGCAGATGGATCCTCGACTTCGTTTCCAGCCAGGGCTTCCAGCGCATGACCCCCGTTCAGGCAGCATGTCTGCCGCAGTTCCTCGGGAACAAGGATGTCGTTGTCGAGGTAAGCGCCAACGCCGCGCGCGAGGAAGACAGGACTTTGGACTGACAAACTTCCAGGCCGTCACAGGCAGCGGCAAGACGCTTGCCTTCCTTCTTCCCATCGTCCAGAAGCTCATGCGCCTCGACGAACCCACGAAGCGCGGCCACGTTTTCTCCATCATCGTCTCCCCGACCCGTGAACTCGCCATTCAGATCCATGCCGTCCTCCAGTCCCTCGTCGGCTTCCACCCCCCGTCCGCCGAGATCCTGCCCTTCCTCAAGGAGGACGAGAAGCGCCCCGATGCCTCGGTCCCCGTCATTGTCCCCCAGCTGCTCGTCGGCGGGACCACTACGACGCAGCAAGATCTGAGCTTCTTTGTCAGACACGCCCCCAACGTCCTGGTCTCGACACCAGGCAGGCTCGTCGAACTGCTCGCCTCCCCCCACGTTCGCTGCACACAATCGTCATTCGAACTCCTGGTTCTCGACGAGGCCGACCGTCTGCTGGATATGGGTTTCAAGCAAGATATCCAGAGGATCTTGGGATACCTTCCCAAGCAGAGAAGAACCGGCCTGTTTAGCGCTTCCGTTTCCGAAGCAGTCTCCCAAATCATCACTGTTGGTCTGAGAAACCCCGTCAAGATTGCGGTGAGGGTTAAGAGCCTCAGGGACGGAGGAATTATCGAGGACCGGAAGACGCCCGTCAGTTTGCAAATGTCCTACCTCGTCACGCCAGCGAGCCAAAAGCTTCCGGCGTTGGCCAAACTCTTGGAAAATCTCAGCCCGCGACCGCAGAGAAGCATCGTCTTCCTGTCAACTTGCGCCGCTGTCGATTACTTCCAGCATCTCCTCCCTACCATCATGCCCTCGGGTTTCACGATAGTCCCTCTTCATGGAAAGCTTCCGCCCAAGGCCAGAGAAAAGAGCTTCTCGAAATTCGTCAACTCGGTGTCACCATCCGTCCTGATTTGTACAGACATCGCAGCAAGGGGTTTGGATATCCCGCAGGTAGACTTTGTCTGCCAGATCGACCCTCCTTCAGATCCCAAGGTCTTCATTCACAGAAGTGGGCGCGCTGGGAGGGCCGGCAGGAAGGGTCTCTCGGTCGTCTTCCTGCAGCCCGGCCACGAGGAGGACTACATCCCCTTCCTAGAGGTCCGCAAGACCCCTATCTTCCCCCTCACGCAACCCGAGATGGTCGTCACCGAAGAGGAGGCCAACGCCGCCTCGGAGAAGTTCCGCGACGTCCTCCGCAGCGACCGCGCCTTCCACGACAAGGCCCAGCGGGCCTTTGTGAGCTGGGTACGCAGCTACAACGCCCATCTGACGACCTCCATCTTCCGCACCAAGGACCTCGACTGGGCTGACCTCGGCAAGGCATGGGGCCTGCTGCGGTTACCGCGCATGCCCGAGACCAAGAAGTGGGAGGGCGACAAGTGGCTTGGGAATGAGGACTTCGACTGGGACAACTTTTCATACAAAGACAAGACACGGGAGGCGGCGAGGCTGGCGGCGATGGAGGCCGAGCGCAACGGCGAGAAGGCGGCGGCGGCGGACGAGGTCAAGCGCAAGCGCAAGACGAACGAGGCGTGGAGCAAGCAGACGGAGCAGGAAGGCGTGCGGACGGAGCGCCGCGAGAAGAGGAGGCGCAAGAAGGAGGCTGAGCGCATGTCGACCATGACGGAGGAGGAGAAGATCAAGGCCATGGAGCTGAACGAGATGATTGCGGAGATAAGGAGGAAGAACCAAGCTCAGGCGGCGGCGGCGGCGGGAGGGAAGAAGGACGACGAGTTTGATGGGTTTGACGATTAAAGCACCCTATAATATTACCTGCGTGTGTACGTCCAAGAGCGCGGTCCGTCTCGTGCCCAACCCCATATGGGATCGCGGCACGAGTAGAGGTTGTGGATGCGATACCCCCCACCCCGAATCCTTTTTGTTCCAAGACGAAGCAATCTCGCGAAATCCTCCCTCTGCCTGCCCCATCGACGGACTCGTCGCCGACCTTTCGACTCTGCCTTTGGTGTTTTCACGGCGGAGACATGTCAAAGAAAAGACCGTGAGCCGAGAAATCACTCACTCTACCCCAACTGCCTTTCTCAACTGCAACTGGCGGTGGTCTCTAAAGAACCGGTTCAAGCACGGTAGCTCGCGGGTAGAGCGCTGGGCTCATAACCCTGAGGTCCGTCCCTGGATCGAAACCAGGTCGTGCTATGTGTGTTCACGGGGTCGACGTTCGGAGCGAACACCAATCATTCGCAAAATCCCCCCTCCAGAACCCGGGTCGCAGGCATACGGGTCTCATGGGCCGAGGCCAGTCTCTAAAAAGGCAAATTGGATGTGGCTGCAGATATGAAGGAACACAATTGGCCAGTTCCGATATCTCGATTGCCATCCCAGGTAAAAATAGGTGGCGTGGAACAGCGGGCAAACCGACCGTGCCCTCGAACCGGGATTGAGGTCATTGGCTTCAGCCCAAGCTGGCAAGGCAACAAACGGCCCGTATGCACGCCACATCAAGCTTGCCGCTGTGTCGTGGCCCACGCCAACAATGATTGGACCAAGCAGGTTTCCGGAATTGCGTTGGCCCTGTTGATCGGAAAGATCCAGCTATCATCAACTCGTCCGCTGCCCCAGTCAGTCGCATTGAAGACCCAGGCACACGGCAACTTCTCGTGACTGGTTCAATCCGCAGTCTGAAGGCTCCCTGCGCCGTTGTAAAAGAAACGCCAGAACTGTCTGCCTCTTCAGGCGCTGCCCAATGGCCCAGTGATGGACGGTCGTACAGATTGGACACGGGAGAATGACCTTATTCGCTGGTTCCTCGGTCTGAAAACCACGAGTTAGGCATGGATATGATGGGCGAATCCTCAAGTCAACGAGGCATAATTGAGAATGGTTTCCATATATTCAGCTACCGGGCCGCATCTATAGCACTCAATATCACGGACATGTTCAAGAATCAACACAACTTTCACTGTCTTCCAATCCAACTCATAAGGTTCAGACTATTCATCGCAAGTTCATCAGGAATTCGGTCGTCACGTTCAATCCGCCCCCACGATGGAAGTAAGCCTCGAGGCCATCATAGCCATCTTTTCCCTTGCAGTAGGGCTTCCGCCTACGTTATTCATGCTCTCGCGGTGTTGGCTCGGCAGGCGACGCAGGCAGGTAGAACGTGAGCCATGAGCCTCCAGCATCCATACCCCTCACTCGTACGCTGACTTTTCTTAGAACATCAACCAACCACATCAAACAACCTTACATCATTCGAGACGCTTCCTTCAGACGAGCTCGTGCTATGGCCACGGTCGACATACCCCATTAGAGTGTGGTCGTTTGCTGGATACCAGATGGATTTGGTGCAAAATCATCCTGTTATGTTTCCGCTGCAGCAAGCAACTGGTTCGAGGGGTCACGACTTTGGCTATCTGCGTGGCGGAAGCCCATAGCGACTGGACAGAGAACGACAGATGCGGGACAAATGATTCGCAGGCCGATATCTAGCCACGTGGGCACTGAAAACCTATGCATGGACCAATGTATGCCACATAACTACCATCTATCTGTACCAGTTTTGGTCGAAAGAGGAACTCGAACTTTTCTGTTGGCTGGAAGCCTGGAAGCATGTGTTTATTAGTCTTCTGAATTGAGTAGGCAATCGAGAGGGTATACTGAACGTAGTCTTTGGGCTGGTCAACATGCTGGGTTCTGTTGGTTTACCGCCTCATTGGGATCGCATCGTGGAAACAAGAGTTTATCAACATATGGGAAGGGCAATGGCGTCACCAGATTCTCGACTGTCTTGTCATATACCTGTGTAAAACCTGGAGCACGCACATGAAGATGAGGGAAAATTGATGGATTCGAGGTAAGCCAGATGTCAGGAAACAGTCCAGTGACACTTTCGCGTCTCCAGTGACCCTTGTTTCTCACCATGAGCAGCCGCGGACGTGAACGCGGATAACCGTTCGTCACTACTTGATAGTTGTGGAAACCAGCTAATACAGCGAGTTAAATGCATTGATGGCCGTACAATGGCTTTGGCTGCGGTTACAGCAAATGGCCACACTGTCTGAGCTGGCTCTGGTGGTGGCAGTCGCGTTCTCAGACGGAGCATCTCGCCATACGGCACTTGAAGAAAGAGATCAAGGAGTTTTATACACCGGACTCCTCTTCAGAACGAATCGTAGAGATAGGTCAGTCTGACCAGGCAATCCAGCTCAAGAATCCCACGCAAATCGGCGTATGTCCATTGAATATCTAGACGCTTGTTCATGTTTCGAATCTGCAGCATTGATGGAGTTGTCTCTCAAGTTTCCGAGCTTGGTCTCTGAGCCACCGTAGCCCGCAATTCAAACCATGTGTTCCGCATAAGGCAAGTCCAAACGAACACACATGTACGGAACACGGGACGGGAACAAAGTTTTATTACTATGATAACGGCATTGCAAAAGAGTGATAGTATCAAGAGTCTACCCTGGCATTATGATGCAAACCTATGGACTCGAAGGCCCGGAACGAGTGCCCCTGAGAAGAAGAAGAAGAAGAAGATAAATCAAGATATAAATGCCTGGGAAGATTACGCAGATAACTACTTCAAACCAACTTATACCTACAGATGTTGGCGAATGAGAGATATGCCACAGTAAGCCGTGCAACTAAAGGCGAGACAGGCAGAACACCGTTTCCACCTGTGGAGATGCAGCATGACACTCCCTCGTCACTCCGCGTGTACACACCCGAGTAGATCAAGGAGGGAGAAATCACTAGAGACGAAGTAGCAATGGAACCCCCTACTGGCCTCCACGGTTTCCTGTCATCCATACCTTGGCCGTCCAACTCACAACCGAGCTCATTGGCGCCAAGACCGTGCATGGATGTATATATGGGTTACCGCATCTTGGTTGGGAGACTAGAAGCTGTCATCTTCTTCTCGTCCCGTAAGCCGCGCACGGAAGCTATACTACAGGGCAAGCCTATCTTCGGTGCAGGGCGTCTTCTGGTTCCTATTGTATAGTTCCTGTGTAGCTCGTGTAGATCCTAGGTTTGGCATCCAGACAGCTCAAGAGCTAGACGAGAACAGACGCCCCGACCAAGCTTCTTGCAAGCTTGGAAGAATGCACGGTGTGAGGCGCATGGTATCGCCGGCGAGGAATGTCCTCCTCAGGAAAGCATTCGCGAGACCCCCAAGATAGCAAGTTCTGCATTATCTGCTTCAAGCCAGGACTTCTCTACCAACCACCCGTGTATACGGATGCACGAGAGACGAGCAATGAACAAGCCAAGGAACGACGGCTTTACGCTGGTCGTATACCCGTATCCAATCATGACATTCGGAAACGACACCAGATCCATCTGCAGCTGCGCTGTCTCGTACAAGGGGGGGGGGGGGGGGGGGACGGCTCATGAGGGCATTCCTCACAGGCTTCGGCATGGTGGCAGCCGTTGCAACATCCGGCCGAGGCCTAGCCACGCCCGATCAGGTAGGTCAGAAATGCCTTTCCATAGGTCGTCGTCCTCCAGGTTCAACCCCCTTCGCGGGACCGCCCTCGACAACGAAACGACGAGAGGTGCGGGTTAATAGCCGCGTTTTGTTTTGCATTTGCATGGTAGCATTGGAGGCTTGAACCAGAGGGTCGCGCATCCGCATCCATTTCGGTACCAAGCTTCATGGGTGCCAGGCGGTCACCGAGGACACACTCTTTGAGAACCAAGGCACGCCGCTCTACGGCCTCGCTTAGACGACCAACGTCGAAACGACCGGCCGTCTGGAGTGTCCCGTGCTCGGGTGATGATGATGATGATGATGATGAACTTGGATGAACTCCACGATGGCAGTGTTTCTCTCTCTCGGATCCGCAGCCGTTTCAGGACCCACGAGGCAACCACAGCCGATCGCTCGCCATTCATCTCCGCTCCCACCTACCACCTTTGGTGGGGTTTGTCGACTATCTACAACAAAGAGGCCGACATGGGAACCACGAGGGCAAAGACTTGGGCCGAACCCAGCCACCCCTCGGCTGACGCCCCATACATGCGCGGACCTCGGATGCGACGTGGAGGAGGGAAAGGAAATCCGGTCTCTCGGCCACTTATATAGTCGAGTACGCCTCACTATCGAGTTTCATATCTCACATCTCTCTTCTTACCCTCCATTCCATGGGTCGAGACGGGTCTTCGATTCGAATCCGATGGCGGATTTCCTCCCCGTCCCTGTGCGGGGCCTTCTGCCAATTCTTCGGTAGTTGAGCAGATAAAGATCTCCGTGACGGGCAGCTTAGTGGCCTGCAGGTGTCGCCTCACCGCAAAACCACCACAGATCATGCACTAATCCCGGTCCACCTTGTGCTTTGAGAGGGGGGGGGGGGGTTCTCGCCTTCTTAACCGGGGAGTCTCTTCGTGACCGCTGTGACCTTGGTTGATGTCTCAAGGAGAGAGAGAGAGAGAGAGAGAGAGCGAGAGAGAGAGAGAGAGGGTGGGTCGCAGTAGTTCGCCCAAGGTAAAATTCCCAGTCTCTCCCTCCCTCCCTCCGAGACAATAGCGGTGAAGCTGAGGAACCGGTTCGCGCCCATTTAGATAGGCCCAACCTTAATCTAATACCACCGTCGCAGGTTGCTGACGCGCCGCCCCCCCCCCCCTCCCTCTTTTCGTGTATCCTCTAGAAAGCCTGCAGAAATTTCAGTAAAGCTCCCCAACAGCCCCGGCTATAAAACACAAACGCCTGCAATGTCTGGCTCGCGCAGTATATGCCGGCCAAACGCTGCATATAGCAGGCCACTGAGACAGGCGAGATGCAGGCCGCCTGTCAAAGCGGCAGTGGCTTTGGCCGGACGGGAGGTGGATATGCCCTGCCATCTTGCTCGTTACGGCGGCGGGTTCGGGCTAATACCTTGCGACGATGTTGCGTGAGCCCAGCGGCAGTCTCGATTAGACTCTCTTCACCCTTGACCCCTGGCAAGGGGATCTGCCGATGATGGCCCCAGCCCATCCGCACTCGCTGTCGTCAGTCTCTCTCCCCCTAGACAGGTTGATTTTCATGGCGTTCATCTGCTACGATTGCAGAGTACGTTGCGAGAAAACAAGGCCCGGGCATGGCATACACTACTGTTGCTCTCTCTCCTCAATCAATTCCACAGCGGCAGATTGACGCGCCCCATGTCGTCATCTCGCGTATTCAGCTGGGGCCTCAGTTCTCTTCCTTGTCTTGACGGCATTGACAACATGCGCCTCAATGATGGGCTGCCTGGCCATGTAGTGGAGGAACAGCACTCGTTTGCTAACATCTCGGAATGCGCACCCGTCATTCGTCTGGCATCAGGACGAATGATGATGTGCGTGGCAGCGGGCGAGGTTACACCGGCTCTCTCTCTCTCTCTCTCTCTCTTTCTCTCCCCCTCCCACGTGCGATTTACCCCGCGGCGACTTTGCATCCATCGTGAAGCCTCCCCTCCCACCTACCGCCTACCCTCAATGTGGAAGTGACGAGAGGTGCTGCGTCCAATACGATCACTCAGCGGGATGCAAGCTGGGGCGAGCGATGGTAGAGGGATAGCCTGGTTGCCGGCCCTTCCGATGAGATGCGCTGCGCGTACGACGGCACGTGCTGTCTTCATTTTACAAGATTCCATATTCTTTGATGCGGCTTTGGTGGAGTTCACTTGCCGCAACTGTGGCTCCATAAGGGAAGGGTTCCCGCAGTGCGTTGAGGTGAGAAGCTTTGCCTCGTACACGAGATCATGGAGCGCCCACGACTCCGGGTTCGCAATCCGAGCTTCATCAACTTGGACTAGTGGCGTGCCGGGGGAGCAAGATGGGGTGACACTTGGTTTGCAATTGCCGAGACCCTCGGGTGGATGGTGGGGTTTTTCTTCTCATAGACGGCCGCTCACTACGGGCGTGGGTGTGTCAGGCCTCCAGGGCTTGCCCTTGCGCATCGATTCACGAATTATCGGCGCGTATCAAGGTAGCGACAACAACGGATGCATTGCCGTCTCGATGACAATTTGGACAGGACAGGGTGGATTAATTGTGCCTGCAATCAACCCTGAAGCTCTTGCCTGGTAACGACATTCAAGGCGTTGGAAGCCCTGGAGAACAAGACGCATACCGGGGGTCGAGAGATGGTCAATGCTTTTCAAGAGGTTATCCTCTTCCCAGAGTTCAGATCGTAGCTTGTACGGAGTACGGATACACCGAGCAGGAATGACTGCAGAAGACATGAGGTAGTTCGCAGTCCGAAGATGATTACCTACTACGTAGGCGAACCAAGTGGCTCTTGGCTGACTCGCGGCGATTGCAGCTAAAAGATTTCAGGACCACTGGTTTGAGTTCGTAAATCCCAACGCTCTGGGTCTGCATGCCGTGAAACATGCAGCCACAGGCGCAAGCAGTCTCCGAATCAACGGCCTCGGTGGCATTTGATGACTGGCCCTATTCTGAACGGTGCCTCGCGGTCTTGGTGATGGCTGTCAGCGCGGCCAAGTGGCAGAAACCATACACGCTCTGGAAGAGCAACCCTCTTGGTCGCCGGCTTTTCCTCGGGCCGGCAGGAGCTGGTTGGAAAGCGGTTTTGGGCATTTGCAGAGACGGTAGGGAACGTGGCCTTTCTCTGCGGTTGAATTTCTCACCAGACCAGGCGCTCCCTTCTGGACAGCCTAGACGTTGACGGCGCGCCGCTCCGGTCGCCGCGGGTGCGACCCCCGGGAAGAGGCAGACAGGCGGACCAGCCACGCGCAGTGACGCCTGAATGAGAGGCTTTGTCGTGGCTACTGGTGGCTATCGCGGCTGTCCCCTGCACCAATTTCCGACCCCCGGTCACTCCTCATTTACCAGCGTGATGTGTGTGTGTATTAAATGAATCTTGACGTTGATGGCTTTTTTTCTTCTCCTTTTTCTTTTCTTTTTGGTGCTCTGTACAGGATCAGTGGGGGGTGCGAACACCAGTTTGCCTGTTGATGCGGCGGCTTCTCAGCCTCAGTAGGAACGAACACACAAGCTGTGTACTCGGTATTAAAGCTTGCGATATTTACACAACTCAAAAGACCGGTTTTTTGGACACGGTTGTGGCTGTTTCTGATGATCCTTGTGCGTCGTAGTGGCCCTTGGTTTAGCGCCACGCGTGGGCGACGTTGGCTCGCCAGAATACCTACCCTGGCATTCCTCCATCACCGGGTGCAATTTTTGAGAGGCAATTGGAAATTAATCGTACACTACGGAGTAGAGTACTACACTACCGGTATGTAGATACCTATCCGTGGGTGTGTACGCGTCAACCGGCACACTGGCCAACCAGACTGCACTTGTCCTTCATTGACGTTCATTGACCAGATGCCAGGGAAGAGGTATGCTGAGCGACCCTGTCGCTGCGCGTCTGCGGGGTATCTGTATCTGCGTCCCTTCTTCCAGCCATTATCCGTACCTGACAAGTGACAATCGGTGCCACGAGGGTTGGGTGCCTGCAGCAAGTAGTACACTACGGAATACAGCACAGGGCACGCACCCTGTGGTTGCTGCTGGACAGCCCTAGCCACTGCCATTTGTATGCTTTCTTTCGTCGAGCGTTTGTTGCCAAAAGCGTCTTCGGCCGCCGAGCCAAGTCTAGCACTCTAGGTAGTTAGTTGCCATCTCGTGTACCTGTGCGACCTTGAGAGAGACCGCCTTGGATACGTACCTCAGCAAGAGGTAGGTTAGCAAGTTAGGTAGTCATTGATCGTCGTCTCATGACGCAAAAAGAGGAATAGAGCACCGTCGGCTGATCTGCTCTTATCTTTTCCTCTTTTGACGGATGGCGTACCAAGCACGCGTGCTGCCACGCTGGGTAGTAGTCTCCGGTACCGAACTGCGTTTGCTATGGAGCCTTCTCAAGGCAGGACGACGGAGCACATACATAGTAGACTGTACTATAGAAGGCGAGCCGGCGACTTTGCGAAAGCTACCCACTAGTAGGCACCGTGATCTGTGACCATCTCTTGCAGATGCCGACAGGGGAAAGACAGCCTGGTGGAGATTGATTGGTGGGCATGATGAATTATCGGCTGCGAGCGAATAGTGTACATACCTACAGACAGATGCAGATGCAAGGAAAAAACGGTGCGTGACCTGCGACAGGCTTTGTGCGCATTCTGATAGGGCACTGCTCTCTCTACGCCGCTCCCCTTTTCGGCGCAGACGACAGAAGCAGCGTGAGGAATGAATAGAGGCATCACCGAGGGACCTATCCGTCAGGTCAACCGTAGAGGCAGGCAGCACGAGCATGGAATGCAACTCTGAGGTATCCGTGCCATGCCGTGCTCTGTGTTGATTAGGACCCGGACGTCTGAGGGGTCACATTGTTTGAGCGATGAGGTTCTTGATGCTCGGGTGCGTCGTTTCAATTTCAGACCCATTCAACCATGGAGGCCCAGAAGGCCAGCTTGACGGCCGCGACGAGGAATGCGGGGGGGGGGAGGAGAGAAAGAGAGCACACAGGATGACACGCCTGGCCCCCAAAGTAGAGCGGAGAACGGCACGAGACAAAGTAAGTCGTGTAGTCCGTATTCGTAGTCTACTCCGTATCTGGACTGGAAGCTGGTGTCGAGTCAAAGGTACGGATACAACCACTGATTAAACCCCGGCGTGCGTGCTGGAGCCAGCTTGGGCCAGAAGCAGGGCTTTGATTGGTTTTCGTCCTTGCCCGGCCGTCTCGCCGTCTCGCCGTCTCGCTTCTTGAATTCGCCTCGTCTCGCTTCCTGGGTCGGGAGTGGTAGTAACCAGGAGGTTGGGTGTAGGACATGACATCAACCGGGGATAAGGATTCCGATGCGTGGGTCCGCCGTTGGCCATGGCGTCGATGTTGTCCATCTATTGGTCCGTCTGTGTCCCCCCTCTCTCTGTAGGTATCTGCGTTGTTGTGGACGGCGCAGCATCAAGAGTCATGTCTGTACCTCAGTGTATACTCTGAGGTACGTGCGGATGCTTCAAGCTGCCATGGCCAAGCGACGACGGCGATGAATGCATCCGGATGCCGAGTGCTGAATCAGTGGCAGTCAGTCATGGACCGCACGTCAGATCTTTCTGGTTGGGTGGTGCGAGATTGGGCGCGCAGTTTGAGAAGAAACACTCCATGCGTCAAGGCTGGGGGAAAGCAAGGTAGCGAGCGATCCGCTGCGGGTGCCGTCTCGTCTCTTGTTGCCTCGTCAGGTCATATCGTTGGATGGTGGACACGATACGATGACCGAGATGCACATAGGGAAGCCTAAATAAGGCGAGGAATGCCGTCACATGGGTGGTTGTGTTGTGTTGTGTTTTGCGGTGCGGTGCGTTACGAAGCAGTAATGAGAGACGACGGGGAAGCGTGGGTGGAGGCTTGCTCTTGCTCTTTCCATTACGCTTTGTTTGGGTCGGGGTGCCGGCAGGGTCTCAAGCCCGCCATCCGATGTCTGTTTGCTTTCTATGTCCACCAAGTCGACACCGAACCCATCCACTGGTTCGGGCAGCAGGCAGAAGGCGCTACATTCTAATGACTGAGGACATTGCCTACAGGAGGTGGTGATGGTGAAGGTATAGCCAGCCGTGTGGAGTAGGTAGCAATATTGTACGGATATCTCGGTACGTATATACGTACCTTGGGTTCCGCCTGTATCTGCATCATACCCACTAGTGTATATCGTACTATAGGTAGGTAGGTAGGTACCCAAGCAGGTAGGGAGAGGTACGTATCTACCGTTGTCTAATCCTTTTCTCTTCCCCTTGCACATAAATGACTGGGACTGCAGTGGACTAAGGGGGGGCTCTTACCGTGCGCGCGGTACGTCGTCGCTAGTAACGAGACCCAACGACTCTCAGAAACCGTGGCTGGCGCCTCCCCTCCCCACCACCTTCCCTCATTGCTCTTTCCGACCGAGGGTGGCTGTTCGAGTTCACCACGTCAGCGGGACATAGGAAGTGAAGACATCAGGCCGAGGGGGGTACGTACCGCCTGGCCGTCGGCCAAAGGATCTCACCATTGGTAGTCAGTTTTACTACAACTGTGCCATGCACTAATATGCATGCTAGTGCCTTGCCAGGGGTAGATTGGCGCATTGGGCCAGCTCCTGCGACTAAGGTTAGTTTACCTTTACGCCGGCACTATCCGTACTCAGTGGTGCAAGGTTTGGTACCTAGGTGGTGTCCTGTACTGTATCTTCCAGGTTGTGTGTCTTGTTGGGTGGGGCCGGGGCGATTTGTGTGTGTGCGTAGTACGGAGTAGGGATGAACAGAGCAGGCAGTCAGCGAAAGCAATTACACCAAGGCACTGTCTTCAGTGTCGTGTGTGTGAGTGTGTATGGTTCCTCCTGGCTTTGCTCAGACGGGACTAGGTTTTTGCCGTGTCAGTCCATTTATGTCGGGTCGACATTGCCTACATTATGCCGTGCTCTGTTATGCTCTGTTCATGCTCTGCTCTGCTTTGCTGTGTGCCGGTTGATGCTATTGCCTCGGCCACTTTAAAAGACGAACAAGCTGACCCGTTGGTTGGACGATGGATGGTGAGTGATGACTGACATGGGCCGCAACGCTCTACTCTATCACCGGTACCTACCTGCCTAGGTAATTATGTCCCGTTCCCCACTTGCAATTGACCAACCATGCCATGTAACCCCCCCCCCCCCCCCCCTTTTGGCGGCTTCCTCCAAGCCTCTAACGCCTTTCCCTGCTCGCCTTTGCTGCTCTTTTTTAGCCCCTGGCTGGTGTTCCCCACCTGCCCACCTGGCAGAGGACGAGACTGAGCGAGGGAACGGGACAGAAAAGCATACCTAGTGCTTCTTCCTTCCTATATCCGTACTTGTAGGGTTACCTGTACGGTGGTACCGCACCTGCCCTGCACTCTCCGTCGACTACAGTCTCACGGGCCACCAAATTCAGTTGGACTGCCCCATTTCCCGGTCCTGTTCCTTACTGCCCATATCAAATCCATCTGTGTGTATCCTTGTCATTTTGTTCTGGCATGGACCTAGTCTGGCTGGCCTCTTCATAGGTAGGCAGGCATCGTAGTCCATCTATCCCATTGCTTGCTTCTCTGTCTACTTTTGACTTACCCGCGCACTTTCGACACTCGCTCTCCTCCCCCCCGCTCACAAACATACCCTCTGTCTTTCTCTTTTCACCGCATCGCATCGCATCGCATCTTTGCTTTCTCTCCTTTCTCCATTCGGACCCTCCTAGTCCCTCGACGATCTCGACCTCGACCTCGAGACGCTCCGCCATTTGGAACGACGCACAACGCTTGCATAGATACATACGGGCGAGCGCCATCCGTCCTCCATCTCAACACTTTATCCCGCCCCGCCCTGTCTTATTCCCGTCCGGGTGTCGAAGCGCATTCCAGTCTCCCGCTCACGTTCAACTCCTGTTTTAAGATCTCGGCATCTTTGTACTATGCCCGTTGGATGCTTGTGCCCGCCTCTGCGTCTCCGATTTTGACCCCGACTGTTGACTCCGGCTTCGTCTTTGTCACCGTCTTCACCTACTGAGCTAGCGAAGCTTTCCTGGTGCCTAGTTGCAAAACACTGCTCCCGCCGCCGCTGCTGCCATTGCTTCTTTATGGCGTCAAAACGTACGTTACACATACATTATGCACCCTGGGCTCATCTTTTCCCCCGAGCGTCCGACCCAGATTCGGACTTGGCTTTGGACTGGTCCCTGGATCACACGGACCCTCGGCTGCCCACGTCGACTTCTAGCAAAGCACCACGAGCCCCTCGACGCCGGGTCCCGCGTCCGGAGTCTAGAGCCCTGGCACACAAATGCGCCGCTCTTGCCTTGACTGCCTGCCCCCACCTGTCCACGTTGCCGCCTTCTTCTCTCGCAATAAGCCTCGTTTTTCCCCCCGTTCATTGCCCTCGTCACCCACTTGACCTTGTCTGATCACATACATACGTACATACATCTTGCTGTGAGCGTCAACGAAGCTGACCGAATGCCTTAACGACCAGTCACCGCAGCGAGCACCACCCGCTGCCCGCATCTGTAAACCCAGACGCGCGCAACACCGGCCATGGAGGCCACCGAACCGCGGTCCTCGCAAGACCGACCCGGCTTCAGCGTGCGCTCTCCCCAACGCGACGACCCTCCGCGCAGCCCATTGAGCCCCAGAGGTTTCGCCATCCGCGGGTCGAAACCCGGAGGTTCGCCAAAGTTGGCGACTGGAGGGGCCAAGGAAGCCCAGAGTCCCACTACTGGAGTGGGAGCAGGGTTTGGAGGGAGATGGAACACCAAGGCGCGTCTGCCGGCATCTTCGACAAAGCCAATTGTCCCGGCGGCAGAGAGGATACCGGAGGAGAGGAACCAGACCCCTCCGTATCGTAAGAGAGCAGGTAGCTCTGCAGACGACAAATTCGAGATCGCCCCCGACGGAAGTTCTGCCGGGCGCGACGGAAGACAGTTCACCGTTGCCAACGTGGGGAACAATGGCCGGATATACTTGAGGTGGGTTCTCCCCTCCTGTGATCGCATGCGGTGACCGTTGGTGGGCTCGACGCCGCCCACATGGCCAGGAATGAAGAGACCTCAATGTAATTTCACGTCTTTCCGAAAACGTACTGACAACAAACAGACCAACTATCCGCCCCGCCAACCAGAGGTACCCTCAGCCCAGTTTTGTCTTCCCTATAACGCCACCAGGGACAGCGGGCCTAGATGCCTTGACCGAGAAGCAGGCGGACAACGGCGGAAGTGAACTTCATCTGAGCCAGTGGACCACCACCCCGCCATCACCTGCAGCTGCTGCCAGTCCTCCAACGGGGACCAGCAGTCGCAACCTCTCCGGCCACGCGTCGAAGTCATCTCAACACCGGCGTGCACAATCTGACTCAACGATTCACGATGGCGCCACTAACCGAGACTCCGAGGCCGAAGGCTTCAAGATTGTCATTTCCAAACCGGGCGATGAAAAACGAGCAAAGACGACGGAGGACTTGGGCACGCCTGAAATTCCCCTGTTAGACATTGAGATTCCCAGTTGGAAATTGGGCAACCCGCGATTCACCGCTAGGGGCACTGCATTCTTCAGAGGGTCGAGCTATGCCCCGACAGAGGAATTTCCGCGCTCAAGCAACGTTTCTTTCCTGCACCCGTCTCGGTCAGGTGAGTCCGCCCCGAAGACGCCCGAGTCGACAGCGTCCAAGAAGCCCAGTCCGATCTCGGTTTCTCAAATACGCCTGCCACCCCTAGAACCCACTAGGTCGGCCGACCCTCTCGATCCACCTTCTATGACAACGCCCCGGCCGCCCGCCGTTCGCTCGACCTACATGTCGACCCATCCGGTCATCGAACCCGGCATGTTTGATGCTCTGACGTTCAAGCCAACATGCGACGATAGATCGGTCGTACGGTACTCGCCGTCCACGGGTGCAGTGACGGCTGCAACGCCCCCCCGCCTTGTCGCCGAATTCACCTCGCCCAGCTTCCTCGACTACGAGCTCATTTCCGACTTTTTCCTCACCTACCGAACCTTCATAGATGCAGGCGATCTCTTAAAACTGCTCATGGCGCGTCTACGATGGGCGCTCGACCGAAACGATGAAATTGGCATGGTTGTACGGGTGCGGACGTTTGTCGCCATGCGCCATTGGATTCTAAACTACTTCATGGACGACTTTGTCATCGAGTACTGCCTACGCGCGTCGTTTTGCAATATTCTCAATGACATGTACAGCGAGATGTCGGCCGACCCCCGAGGCCGAAAAGTCCAGTTGAAGATCCTCGCCGAACTCAAGAAGTGTTGGCGGCGGGTTTGCGGTCAGTTTTGGGACGGCCCCGAATTCGAGCCTTCACTTGGACCGCATATGCCCATCGCACCAGGCGGCATCGCCGGCCACCGAAATGCTAACCTGAACCCATCATTTTGGGAGAGGGAGCACGTCGCTCCGCAGCTTGACAGTATCTTTGCGCCAATTATGGAGGAACACGAACAGACGAGCTTCCGAGCCGAAGTGTCGCGCGCAGGCCACCTCGGGAGTTCTCGCGTCTTGGATGACAGACCCGGCACACCGGAGAACTACCATGTCCATGAGATTGACAGAAGAAACGCAGCCTCGCCAACAAGCATCGCCAGCATGGAAGTTGTCTCCTGCTCTTTCCCCGGCAAGACCTCGAAAGGGGCCCAGCATGGTAACAACCACCCGCTCGGTGCCCATCCTGTGGCACCCGCCAGCTCTACGTATTCCAACGCGGGACCGGTTGCCACGACACCAAGGACCTTGGTCGGAAAGCGGGTGCGGGCGGGTCATGGGCACAAGAGAAACGTAAGCTTGACGGACTCACTCAGAGACAAGGAGCACGCCGCCGAAAGGATGATGGTCTCTCCAGACATGGACTTTTTCATGTCATCGCCATTCGCCGGCAGTCTTGTTCGGGGAAATCTGATGCCACCAGGCCAACCCTACGTGGAGGTCATGCCCCCTTACTTCGCAGGTGATAGTCAACGGCATACAACCATCTTCGAGGTGCCCGAAGAACAAAGAAATGCGTCAGCAATGTCTGGTCAAGGGATGAAGAAGTTGATTGGGAGTGTGCGACGAGCCCTCAGCACAAGAGGGCAGGGTGTTTCACCCACGCAAGGAAACTTCATCAATATATCTCCCATCGGACCTCGTGGGGCGACGACAAACCGACTTCCCGGGACCGCAATCGTTCCCCAGGCAAGGCCACAGCACGACGGAGTCCCCCCACCTGTGAGGATAGACCTTTTGGGCGCAGAAACTGTTGAGGATTTCAAGCAGGCTGTCCGAGAAGACGCGGCCGCTGATGCCGATGTCGATGCCGGGCGGAGAGGACAACTTGGGCCAGTAGCAGAAGCCTTGCGCAACGCGATTTCGAGGGAAGTCCTTGACAGCCCAGTAGCTCATGCGGCCTACTCGTTTGAAAGCATACCGGACAATAACATCCCGAGGCCCGCCAGTGACATGGACATCACGACAGGCAGCAAATCAATCGTCATCGTTGACGACACGATTCCATCCTCCCTCCCAACCATGCACGGAGCCTTACCGGCCAATGAGTCTCTGGAGGCGTTTACTGATACCTTCCTGCCAACTGCTGCAGACCCGACGCCACCGAACACCCCCCCCGGTCAACCCCTGGGCACTCCTAGACGGTCGTCTTATCTCCTCAACCAGCATGTCACTAGGCCTTCCATTTCTGCGGATCCTCTGCCCCCGTTTGTGCCCGATTTGGCAACTTTGGGCAACAGCTCAAGCACACGCCCGTCTATGGACACTGATCACCATTTCTCCCATTTCGCTGAGAGAACTTCCAGCAGACCCAGCATGACAAGATTGGCGAGGAATCACTTCCGACAGAAGTCAAGCAGAACAGGTCGGTCTCTCGATCCGGCTGCAACTCGTCGACGCACTGCTTCATTCGGGAGCGCTTTCGATCCTCGTTCGACTGTTAGGAGTTTTGACGCGACCACATACACGGAAAGTTCAGTCGCCGCCGGCGAAGAGGCCAGCCCGGCGCCTCCGCCAATGCGTTTGTTGAGACGGCGACCTGGTGGCGACCTCCGAGCAGTGAACAACGTTGGAGATCTGGATACCCTGCCGCTGCGTAGGTCGCGGTCTGAAGGCTCTCTCACGACTTACTCGGAGTCTCTGCGAAGCTCTTCCTTGGCAAGCCCCAACCAAGACACAAGCGCTTTTGTAGACGTTGTGTCGAGCGAGTTCTCGCACCGAAACGAAGCGGACAACTTCTCACTCGGTGCCATGGCGGAATCATCAACAAAACGTCAAGTTCCATTCTTCAGCACACACTCATCCAAGCCCATTATGCGCCCCTCGTTCGAGGCAGAGGCACAGAAACTCGCTCAAATTCCTGACGACGAGGATGGTGGAGGGGTGGAATCGGCCTTGCTCAAGTTGGAAGGCAAATACGAGAAGAAGTCTCTCAAACTGTCCATGGAACCCTCAAACGCTCCGCTCCGGGGCGCAGATGCTCTTCTAGAGGCCAAAGAGGAGCCCGAAGTTGAAAAACATGGCAAGAGAGAGAACCGCCGGCTGCATGTCGTCGCCGGCGACGCAGTACAGGGACGCCAAAATGAAGGGCACGAGGCCCGTCTCAGCTCACTCAGCATTGCTCAGAGATCACGCACTGAGGCCAGCTTCTTGTCGAACAACTCTGCAGGATCGTACTGCTCCATCCCTCTTCTGGAACGCGATCTGACAGATGATGGCCGGAGCAAAGTATCCGCCCGCGAGCGGACCAGTATGTCCATCCAGGGGCCAGAAGACATGTCACCGGCAGAAACCCCACGGCCGATGTACGAAGGTTCGATTTACGATTCCTCCTTTGAGTTCGTCCAAAAGACCGAGAGCATGGAAAGGATCGGCTCGGGCGACACGAAGGCTCCGTTTAGTGAGCCATCGCTCTTGGAGGAGAAAGTCGACGTTGACGACGATGATTCACACTCGGATCTTTCTTCCGAGCTCTCGGCAGAGATGGTCGAAACCGGAGAGTTCGCCATGAACCAGACACAGCCTTTACCCGACCTCAATGCACGACGCAGCGACTCCATCCTAGAGTTCGATCCTCGTCCCTTACGAGAATCAAGCATTGGCATTTCGGATGGCCCTCCTTCGCCGCCGATGACGCTGGTTCAAGCACTTCAAATGTCACCCGAAGCAGTCTGTGTTCCAGAGCTCCGTGAAGATCAGGTGTACCAGGAAAAGCCTTTGCCGTGGGCCTCTGACATGAGCCTGGCGACCAAGGACCAAGCTAGGTCGTCTTCTGACCCCACTGGCACCAGGGAAGCTCTACGAGGCCAGCCCACGGACTCAGAGGCGGAACGTGAATCATCGTTGAGATTCTCAGTCCACCTGCCATTCATTCTCGCATTCGACTCGGAGATTCTCGCCCAACAATTCACATTAATCGAAAAAGACGCCCTCAATGAGATCGACTGGAAGGAACTCATCGACATGGGTTGGAAGAACGCGACCAAGAACGACGCGCGATCATGGGTGGACTTCCTGCGCAACACCGATGCTCATGGTGTTGAAGTCGTTATCGCGCGCTTCAACATTATGGTGAAATGGGCGTGCAGCGAGATTGTCCTCACTCAGAACATTGAGGAACGGGCCCGATGCATCATCAAGTTTATTCACATCGCCAATCATTGCCGCCGCTACCGCAACTTTGCCACCATGAGCCAGATCACCATTGCCCTGACTTCCATGGAGGTTTCTCGACTGACCAAGACGTGGGCCATGGTCCCGGCCCACGACTTGCAGGCCCTGCGAGAGTTAGAAACCCTCATTGCGCCCACACGAAACTTTTACAACTTGCGTGCGGAGATGGAGGGTGGCTCCGACACGGGCTGCATTCCGTTCGTTGGCATCTACACACACGATCTACTCTTCAATGCCCAACGCCCTTCGGAGATCGCTAGTTCGCCAACCACCGCCCCCCTAGTCAACTTTGAGCGATGCAGATACTCTGCCACAATCGTCAAGACATTGTTGAGGCTGCTTGAGGCTAGCACGCTGTATCAATTCTTGCCGGTGGAGGGTGTCACCGAACGCTGCCTATGGATGAGTGCTCTAACCGACGATGAAATACGTAAACACTCCCATCGCCTTGAGTAAGCCAGATCAACTTCATTCCTGTTAGACATGGTTATCATATCCTGGTCCAACGGCACATCCGCTGCGGCGATGACGACCTACAAAGTATGGTCGTCACCTTGTACCTGCGCTCCCCGTCAACCACGACTTTCGTTCACATTTCCTATCCCCGCGCCCCGCGCAAACACATATTTCAGCACGTACGTCCATGCGAGGTTTCTCCCAGCGACCGTCGTTTACACTTTCCCTGCTCTGAAGTGGCATCTTCGAAGTAGCGGCCATATACCCCTGTATTGATAATACCAACATGATATCACATGAGCATTGAGGCCCAAGAACCGGAGGAGAAATGGGAGGTTGAGGGAGAGGAGGACATCTGGCCGCGGCTGGCTATGTATGCATATAGAAAGCGATGGTCTATACCCCTCACTTAGCGTCATTTGAGCAAGCGAGCGACCACATCGGAAGCATAAGGGAGTTGAGCAGGACACCGGAGTTTTATTCTTGTTTTGCTTTGTTCTTTTTTCCCTTGCTTTCTTCTCCTTTTGTTTTTGGGAGGGAGAGGGACATACATGTTGGGCTTCCTGGGCTTGAGGCTTCTCGAGTGACGTTCAATACCCCTTTTGCATGTTCGAGTCTCTAGTTGACTCTGGAAGGCGAGTGAATCAGAAAAATACCATGAGATCTATAAACTTCCCTAGCCCGCATCATTGACGTTCACCACAGTCATGTGATGAAAAAAAAGTGAAACCCCACTCACTTCCCGTTGAATTGATGGGGATTGGGTAGACGTGAGCATATGATAGAGACCGCTTGCGTCTCGCGGGGGTTGACCTAGTGCTTGCTTGGTGTCTGCCTATATGCCATTTACCAGGGGGGCAAGATGACGATGCTGTGAGGTTGGAGAATTCGATGTCTAGCAATGGTTAGAAATGTGGTCTCTATTGTGGCCAAGGTGGCATGATAGTGAGCGATGGCTGGCAGGCGTCTCGATCATCTCTTACAGCTCCGTGAGAGGGATTTTCGGTTGTGGGCGGGCACGTTGGGCCGCGAGTGATGTAATTGGAGCATGGCATAACCAAGAGGCAGGCTGTCATAGAAGAACTTGCGAGCTGGATAGTATGAAGACGCCCACTGCAGGCTTCTGTCGAATGGCTTGTCAACGACATACCAATGCAGCATTTTGCATGAAAGGGAGGAGAGAGGCGAGGTCGGATCACTGTGTGTAGAACAGGGGGAGAGAAAGATGATGAGAGACCATTGACGGGATTTGGTATTGCGATGCCAAGACTTCAACCCATGCCAGCCAAGAGTCCCCAAACATTTGATGATTTTTTTCTTCTTGTCAACCGGGAAAGCTTTCATCAACGGGACAAGAACCGGGCGGGATAACGATCAAGTCCACCCCTCTTGGCCACACAGGGCTTTCCCTCTCCCCAAAAGACATGCACAACAATCCGCGAAAATGTGGTGGTTCTGCCGACTATTTCACACACTTTCTTTTGGTTCGAGTATCTTTCCCTCATTAGTGCAAGCCAAGTTGAACCCCGTTTTGCCCGAAGATTTTTGCTACCAGCGACCATCATAATCTACCATTCCATGACCTTTTTTGTGATGCTGTTCCGCCGATGTTGTGGAACAAGGTTCACCGTGTTTCGATGACCGATGACCTTCTGTTTAGCGCTCGTATGGGGGATATCCTTCGTTCATGCCGACACCTGCTGAACCGTGGGAAATCTACCACTGGGACTCCTTGGGGGCAGCGGCAGCGGCATCGCCGGCAGCAGCCCAGTCGCCGGTGGGAGCGGCGCCAGCGGCGGCCCACTCGTCACCAGCACCGTCCCAGTTGGTGCCGGTCTGGGCACCAGTGAAGCCAGGAGCCTGGGCATCCCAGTCACCAGTGGCGGGGAAGCCGGACTCGATAGCGGCAACACCCTCCTCCTCAACGCCAGGGAGTTTCTCCTCCTCGACCTTCTCCTCGGCCTCAGCCTCAGGGTCGCGGTCTGTTGGTGCACACGCGGTTAGTCTCGTGTTTCTCTCGATAACCTTCCTACAATATTCTACGCCTTGGGGAGCGGGAGAAACATACAGAAGTACAGATCGACCATGGTGTCCCAGGGGGTCTCGCGGTTGTAGATGGTGCCGCGGAGGCGGAGGACCTCACGGGCGAGCATCCACCAGATGAGACCGATGGAGTGACGACCCTTGTTGTTGGTGGGGATGGCAACGTCGACGTACTCGGTGGGGGAGTCGGTGTCGCAAAGGGCGATAACGGGGATGTTGACGTAGGAAGCCTCCTTGATGGCCTGGGCATCAGTACGGGGGTCGGTGACGATAATCAGGCGGGGCTCCTTGAAAGAGCGGGTGATGTAGTTGGTGAAAGAACCGGGGGTGAAGCGACCGGCGATGGCGACAGCGCCGGTGTGGGCGGCGAACTTGAGGACGGCGCGCTGACCGTAGGGACGGGCAGAGATAACGCAAATGTCGGCTGGGTTGTCGACGGCGGCGATGATGCGGGCGGCCAGGACAATCTTCTCCCTGGAGAGTGCGCAAGTCAGCAACCGCGCGCCAATTTCTCCCTCTCGCTCCGGCTGGCTCCCAAAGCAGCTCGAGCGGGCGGACGCGCGCATATTCTCTTACCAGGTCTTGCCAACGTTGATCACGTTGACACCGTCGGCACGGGTCTTCCAGAGATAGGGCTCCATGTGAACCTGGAGGTTCTTGCTTCCCAGGTGGGCTTGAGCTGCAAGCAGCATCTCAATGTCCTGGGAAGTGGCATTGAAGATCGAGGGCAGGTTAGCGGGAGCCATCTTGGGCGATTTCGGTCTTTCTTCCACGGGGAGACGGTGTCGGACGGTGGTGGTGCGGAGGGAAAGAAGAGAAGACTACGAAATCGTGAAGTTTCGAGATCGCGACAAAAATTTGACAAAATTGCTCGGTGCGGCAGGTGCGACTGTGCGACAGCTTGCCCTCATCGCGCTAAGGCCTTTAGCGGGGCTGGATCGGTACGTAGCTCTTGGAGTTTCCCCTTTCACGTGATTCATAAGCTAGCCTGCATCGGGCGATAGCTCCCGACTCGCTGAGGTAAGGCAAAGCGGTTTTCTTGACTTACCTAAGCCACGCAGAAGACTGGGCCATTGATCCAGGGACTCTGGAGAAAAAAATAGGGCGTCTCTTTACGCCGACGATCGTGTTGAACAGGAACCGTTGCCGCCATGCCTCCCAGATTACAAAGCCTGCAACGGCTAGGCACTGCCAGCTGTGAGCTCCAACTTTGTCTTGGAATCCATAAGAACCAATTGAATGGCTAATTGATCGTCACAGTGTGCCTACGCCCGGCCGTGAGGCCAGCAACCCCAAGCTTCCTCCCCGTCATCCAAACCGCCAACATCTCCCAGCGCGAGAAGAAACGCAAGGCGAAGCAGGACCCGTACCGACATCAGCAGGCGCTGCAGAGAAAGGCTGCGAATGTGAAGAGGCAGAGCGAGATCCAGGCGGAAAGGGACGCGAAATGGGGCGACCCGGTTCACGGCATCCCGACTCCCTTCGTCGAATCGTTCGACTCGGCTGGCCAGGCGTCGACGACCAAGATCGTCAAGGACGACAATGGCAACGTCATTTCTGAGCCCCGCCCGCTCCCTACATCTCCAAACCTTCTCAACCATCTTGTTACCAAGGAAGAGCTCCAGCACGTGATACAGAAGGCCTACGTCCTGACCAAACCCGTCAAGAGCGATATTCAGGACTACGTAGACCCTGCGGCAGAGGACCTGGCTGAGAAGAAGCACCAGGAGAACCATGCCAAGGCGGTCGAGGCCCTCAACCGCATCCTGTCCATGGACAATGCCAACTCCAAGATCCTCTTTCACACCAACATCAAGAGATGTATCGATGAGTTTGGCCGGCACAAGACCGATGAGTTCCTCCGGCAGAAGCCCAAGTCCGCCCTCGTGAACCCTAACGCCCCGCCGCCGCCCCCGAGAGCTGGCCCAGACACCGGTAGCTCAGAGGTACAGATTGCGATTCTGACCGCCAAGATCAGGAAGCTGGCGCAGGAGCTCTCGCAGAACCGCGGCTACAAGGACAAGCACAACAAGAGAAACCTCAGAGTCCTCTGTCATAGGAGGCAGAGACTGCTCAAGTATATGGAGAAGAATGAGAGGGGAAGCGAGCGGTGGACGCACATGCTTGAGAAGCTGGGTCTGTCACCAGCGACATATAAGGAGCAGATCAGCTTCTAGGTGGGCAGGAAAAGAGGCCAAGGGTGGAGGTGATGACATGTGTAAAATTCAGACTTGTAATTGTCCTCTATGTACACTAGGTATAGCGATCGGTAAAGATACTGATCTCCACGTCATGAACCTGAGCAACCTCCTTGCGCCGTTGTGACCTGCCATTAAACGATGAAACTGGTATTCTACAAAAGTACGAGAACAGGACTGCCAAAACATTAAAACTCAGAACACACTGATGTAGTTGCCAATCCGGTCCTTCTGGTTTTGGGCTATGCATTCAGCGATCCAGGTGATGTTGCGGATTTCCTGATACATCATTAGCTTGGCGTCGTCTTACGTTTGGCGTGCCATGATCTTACCTGCTCGCGGAGCCTCACCCAGGCGTACACAATGGCGAAGGTGAATTGTTGAGTGAAAGCGCTCTTGGAAATCTCCATCTCCTTTTGGTAAAACATGTCCTCCAGACTTTTACCGTCAGAGCTCCCGCCGCCGCCCATGTTGCCAGGTCCGGAAGGACCGCCACCAAGGCCAGCAGCCTCGAAAAAGGACTTGTAGTCTGCCACACCGTCAACTGCGAGGCGAACACCCTCAAAATCATCCGCTCTAGAGAGCATGAGGGTTCCCTCGGGGTACAGCTTGCCGAAGCTGGGGTAAAGCTTCTTGCGATCGTTCTTGTTCAGCTCGGTGCCGAACGAGTTGAGCGTAATATTGATCGCACGGCGGTCAGCCTCGAACTCAAGGATCTCCGACATGATGTCAGCCGTCGGCGAGCCAGCCATATCGGGGTGGGTGTTGACAAAGTTGTGAAAGTCCTCCAGGTAGTTCTTGTACAACGTGTTCCGGACGATTTCAATGTTCAGCTCGTCGAGGTCCTGGTGGCTCAGACTACCCTTGAAGTAGGCAGCAAGAGGCGTCTCGATGAGAACACTGTTGTACAGCTCTTCGATGTTGGTGGCGACACAGAGAACGGGCATGGTCTCGAACCAGCCGAGGGGATGGCATCTCTCGAGAAGCTCGCGGGTGTCTCGTTCGTGGAGCGTGCCAGTAATCAGCAAAGCTACGTTGTCGATCATGTAACCGTACGTCAGGTAGTCCATGAACTGGGCAAGTGCACCAACAGCGTTGGCCCGAACATAGCGGAACTCGGAAACGAGCTTGTCGGTCGTCTTGGCGGCGAGAGCTGACGTCGAAGGGTTGGGAGGGAGGTTACCGAGGAAGTCGCCGTATGCAGGACCAAGTTGCAGCTTGAGGTCTAGAGCCAGGTCAGACACGCATCGCTCTGTATAGGGAGAAGGATAGACCAACCATCGATGGTCTCGCACTGCGTTAAATTGCTGTAGTTTGAGCTCGTGAGAAGGCCATTCCTGTAGCCGCGGACAATGCCCTCGATGTAGCTACAGCACGTTAGCCACCAGCCGCGCACATCTCACGTATCACGTAGACAAAACCCACCCGCTGTTGACGTTGAAGAAAAGACCCTCCATCTTGACAGGATTTTGGATGCTCGATTTGAGAGAGCTGGAGATGGTGACGCCGGTCGTGTGGAGGCCCAGACGGAGTTAGCTATGGTCGTTGACTTAAGGACTCGAATCAAATGGCTACGGCAGCTGCCAGGTCCCAGCCAGTCTCAGCCAGCCGCCTTACGCAGTACAGCCACGCACGCACGCACGCACAGATTCACTGTGGCGGTGCATCTATTTGCCGCCCACTTTTCCTCTCTCTCTTTTTTTTACTTCTCCCATCGGCAAAACTGATTTTACGCGCTCCGAGCCATCCCACTTGCCAATTGGGTGTGGGGGGGCGGGCCCGCCCAAAGGTCTGCAGCATCGAAAAAAAATTGGTGGAGCTTCGATTGAGAAAAAAATATTTCCAAACCATCAATCCGCTCTGGAAACCTGCCTCCGCCGACAACAACTTACACACCCACGAGCGGAGGAATTCAACCGAGGGAACCGACAGGCTAGATTAGAAGAGTTTCGACAGTATTCAAAATGTCTCTCTTCGTTCTCGCCGAAACGCCGGCAGGGTACGTTTTGACTTGCAAACAAAAAAAAAAAAGCCAGGTGTGGTGGGAACGATATGGAAGCTAATAAAAAAATTGTAGCTACGGTCTGTTCAAGGCTGCCGACAAGAAGCTTCTGAAGCGCGATGAGCTCTCTTCGGGCCCTACTTCTTCGGAGAAGATCAACGAAATGTAAGTCGCGTTCCTAAGAAAGCCAATGGCAGTCGATTTCCGCGAAATGCACAAGACAGCGCATACGCGTTACAACTAGGCGGGCCCAATCGCAGGAAATCCTGCGTGTTAGTAAAGAACAATGCTGACCGTAGCAAAGGCTTAAGTTGAAGTCCTTCGTCAAGTTCGATAGCTCCGCCGTTGCCGTCGAGGAAGCCGCCGGTCTTAAGGAGGGTCGCGTCCCGCCGTTGCTCGCCAACCTGCTCAAGGAGCTCAAGGACGAGAAGAAGGCTTCCATTGCCGTTGCCGACCTGAAGCTCGGTACTGCCATTGGCAAGCTTCCCGACTTGAACATTCAGGCTGTCTCCGAGGCCGCCTCCCAGGATCTGTTCCGTGCTGTTCGCGAGAATCTCTCGTCCCTGATTCCCGGCCTCACCACTGAGACCATGGACCGCATGGCCCTTGGTCTGTCGCACTCCATCTCGCGACACAAGCTCAAGTTTTCTGCCGATAAGGTCGACGCCATGGTTGTCCAAGCGATCAAGTTGATCGACGACCTCGACAAGGAGCTCAACGTTTACGCTATGCGCACCAAGGAATGGTACGGCTGGCACTTCCCCGAGCTTGCCAAGATCCTCAACGACAACCTGGTCTACGCCCGCCTTGTGGTTGCCGTTGGCATGCGCCAGGACTTCAACGATGCCGACCTTTCCGACATCCTCCCCGAGGAGCTTGAGACCCCCGTCAAGACCGCTGCAGAGATTTCCATGGGAACTGAGATCACCCCTGAAGATTTGGAGAACATTCAGTTGTTGGCTCAGCAGGTCATTACCTACTCTGAGTACCGTGCTTCGCTTTCTAATTACTTGGAGAACCGTATGCGCGCTCTTGCCCCCAACTTGACCGCCCTCGTAGGCTACCTCGTCGGTGCTCGCCTCATCGCCCATGCCGGTTCTCTGATCAGCTTGGCCAAGGCTCCCTCGTCCACCATCCAGATTTTCGGTGCCGAGAAGGCCCTCTTCCGTGCTCTCAAGACCAAGCATGACACACCCAAGTACGGTATCATCTACCACTCTTCCCTCGTCGGCCAGGCTACTGGCAAGAACAAGGGAAAGATTGCCCGTTCCCTCGCCGCCAAGACCGCTCTCGGCCTGCGCGTCGACGCTCTTGGCGACATGGAGAACCAGGACGATGAGGAGGAGCGCAGCCTTCTTGGCTTGACCAGCCGCATCAAGCTCGAGAACCTGCTCCGCAAGCTGGAGGGCAAGCCTCTTCTGCCGAAGGGTGTGGGCGTGGGCCCCGACGGCCAGCTCACCACACCCGGCGGCTTCAGCCTGAAGGACTCCCGCAAGTACAACGCCGACGCCGACGGTATCGAAGATGCCGAGACCAACGGCAAGCCTGAGAAGAAGTCCAAGAAGCTTATCCAGGTCGTCGACGAGGAGATGAAGGATGCCGACAGCGAGAAGGAGGACGAGGAGATGAACGACGTCAGCGAAGAGGAGAAGAAGAGCAAAAAGGACAAGAAGAAGGAAAAGAAGGACAAGAAGCGTGTCTCCATTGTAGCGGCCGAGACTCCTGTCAAGGAAAGCAAGAGCGTCAAGGGCACACCCGCGAAGCTGAGCGAAAAGGAGTACGAGCGCCTTGCCGAGGCCGCTGGTGTCAGTGTGTCCAAGTTCAAGCGCAAGTTCGAGCGCGGCGACGTCCAGCTCGGCGAGGACGGCACGCCCGTCGTTTTCAGCAAGAAGGAGCTGAAGAAGCTCAAGAAGGGCGAGGACGAGGCTGACGAGACGCCCGTCAAGGCTACCGACAGCGGCAAGAAGAAGCGCAAGCACGAGGACGACGAGACGCCCAAGAAGGAGAAGAAGCTGAAGAAGAAGCGCAGCTCCCTCGGTGCCTAGGAAGCCAAGCGGCGTCGCGTTTCTTATTCATAGACGGCACTTGGGCCTCATGTGCATCAACATATTGTTCAATGCGCTGTATGATACCTTGATCTCTCTGGCCGGCGTTTTGGGATGGACCTGGGGGGTTTATATGGTCTGATCATTGGATGGGCATAGTTTTTTTCTCTCTTTTACTGGCAGGAAAAGTGCAATGTAATTGCTTGTTTAACTTTGCTGTCGGCTTACCTCATCAGCCATGGCATGTCTCCTCGTGAATGAATCAATTACCGTTGTCTCTCATTCAACGCGTACTAGCCAGCCTCAGAAACTTGGAATATGCATGGCCGTTAAGTGACAAGGTGTTACAAATCCATTTCTCTTAGCCTTTTTATCCCGCCTGCGAGTCAATCATCCAGCAGCTATGCAATGTTCACATACTGTGATCCCACCTCAACTGTGCAGTGAGGCCAGCATGTTCAGGCTCAATCGCGTTGGTTTTGAGATTCGACCAAGCCGCACGATATCTCCTTCACCCAAGCTCAGAGGGGAATGCAGCGACGGGTCTTCTCGTCCCGGCTGCAGATGGGCGGCTTCCCTGTCCTCAGGTTACAGCACTGGCCCAATTCAGCATCGAGAAACCATGCATAACAGAGGGTGTACTTACGCGGTAAGTAGTAGATCCAGAACAGTCGCCACTACGAGAACAGATATGCCGTGTCAGGCGTTGTCACTTTTGGTATAGCATCAGAGCCAAAGAAAACTCACGTGAAGTAGGTACCGCTACAAGAGAGGGAGTCTCTCTGGCAGAAGCCGTTGCTGTTGCAATCCGGGTAGAAGCAGCACTTCACGTCATCTGGATCGTTGGGACAGAGATCGGTCTTGGTGTAGCCATTGAGAGACTTGCATTTGTTGACCTTCTGGCAAGTGCCGTAGTTTCCCTGTAGAACCAAGCCAGTCAGTATCAGGTAATGTTGGCAAATGGACGTAGGCAGGTCAGACCTTGCTGTCCTTACAGTAGCTACCAATGGCCGCAAGGGCACCCGATAGGGAAAGGGCCGAATTAAGAGCTGAGGCCTTCATGTTCTACGTTTAAATGGTATGATTACGATATCAGTGCTAAGCTTCGCTGCGTATTGGCTTGGACGAGAAGCTTCAGTTCCCGTGGCGGAAATGAACGCCTTTTGTAGTTGGCAACCACCGTGTAGACTATGCCGCTAAGCTTTGTTCATTTTTCCTTCTGAATTCAAAGATGCGTTCCTGGCTTTCGACGCAAGCCACGCGAAACACAGCTCCCCTGGATGACGAGCAACAGAGCGAAGTGGGATTGCAGGCTTGACCGGCTGGTGCCCAGACTATGTACCATGCCACAGCAGAAGCAAGGGTAAGACTGAGAACTATCGGAGTCTAGGTCGATATAGAACCTCAATTGCTTGGCTGAAATATGTCGACAATGCTGCCATTGGCTGCTCGTGCCAGCCTTCATTGATTGAGGTAAAACCTCCGGTCTTTACAATAGAACCGAACAGGCTAACTTGACGGGCGCTTGCGTGATGCATGTAAATACAGATTGGCTTCCTCAACATATAGATGCCAATAGGGAAGGTGACTTGCTGTTGAACGAGGCTGTCAAGCAAATGGCCTACATGGAGCCGGGGCAACAGAGAATCTGAACCATGTAATAAAACGTAAACGAGGTGTTCAGCTGAAATGCAAGCCGAACCTCTCCTTCGATAACCACCGCCAATCGCTTGTAGCCACGCCATCATGAGGGAGATGTTGTACGGGGCCGTCCACAAACTCTGCGAGACACATCTTGAGCCTCTACAAGTATTTGCAATTCAGCACATAAGTACAGTGCAACCAGAACTAACACATGCTGTGCTATGCAATAAATAAAGCCACAGTGAAACCGCAGTCTATTTCTTGAGATGGTTGTCTCTCGAAGCATTGAGTTTATACTCTAGCAATCCAAGTCCAAGATTCGTCGGTGTCTTTGACGATGGTGCATCGGTAAGCTGTCTCACACCGACAAGCGAAGCACGTGACTCGCTGTTGGATCCACGTGATTCGATGTGATGAACGCTGCAAGAGCATCAATCAACACGTTCCTTTCCTCACAGGCGCGCGCACGTTGACCAGCCCTCGAGATTTGGATTTTTCATTCAAAACCTTGGAGTCGGCAATGGAAGATCGACGGCGGGGAAACTTCCATGGCAACCGCCCACGACCTGACCTGCAGAGCCCGGAGCAGCTTAGCAACAGACGTGACGGCCTCGACCTGCAGGCCGATCCTCCAGAGCAGTGGATGAACGATTACTATGACCGCCGAGCCACCAGAACTCATGGTCCGAACGGTGGGTTACGTCTTTTATTCCCTCAGACAGTCAGGTTTATCATTGCGTAGGAGTTTTATCTGCATATCTCCCCTCCTGCCTACCATTTTGCACAGCAGCTCCCACTACACCCACCGGCCGTAGCTGCTAGTCTCCCATCTAATTCACTCCTTTTGCACTCTGTTGACACAAGCGAGAGAGCGCTCAGGTGTGTCGTTTATCTTCGAATGAAGCAGACAAGGGTCGTTTCTCCTCGGCAAGGGTCTCATTTCGGTCGCGGTTTGATGAGAAGTCTTCCCGACACCTTCGCTGCAACCCAAAAGACAAGGGCTTCAATTGCTCCCACTCACTCACGAAATTGCGTGCGCGTCCAGACATCCAAGAATCAAACCGCCGGTAGCGCTTGAGTGGTTCGGGGAGTTCATACACAAATAGGATTTTGACTGAGCACCGGGGCCAACCGCTGACCCGCCCTGGTTCATGCGGCCTTGGCCGTACTGCTAGAGTTCAGACGATTGCCCAAGCGGGAGGCGTGCCATGGGAGTCTTTGATTGTTTCATTAAATGCTTCACACAGCTGCTGACTCATTCAACCTGCCAGGTAGCTCACATCCAGACGACCACATTTCCAGCGACGGCGAAGCCTTTCCCCCACAGCGTGTTGACTGGGAGGCTATGAGAGCCGGCCCCAACATGGAGGAATATCTGCGCAATGCGCCGATCCCGGAGTACTCTGACGAAGAAGGCATCAGTATGCCCCTTGATGACCTCGGCGAGATATCTGCCACCGACACCAGCATTGAGGACGGCGAGAACGGGGACCATGCAGGAGACCATCACGAAGAGCCCGAGTTCGATCCTCTTGCCGCCGGGCTCAAGGAGATATCCAATCTGGGAAAGTTCACCGTCAGTAGCCACAAGCAGGGCAACGGTGTTGAGCAGCTGCGCAATGACAGTTTGAAGACCTACTGGCAGTATGTTGTTCTATAGTTCTGACTACTAGTACTAGCAATCGGGTTTACTGACTGGCGATAGATCCGATGGGCCCCAACCTCATAAGCTAACGGTATACTTCATCAAGCGGGTCGGTATCAGAGACATTCGCTTCTTCGTGGACTTCAATGAGGACGAGTCCTATACGCCTACCAAGATCATCTTCAAGTCCGGCACCAGTGAGAACAACCTTGTTCAGTTCGCCACGATGGAAATGTCGCAACCCTCTGGTTGGCAGCAGGTTCCTATTGTTGGTGCCGGTGGTGGCCCCGACGGCAATACGCTGGTCTCCTACGTGTTCCAAATGCAGATACTTGAGAATCACCAGAACGGAAAGGATACCCACCTTCGGTCCATCAAGATCTATGCGGCCGACACTGGCGCCCCCAACGTCGACCTGGGCAGTACGCACCATGTAAGTATGGTCTTCATCTAGTCATAGTTATGCCACTGACATGATTTCGTAGCAGGTTGCGAATGAGGGGGCGGACGAGGGACCTGCCGACCCCTGGGACCTTTCCGTGCTCGAAGCCGGCCTTACCATTCCGGATTTCATGAAGGAACCTGAAATCCGATGAGGAAGGACGGATTCCCGGTACCATCAGCTGGCTCTGAGAGCCCTGTCTCTTAAAGCCCTGGTGATAGTTAGGAGGCTTAGGCTCATGACCTCGGTAAGAAGGCATCGGTGTGGATGGATAGCAGACGTCACTGCAACTTATTTTCACTGTAATGATACCCCAAAATCGGATGCGGAAGAATCATGAGGCTCAAACTAGAGCTAAAAGCTTGATAACACGGTTGCAGCTCACGACTGAACGTCTCAGGAGAGCTGTTCAGCATTCGTGTGGCCAATAAGCTGGTCCTTCGTAATGGTACACTTATTTCTGTATGGCTACGCATGTACTGCATGTCAGTTTGTGGCAATACGGTTTGCTCAGTGCCTCGTCAAACACTGCCCAAGGCATCGTGTACCTACCATCTAGCGCCAGCGGCTGAAGTCTGGCGTCCAGTCAAACGGCACCATGCACCGCACCCCTGCAGCGCCGGATGAACCATGTTCGATTCTGACTATGGAATCTGCACCGAGGAGTCACACGTGATAGCATCTGAAGGGTTTGAGACCTTCGGCCGTGTTCGCCAAGGTTGAACTCCGCTCCTGGAGCCAGTCAACAAACCTAGACTTACAAAGAGTTTCGCGACACGAAATGAACACATGGGTCTGATGGAACAAGACAGCTCATACCAGTATCAGTCCCTACCGCCAATCTTAGAATAGGGTCGAACGCCGCCATTTACACGCCTGCTCTTCCTGCATCCGGGCTCTGGAGAGGACCCCTTCGAAGCACAGCTGCAAATCATCAACATCGAAGATGCGCCTCCCTATGAAGCGTTATAGTACACCTGGGGAGAGCCCACTGACGAGCCGAGGGATTACATGTGGCTACAAGGCTATCCTTTGCCCATCAAACCGAATATAGAGGACGCCTTGCGCTCTCTGCGCTTGCCGACACAGGTGCGCTGACTATGGATCGACGCCCTCTGCATTGACCAGTCGAACTTGGAGGAACGCTCTCGCCAGGTTCAGTACATGTGGTTGGTTTATAAACATGCCGCCCGTGTGATTGTTTGGCTGGGCATTAAGACTTCTGGGACTTAAGAGGCATTCCTAGCCGCGGATAGGCTTGCGAGGATCAGAGAATACACTCATCCCGGTCCGAACGCCGCCCAACTTGATACCGATGCCTCGCAGCAACTGATGAGCAGCATGATTGATGAACTGCCCGAGATATGCATGGTTCATTTGAACGAAGTTTTTGAACGGCCGTACTTTAGCCGATGTTGGTGTGTACAAGAAGTCGTGGCATCGACATGGGCAATTGCCAAGATCGAGGGCTTGGAGATGTCCTTCGACCTGATCGCATGGCTAGTAACATTCGCTCGCTGGAAAGGAGAAATCTCAATCTACCGACCTTACGAGCTGTGGAATCTCATCCTGATGCGCCGCCAGGCGACCATAACCCAGGGCCGGCCCAAAGTTGAGGGCTCAATCAGATCATTTCTCGGCCTGTTCGAACTGAATCGGACGCTGTAGGCGACCGATGACCACAATAAGATGTTTTCTCTACCGGGCATCTGCGATGAGGAACTAAACCCCGTGCCGGCGCTGACGGATGTCTTTGACAACAATGACAGCTGGCGCATCCGACTGATCCGTCGAGGCTTCACGCGTATCAACAACTTCGTCAACGGGCCCGCGCCTGATCTCAATTTTGGGCGGCTGCGGCCGGATTACAAAAGGGAGAGGGTGCTGGTTTACTGCGACCTGACGCGGTTCCTCATGCGGAAGCAGCCGAGGATATTGGACGTCCTCGATCATGTACAGCATAACGAAGACCCGGATCTTGGGGAGTATCCATCATGGGCGCCGAAATGGTTCGACCAGGGGACTTGCTTCGTATTCAAAGGGGCATATCTCGCTGGTTTCTGCGACGGAAACTTCCGGTACCTTGCTGAGCTTCATGACATCCCCATCCAAGACGATCCCGTGCAACCAAGGGTTTTGTCGTTGGATGGTTATCATGTAGACGTGGTGCAGAAGACAAGTGAAACGTTCGACTTTGGGTGGGGATCGCGGGCAACAGCACCAGCTATTTTGGACGCCTGGGAGCAGCTCTTCGGTGTGTCCATTGCGCCCAGATGCGGACAGAACTATCGAAACAGCAGTCTGATCGATGTAGCATTCTGCAAGGCCGCGTTGGCCGGTGTCCTGGGATCGATCATTGGCCACAGCCACCTCCTCACCCAGAGGGCACCACTGGCTCCCGGCTGGAAGCTGTTATCTGTTTGACGATGACTTGATGTGTTTCTGAAAAAGTCGGACCGCAGAGTCGTCATCAAGGCGGATGGCCTCGCTTCCGGGAAATGATATTGTTGTTCCCGAGACGCCCGAAGAGGCAGAGAAAGCTGTAGAAATGATAAGGCTCGGCAGCAAATCCGGCAGATCTGGTGAAACGGTAATCATTGAAGAGTACTTGGAAGGCTATGTGATCAGCGTTCTCACCTTACCGACGGAAATTTGATCCTGTCATTGCCCCCTGACCAAGACCACAATCGGGCTCTTGACGGTATGGGCGCGTATACACCGGCTCCGTCCGTTTTCGCCGCAGAAATAGCCGAAATTGAAGAAACCATTATTCGACCAACGGTTCGTGGTCTTGAGCTGAATGTTGAGCTCGCCCGGTTCTCTTACTGAGCATACAACTTACAGGCAGATCATTAAATGGCATGCTTTTTACAGGAATAATGGTAGTACCGGGGTCCAAAGTGCTTGAGTATAGCTCTCGACTTGGAGACCCCGAGACGCAGAGTACAGTACTGCTCCTTTCAGACAAGGCTCTGCCTGAGCTCATTATCGCGTGTGTGAAGAGGGTTGGCGATGTCAAATCGAGGGTGCTTTCGGAATTCGCTTGCAACATCACTGTCACAGCACAGCGGGAGGATATCCGGAATCATATCGCAAGGGCGATATCGTCCACATGGACACGCCCCTCCAAGGTGAGTCGATTGGCGCTTCGACGAGACAGCCGCTCACACCCGCAGGTGTACACATCTTCCATGCAGGTACCGAACGAGTTGGCAGTGAACTAAGAACGGCAGGTGGCCGTGTTTTGTCCGTCGCGGCGACTGGGAAAACTCTCAAAGAAGCAGTCCTAGCTGCCTGCGCAGGAGTCGAAAGCATTCACTTTGTAGGCATGTTCTACCCAAGGGACATTGGTGTTGAATAAGTCAGATCGAAACTCGGCTGTCACAAACGTCTGGACTGATACAAATCTCCTAGTTCCTTGAAGCTGGTCCCGGGAGGGGGTGTCGGGGATGATCCTTAGGGTTGAGGCAGCTCAGTCGGAATTTGCTCCGTTGCCGTCCAAACCCCCTCTCGGTCTGGGACGACTAATGGGAAGAGAAGAGCGAATGTAGAAAGCCGCCCGAAATAGCTCGGCGTATGTGTGTGTATGCCTACCTTAATCTAGAGTGCCCTGTCGTGCACCATCCACTTGACCACCTCTTGGGTTTACGGACTTTTGATAGGGCATTGGACGTTGCTGAGGGTTCGAAGCGTCGATATAACAAGACCTCAGGCTCAGCTCATACGACCCACACATAGATGTCTCAAATTGAGGAATCGAGGTGCGCAGCTTTGGAAGTGAAACATAGCCAGCCACTGACGCATGAACGGGACGCGAAGGCGAGGTACAGGACGCGGATGGCCGATAGAGGCGAATTTAGACCTTTTTCGTATGATATCATATAGCAAACAGTGATTATTATACTATACATTTTTCATAGGCCCCAATCGCAGAGCCCCCGCGATTGTGGTTAAGCACTGATATTAGTCGAGCGGCTGGCTGGTCTGATCCAGGGACCTCGGAGAGCACCACCACCACCCACTTGCGATGCACGTCTTTGTTGTCCCGGCGTCACCCAAGACTGGGCAGGCTACAATTCGAGCCCTTTTAGACGATGCCTCCCATCCCTATGTGACGGAGTCTACCGAGACCTGGGAAGGGTGCCTGCCGAGTTCCGAGATCACCCGCACTTCATGGCTAACAAGGGCGACGTCGCGAATGTTGGGACCCTCAAATCGGCCGGCGCGGACGCTGTCGTGACCATAACCCCTAGGAGCTTCTTGCCGGGTGGTATCATGGCTGCAGACACGTATGGAGGATTTAAGGTGCGAAGGGGGACGGATACCCTGGAGGAGGTTTTCAGAGGCTTATTGGCGGACTGAAAATTCAAAGAGGTGGGTTTGCAAAGCATCGTCACGGCATGGTCAAGGGAACAAAACCTTGTCAGAGAGATGGGCTGGCCAAGGTTAGGCAAGAGTACTTGAGATTCAAATTTGCAGGATCTTCCAACAATAACAAGACCCGCCTTGCTAGCTCAATCGGTAGAGCGTGAGACTCTTAATCTCAAGGTTGCGGGTTCGACCCCCGCGTGAGGCTCAAATCCTCACCGCGATTGGTACAGCCACTCATACGGGTTTCTAACTTTTTCGCTTTTGCTTTTTCTTCCAGTCATTATTGAATTCGTCCTATAGGCCGCACGTGCCTTTTAGTTTAACCCAATTGGCATTTTCTTTCTTACTGGTCTTGTCCAATTGAGTGGGCCAGAAAGTGCCCGGAGCCGAAGCCGAAGCCGAAGCTCATCAAGCCGAGGAGGCTTACTGAACGACGATATGAGATTCATACTTCTCCTCGCCCGGCGATTTGTCTTATTCAATTAATTCAAGTGATTGTTTATGGTCAAAATACAATATCGTTCTGGGTTGATGTGTCTTTTTTTTTAACGTTTTTTTTTATTATAAGCTTTTTTTCCTTCCCCCAAAGCGATACACTTTCATTCGTCCCGTCCTACTCGGCTTGGGAAGCAACATGTCTTAGAGAAATAGAATTAACGCTCCCTGTCCCCCTCCATTCGTTCGACTCAGCCCACAATCGACGCTCGTAAGGGTCTCTCCTAAACTCTTTTCGATAAAGACTTGAGATGCAGGGCTGTTCCTGGCTGCATTTTCTATCCACTCGCGGCGCACTTTTGCTCTGTCAGTACCTATGTCGGCTTCCTCAGGATGTTAAGCTCGGCTTACTTGTGTCCCCATCCGCGCGGCTCAACCGACCCGGCTACATCGGCCTTGATATAGGATCGATCTCCGTTACCAAGTCCGGACTCTGATGCCTTTCTTTTCTCTGGGACTGTTATCTATTTTTCGTTGATCTCGTCGTTCATCTTCGATACAGATGGCGACGGTAAAGAACCAAGACAGTAATTCCGGCGGTGTGTCGCAGATCATCATGCCATTAGATGCGACGAAAGGCCGCACAACGCCGCCGCCAGGTGACGATAAGTCGTTACAAGGCGTTTCCGAGGAGTTGCCCATGGACCAAGGTGTCGTCGCATGGCTTCAGGTCCTGGGAAGCTGGATCCTCTTCGCCAACACATGGTAAGCCGCCCATCAAGACAAGACATGCCTGCGTGCAGAAACATGGGCAGTTGTGCTGACGCGCCCTTTCCAAGGGGTCTACCCAACTCCTTCGGCGTATTCCAAGCTTACTACTCCAACGAGCTCCTGCGAGACACGAGTCCCTCGACCATTGCCTGGATTGGCTCCACCCAGATCTTTCTGATGATGCTCATCGGTGTGTGCGCCGGCTGGCTTCTCGACGCGGGCTACCTCCGCTTCATCCTCATCTGCGGTACCACCATGACCTCCTTGGGCCTCTTCACGCTCAGCATGTGCACGCAATACTGGCAGATTCTTCTTGCGCAGGCCTTTTGCGTCGGCGTTGGCAGCGGCTTGCTGGGGTTGACGTCCGTTGCTGTGATCCCCCTGTACTTCCGGCGGAGGAGGATGATCGCGACTGGCATTGCTGCCACGGGGAGCAGCTTGGGTGAGTTCTGACGGCTTCGGGCCAACCATTCAAGAATAGGCTGTCGCTGACGAGTGCTCGAAGCGGGTATCGTGTACCCCATTCTGGCGAGGCACCTCATCGCCTCCATCGGCTTTCCGTGGGCCATGAGGGTGTTTGCCTTCATCGTGACGGGGAGTCTGTTGGTGTGCATCGCCATCATGCGTCTCCGGCCAAATCACAAGCGCCGTGGAGCCCTCTTCCGCCTCAAGCACTTCCAGGACATTCCCTACGTTGCCTTTTGCATCGGTGAGTCTGGAAACCAACCTCTGATCTTGCCATCAAACGCTTCCGCTTACAGCCTCCCCAGCCATGGCGTTGATGATCGGCTCCGTATACGTGCCTTTCTTCTATGTAGACGCGTACGCCCTTCGTCTAGGTGTCGACCCGGACGCCTCTTTCTACCTCCTCAGCGTCATGAACGCTGCAAGCCTCTTCGGCCGTCTGGCCCCGAACTGGCTTGCCGACAAGTACGGCGGCATGACCATCATGCTGCCCGGCTGCATCGGCTGCGCCATCGTGCTTTTCCTCTCCCGTTTCGCGCACGACCTGCCGGGACTCATCGTCATCTCCATCGTTTACGGGTTCATCTCGGGAGGCATGATCTCGCTGCCGCCGGCCACGATCGCGAACCTGACGGACGACTTGTCCGAGTACGGGACGAGGATGGGCATGGGATACACGATTGCTAGCTTCGGCGCGTTGGTGGGGAACCCGATCGGAGGCGCAGCGCAGAGGCCGCAGGGAGACGGGACGGCGGAAGTCCAGAGGGAGTTCCAGGGGACATGGATCTTTGGTGGAGGAGTCATGCTCGCGGCTGCTATCTCGATGGTCGTCTCCAAGTACTTGAGGGTTGGGTCGGTCTGGAGAGGGAAGTGTTAATGCCACAGCGTACGGCTTGCCCCTGACGCTCGAACGTGCCGAGATCGTAACTCGACTCGGAAAATTTGATACTGCGAGAAGGTGGATTCCGATCTCACACGAACAATGCGGGCCAAAAGTTCATGACGGGGCGACGTGAGCCCGGATCTGTTGCAAATACCAAGCCATCCTGTTTGCAAAAGAATGAGGAATGGCTACAACGACGGTGATGTAGGCGAATGTCTTCTGTCCGCGGGTCAGGACCTAGGGCCACAGACTCGATGCTCACTCAGCAGTTTGCCCATGTTTGTGGGCGTGGACATCGGCTGAGAGGAAATGTCTATAATCTTGTTTGTCTCCTTCCACGAGGATATTTGTAAGAAAGAGGAGTATTCATCGCTACTAAACATGGATCATAACCAGCGCCAGTGTCGTGCTGTATGATCCAACAGGCTGCTGGGCAGGATATCATCACCTGCAATCATGCACATGCACCTTCCATCTCCTTTGCGCCGTTGTACGCCATGACAATCCGCCGTCTCGGCATGAAATACGTGACACGGGCGCCCCCGAGACAAAACAAAATCCCATCTCTTACACGCTGCTCATACCGAGCCCAGCGACGCCCCCATAATTAACATCTCTCCATTAACTTCGGCCACCACATTACTCCTCCCGAGAAGGATATCTCGTCTCTTCGTTTTCAGTACATCATGGTCATTATTTGCAGCCGCTCCCGCTGCCGCTGGGCATTCCTCTCGGCGAGGATTCTCTTGACACGCCGTCGGCCGGTGTTGATGAAGTGGTACTGCGGGGGATATTCCTGCTCGACGGCCTGCGGATAGGTCCAGTAAACGAGGAGGGCCAGCACCGTGTTGGCGAACCGGCCAGCCGGCGTGAGCCTTGGCTTCTTGCGCGCAAAGTGTCGCCACTCGAGCGTGAGAATGATGTTGCCGAGGAGGTTCAACATGCGAAAAGCCCTGCTTATGTGAGTGGTGGTTGGCACGGGATAGGAACGGAGATGAGACGTACATGTTCAGCACAATGAAGATCAGGGTCACGAGAACCCTTCTATCCCAGGCCCCTTCTACGCCGCCTTCCACGTCGTTGACAAGAACGTAAAGAGGCAAACACCAGAGGCCGAGGATCGCTGCTTCGAGTATACCAGTAAAGTGATATGTGCGCTTGTGCTCGCCTCTGACAACAAGAAAGGCCAGGCACCACCACAGCAAAACGAAGTTGACCTGCTCGAGTCAGCAAAGCATCTCCATACGAGGCTCATAAAAAAAAGCTTACAATGGCAGCCACCAAGACCAAGGTTTCGTCTCGGAAGAACCTCCAGCACAGGCCAGAGGCGACAATACCAAGACTTATCTGAATCCAGCCCAAGACGAAATATACAAGGAGAACGTTATTATAATGGCTATAGCATTCCTTGTGAAACTCGGGCTGGTTGGGCGCCGCGGCGCTCGCGACGGGATAGCCACACCACCGGCAGATCCACACGCTGGCGTAGTTCCCCAGAGCCACCTTCTTGCCCACGGCCAGTTCGTCCTCCTGGTACGCACAGTCGACGCACTTACTGGCGAGCGGGTAGCGCGGGTGGTTGTAGTCGGCCCAGAGCAGGCTTCCACGCGTAGGGTCGTACTTTAGGCAAATATAACAGTGCGCCAGCAAGGCGAGACGGAACTGTTCGCCAAAGAGGTCCCGAATGGTCTGTTTCGTGAGGAAGTTGCGGTAGAAGCGGCAGGTGCGGCGCAGGTTCTCAAGCTCACCGAACTCGAGGTAGTCGATGATCATAAGGTGCAGTTCGGGGGGGAGGTCCATGAGGCTGTTGCCCGTCTTGGGGCCGATGCTGCGGGGGCGGCGGCGGGGGTCCAGGGAGGCGACTTTCTCAATGACCGAGTCCCGCCGGGATCGGGATGTGCGAGGCCGGGCGCTCTGGGGCCGGATCGAGCCGCCATCTTTGCCGGAGATTTGCTGCTCGAGCTCGAGCGGGAGGGGTGACTCGAGAGGTGAGGGTATGTACTGAGCGGGCGAGGCGGCGGCCGAGAGGTTGAGCGGTTGAGGTGACGGGGAATTAGGATGGATCTGCGGTGCGAAAGATATGGCAGATGGAGTGAACGAGGGAGAGGGCTGAGCTGTGCTGGGTGAGTGAAGCGCAGCCGGTGGAGGTGACAACGGCGACACGGGCTGAGACTGAGTGCCTGGGACGGTGAGGGTTTGGGTAGTAATATTGTTGGTCAAGGCCTGGGCGTCAGAGGTGGATGGGATGACGATTGAGTGAGTGGTAAGAGCTGCATGAGGAGGTGCATTGTCGTGATTCGGGTATTGAGCTGATGGGCCAAGAGTCAGCGTAGGGAGGACATGGTTATGAGGCGGCACGTTGTGGGCAGGCAACGAAGCCGGCTCCGGTGCAGTCGGGGTGAAGGGCGGCGGCGAGGCAAGCGGCACGGCCGTGTATTGCGAATGAGTCGCCGTTTGAGTCGGATGTTGGGCCTCGAGATCGGGTTGAGTGTTTGATGCGGGGGCGGATGTTGGTGCAAGAGCATGAGGGTGAGTATGAAGATGATGAGCATGTGCGGTGGCCTCGGCGCTGGGAGACGCAGCGGCCAGAGATGGGCCCGGCGACGAGGCGGCGGCCGAGGAGAAGGTATCGGACGAAGGTTGGTCTCGCTGGACCTTTTTGCGGACGCTGCGAGCAGCGCGGGACACGCCCCTGCCGAACGAGCGGACGACGTCATCCATAGTGAGCCCGGCACGGGGAGATATGTTGGATGAGGGCTCGACGGCGGCGCACAGCCAGCGGGAATTATGTGCCGTCGCACGCGCGAGGTGGGTGGGTTGTTGCGGGTCGGCTGGGCGACCGAGGATCCCCTCGTCACGGAGGGTTGAAACTGGTTGGAACCCGGCGTGCTACAGAGAGGGCCGATGTGAAACGGGCCTATGAGCCGCGCCGGGAATCCCAGGCGAAAAGATGGGGCGATGGCCGAGGGATGGAGGTCATAGGAGTGTGAGAGAGTATGAGAGTTGAGTTCGGTGGGCGCGGCCGAGAGTCAGTGAGTGAGCTGACGAGGGATAAGTGAAGGGGCAGGGCGGGTCGTCTGGTCTTAGCCAATGTCTGCAATCGTAGCCTCGGTGGCTAAAGATGGATTGGACATTGTTCTGGTTCAGGAGAGGAAGAAGACGGGTAGATGGTAAGGCAGGGAAGAGGGTAAAAAAAAACGGAAAGCAGCAGCAGCGGCAGAAGAAGAAGGGGAAGAAGAAGGGGAAAAAAGAAAATGGGGGGACGGTAGTGGTGGTAAAGGGCGAACGACGTGAATGGTGATCGATCTGAGATGCGGTAGCCCGCCCTAGGCTCTTTCGTTTCTTCTTCGTTCTCCCACTTGCAGACTACGGACTTGACTTGACCTGGTCTGATGCAGGGTTGCTTTCACGTTCCTGGGGTTTTCTTTGGGGGGGTTCCGCTCGGGTTGAATACTATGCAGCAAGCGCAAAGTTTCCCAAGAACCAAGGCGCGCGGCATATAGTAGAGACACTACTCCGTAGTGGGAAAGAAACTGAAGGAGGAGAGTCAGTAACCATCTTCTTGTCTTACCACTAGGCATCGCAAGTGGTCTCGTCTCACCTTTTTAGAGCCAGCTGCAACGGACGGGCTGGAATTGCGACCGCCACGCAGCGATCGTGGGGTGGTTGGTTGGCTACTAAGGACCCCCCGCCGGGAGGAAAGAGCCCGAGACTTGGTACGGCGCGCGTGTTCCGGCGCAAACGCGGTGCAAATGGTGTGTGTAGCGCGCCCTGGGCTTGGATGATTCCAAGAGGAGGGAGGAGAAGGGGGAGGAGGAGGTGGTGGATGGTGGAGAGAGAGAGAGAGAGAGAGAGAGGGATGTGACAGAGCAGCCAAGAGTGAGTGACCCGAAGGGTACGCGGTCGATGTACTGGCGCCGGGCCCACAAGTCAAGTACCTTTTCAGTCCAAGACACTTCGGTAGTTGAAGGTGGGGTCCAGGTCCGTGGGGTCCGGTCCTTCGTTTGGGCGTCAATGCTAGTATAGTACTGAGCGTCAGGGTCGTCGAACGAGAGTGGTACGGGCATTTGCTGATGGAGCCGAACGGTCTCGTTGTCTTATGAATGAAAGGTGGTGGAACATGTTGGATGAGGGAGAGAAGGAGAGAGAATTTGGCCGACAAGTCTAGGATTCTAGAACAGCAAGTAGGAAAAAGGCCCCCCTCCCTCTGAACCTTGATCGTTTATTCCTGTCCGTCTGCAACGGCGTTTAGAGGACTCTCCTTGTATTAGAAATCCTCCCTCAATAGGTACCATTGAAGGCCTTGCTTGCCAAGCCAGGAGGCCTTCCCGCACGAATATGGCACATCACCTTGGGCCGCTCAGTCAGCCTCAGGCTCCCTCAAAACGTGGCCAAGCATCTTCACGTCCAACTTTAGTAACCTAGGGTCGACGGGTGTTAGGCTTTGGGTGCGTCGCACGTTTCGAATAACTAGGGGTCCCGCGCCCTCCCTCCCCTAGCTCACCAGCTCCCCTCCCTTACCAGTTACTAGTTTGGGTTGTCCGGGCGGCTCCCGGGGCCTCCATGTGGCCTCGCATACTCAGTAGAGCTTCCGAGAGAAGCTCTGGGCCACTAAGGCAGCCAGGGGCCCTTTTACAGGACCCATGGCCGGATAGGAGTGGTTCGAATCGGCCAAGCCATCCCGGCCTTCTTCAAGGAACGTTTCAAGAAGTGAGCTTGCCTGGCGATATCAACCATTGAGCGGTCGAATCCATCCCCCGCATTCCACCAGTTTTAACCTTTGCCATTTCGGAGAGCTACTGGCAATCTGGCAGGACTCAAAGTGTCGCGAGCGACGTCGGTGACTGACCACGGAGAGGGAAGAGGGGGGGGGAGTAGGTAGAGGAGAGGGGAATTCTCAATATGCGGCAATTTCGTCAACACGACAGATCAAGCTTTGATGAGCCGACGCGGCGAAGGGGCATCACACGGACTTGGCTGGGCGAAGGTCGGACGTTGCTCAAAAGGCGCGATGTAACTGAACACGAGATGGTGAGGAGAGGGGGGAGGTTTCGGTTTAACCTGCATGCTGGGCCTCTTTGCAGCATACACTACTGTTGCATATTTCGTCGATGATCAGTCAATGAACAGAGGCCGCCCGGTCGAGCATGCAGACGATGGTGAGATGGCACGATTATTTCATCATGCTGGTGGTGGTGGTGCTGGTGGTGGTGCTGGTGGCGGTGCTGCTGCTCCCCCTCCTATGTTTACCGTATAGACAAAACCGTACTATCAGGTGACCCAAATTGAGTTGAGCAGAGTTTCGGACTTTGGCAAAACGTATGTGTACGCAAACTCTCGCTGATATTAGTGTAGTGTAGGTAGTGTGATGAGGGGGGAGGGTAAGGGAGAGACAAGGGAAGATTGAAGAGGGAGAGACTGGATGGAGAAAGGGGTGAGAGGCAGCTGGCGCAGTCTGGAGGCAGCTGGCGGGTCGAAAGTATCGTACTGTACGGATACTCCGTACCTGTCATCAGTGATCCCCGGATTTCTACGGGGCCGGACATCCGAAGGAGTTGGAGCGGGTGGATCGGACGAGTGGTGAGTGGATAAGATTTCAAAGATGGATCAAGCCACATCACGTGATACCATGCCACAAATGTGCGCACCAGCCTCGTGCGGGACGCTTTCTCGGTCTGCGTTTTGCGTCGACATCAAGGTCAACAACACCAACGACGTTGTCCAGGTGGTAGCACATCTCCTTCATGGCCCGAGGTAGGCTGCATTTCGATCCAGACTGACAGGGAGGTCACTTCTTAGTGTTCCATGAGCTTCATTCGATCATCCCGTCACAATGCAGCTGGCTAGGGCGAGGCCTGCTGCTGGCATTGCGTCGCAGAGCCTCACTTCAAGGTAAAGCCAAGGTATGTATGTATCCGCTTCTTTGCCACCACGGCTTCTCCTGATCTCCAGGCAGCTTGGTCGAGCTGGAGAAGCATTTACAACTGCTTCTATTCATTTTCTTTCGTCAGAACGACCCTGTTGCGGCCAGTGCCGTGTGCTACACATTTAACGACAGCTTCTGCTGCCTCACTCATCACACAGTACTCGCTCAGCCCGCCCGCCGCCCCCCCCCCCCCCCCCCCCCCCCCCTTCCCCCCCTGTGCGGGCCGGGTTTACTTCGGCCGACGCAACATTCCGACCATAACACTCCGTCCACGAAACTGGCGCACCCGCCGCTAGCGCCATAACACAGCCAGCCAGCCATCCATCCACAACAGGAGCTCCATCCGACGAATAGGACCGCCCAAGAGCTCATCAGCAAACTCTGAGGGAGGCGAGGCAGAAGCACCAGCAGCATTCGCAGAAACAGCAGCAGACTGACTCTCTGGCGGACCGTGGGCCGTGAACGACAGAGCAGCAGCAGCACCACCACCACCTGCCGAACCCCCCCCCCCCCCCCCCTCACGCCTCAGCTATCCATACCACACTATCCGTACACCGATCCGCGATTTTTGCTCGCCCCGACAGCTCCCTCCCCATTCGCCCTCCCCCCCCTGCCGTCACCGACGAACAACAACAATCACCGTCAGATCTTGCAGCTAAATTTCTGCCATCTCCATCCACCTCCACCGAAGCTCCCTTCGACAACCCCTCCAACTCCAACACGAACCCCCAACAGCCTTGTTCGCGTAGACACTTGTTTTTTTTTTCTTCTCTTAGAACTTGCAATCGACAACGCGCATCCCATCCCCGCTTTGACCGAATCATCGAATTTTATTCTCCGAATCTTCGCGCCCTCGCATCAACATTCACAACAATGGCCGGCGGCAAGGGAAAGTCTGGCGGAAAGACGTCCGGAGGCAAGGCTGCACCCGAGGTCCCCAAGAAGCAGCAGAGCCACTCTGCTCGCGCTGGTCTCCAGGTAAGTTGCGCGCTCTGTTGATGATGCGCCGGTTTTGCACCTTGATTTTTGGGGCCTCGATATCGAGCGTCGACCGACACATGGCTCCCTTTTCGACGCGTCCCAGTCGCAATACTCGACCGGCCCAACCTTTCTCTATCGATTTCCCACGCGCTGCTCCAGATTCCATCGATAACCATGTTGCGCGACCATTTGCCTCCCCCCCCTTCTTTTGCGTCGTATACGTGGCTTGTCATGATGTACTGGATACTGGTCGCGTGCACGATGGATGAGTCGGGCTCGAAACCAATGGCGCAAAGCACGCAGCGATGAAAATTTCTTAGGCTGGCCTTCACAACTTGCTAACCACGCACTCTTCAGTTCCCCTGCGGTCGTGTCAAACGTTTCCTCAAGGCCAACACCCAAAACAAGATGCGCGTTGGCGCCAAGGCTGCCGTCTATGTCACCGCCGTTCTCGAGTATCTCACTGCCGAAGTCCTCGAGCTCGCAGGCGTACGTCTCCCCTTCTCCCTGCCTCCCCCCTCCCCCCCCCCACGTATCCCGTTGACTCATCGGGATTGCTGCCTGAACTCGTGACTAACACGCGTCCCGTAGAACGCCGCCAAGGATCTCAAGGTCAAGCGTATCACTCCCCGCCACCTGCAGCTCGCCATCCGTGGTGACGAGGAGCTCGACACTCTGATCCGTGCCACCATCGCCTTTGGTGGTGTCCTGCCACACATCAACCGCGCGCTTCTCCTCAAGGTGGAGCAGAAGAAGAAGGCCAAGGCGCTCGAGGCATAAACACCCGATATGCCTTGCAACACAATCAACGTTGATATTATTCCCAGTTGTCTTTTTTCTTAGGACGGTAGTTTCTTGGGGGTGCGGTTCGGTCTGATGGGATGCTCTTTTTCTGCTTTCCTTGACACTGGTCAGAAATGAGGATGGATGCAGGTGCTCTAGAGGTTGCATAATCTGCCTCACGACGTCTTTGGAAACAAAACAAAAGAAGAGCATGCAACGACTCAAGTGCGGGTGCATGCTGGGATTTTCCATCTTGGGGACGTTAACGGGCAACGGTGCTGAAAGAGGCCGCAAACGAGCCAAGAGCGCGTTGTTCATGACGGCGTTGCAGGACCAGCCTGCACGCTTCCAAGGCCTGCGCAGGCAGATTCGCCTCCAGTCTGGCACTCAGCTCAACAATGTATAACATTTCGAGGTTCTTGTTTCGGTTCCCAACAAGGCACGCGCGGATACGGCATTTGGCTGATGGGCTTAGGTAGACGAAATAAAATTGTAATGGGTGGGGTGCAACATCTTTCTGGCTTTCTACTGCTTGTGCTCGACCAAGTGCATACTTGACTTCTTCCCTTTAGCGGAGGGCGGTTGCATCAAACCACCATCCCGCCGTTTCCCTCTCCGACGTCCTCGACCCCTTCTCGAGACAAGGACCCTCATCCTTGGAGCTCCCGTCCACCATCTCGCTCTAGCCATCCGGCTGCCACGCGTACCGGCGAGCCCTCGAGCACCACCGGATCGACGGTCTGCCACGGTTCCAGATCCGCATTTATCGCCGTGGTGGAGTTGCTGCCTGCCATCGTCATCTAGACGTCCGCCAGCGACCGACCCCGACCCCGACCGGGCCATCACCTCTCGGCGACGCGTCCTCTGTGACTGGTAGCACTGAGAGGGATAGTCACACTCCCGCCAACAGTCCCTCCGCCGGCCCCCCCGCTCGTGTCGGCCCACGCCCTCCAGCGCTGGTAGTCGAACTCTATCCGGCACGTCCGCCCCCCGCGCCGTCCGGGCCGGGTGCAGAGCCGGTGGCTGCAGCGGAGGCAGCGCCGCGTGCAGGCGAGGCGGGTGAGGGTGTTGCAGTTGTGGCACCTCCAGGTCCAGGGGCGAGGGGGTGGCGGCCGCGGCGGCCACGGGCGAAAAGAGGCCGGGGGGGAGGGGGGGGGAAGCGTCTGGGACGCGGGATCGGAAGAGCCCGGGGAGGCCGAGGACAAGGGGCGCCGTGCTTGATGGTCGTGGCCAGGAAGAGGGGGCTGGGCAGCAGCTCTCGGTGTTGCCGGAGGAGGGCCGTATGGCGATGCCCTGCGCGGGGTGTGAGATCCGTCCGGGCGGCGCGGATAGCTTTCGGGGCTCTTGAGTTGCGGTGGTCTGGTCATCGGTGCCTTGCCCCCTCCCCCTCTCGACAACAACGACTTGTCTGGCTTTCCACCCCGTTTTCTCTTTTGGTGTCTGGTGTGTTGAGAGTGAGGTGCGCAAATGATGTCGTCCCGTCCAGCTGCCCACGTTCTTGTCGGCGGATCCAACAGGAGCGCCGTTCCGACGCCAAGCTATATGGACTTCCGGGGAATTTCCAGGTCCACAAGTGAGGCAAACGTTTGTCCCCAAGGCGTCTGGGAGGAAAGCCCGAGACGTTTGTTGAAGCACATGCGAATGACACACGGTGACTGAATCACTGGAGACACCGGCGGATTGTGGGGGTATTTGCTGGCCCAAACAGTGACAGGTCAATATCAAGCCGCGACAAACTCTCGGCAAACCCGGGCGCGTCATCTGCGCAACAGCCTCATCGTCAAATCCACTCACTCAACTCATATAGGATACCAGAAGAAGAAGAAAGAAAAAACAAAAAGGCCAAGTCACCAGACCGAACTTTCAATTCAGATGCCACATGGCCCTGACTGTGGAGAAGATGCCCCCCCCCCCCCCCCCTTTCTGTGGCAAACACCACAAAGGGGCGCGTTCCCTCCCACGCCGCCTCCGCGCTCAAAGAGCGTCCCAGGACGTTCAGGCCAAGAGCAAGTTCGGATCGGCGGTGGAGCGATATCTCCTTTGACGACCTCTTGGGGGAAAACAGGGTCTCAACATGGATAGACAACAACGCAAATACGCCCCTGGGTTTCATTAACATCATATCTTTTTTGTTGTTCCAACAGCCTTGAGGACCACAAGACAAGACAGGAAAAAGCAAAACTTGATGGCCAGGTTGAGAATGTGAGAATGTCGTTGCGAAATCGATCTGTGTCACAGAAACCCAACCAGCATTGGTCACTAGTTCATTTCTCGTCTCATCCCTACTCCATCTGTAAAGGAACCTTCATGAAAATTCATTCATCGTGAGAACTGAAAAGTCTGAAACCAAACGTAGTATATTTGACAAGGCGCAAAACGGCAGTAGCCCCGTGTGTGCGACTCTCTCCATATCCTCATCCCCCTTCGAATTATCCACGTGCCCGAGGCACTATGCCGCACGCAAATAGAATGCCCGGCAGTCCTCGTACTCCGTCATCTCAATCTCCTGACACATCGACACGATATTCGTCATTCACAAATCTCTTCCTGTCCTCTTCTCCCAATATGCTCGCAAATGCATGGTAAATAATGAACAACAAAATAAGAAACTCTAACAAACAGGCCGCAAGAGACCGAAACACGAATAAGCAGCTCCGATGCAGCCTCAACGCCAACGATCCCACCAGGTGTTCCGAAAGACCATCTAGAGAGTGAATAGATGAGTTCGTGGACGATGACGCACTCGAAAGGGATTGAGAGTGTGGTTTCAAAGGACCCAGAGAGGAACGAGGGATTTGGGACCTGAGAGGAAAGATTACCAAAACGGGAAATGCCAGTACGAAACAACGCCCCAAATCAGGTTCAACTTTTCTTTTTTCTCAGTGAGCCGCTCATGGGCAAGTGTTGTTGTTCTGAAGTCGACACTCCAACCGGCCATGGTCATGAGACCAAAAAGACAACACCGACCTTGGATAGTCTTGTTGTGATGCCGGACCGCAGTAATTAGGTGGGTATAGTCATGGTCGCCGAAGCATGTTCTCGTCATCCAAAAACAATCGGGTTTTGTCGAGCATGCTGGTACAGCTATCTAGACATAAAAAGGTCGTAACAGCGTATTCATCGTCAAGGGTGGTTCATATGCTTCCACGCGCCATATAAACAACACATGGCGGGGAAACACGAGGGTATAGGGGGACCGCCCATGGGCCGTTTAGCCATGTCGAAATGGTTGCCCATATCAAGTTTTTTTTTGTATCCAGGTTTCTTTTCCGTTCATCCTTCTCTTGGCGTGAAACAGCGATGAGCCGAGATTTCCTTGTCGGGCGGGTGCCGTGAATCCAAAATCGGATGCCGCCACGACGTTGGATTCTGCTATCCACCAAATCCGAGACGGCCGAGCGAAACATCATGACGCTGCCAAAGGCTCGTTTCCAACAAAATCATCATTATAAGCAGTATGGATAGGATGTAGGAGAGTGTCCATCATGAAAAGCAATGGCGGATATAACACAGGGGGGGTTGTCGATTACCGAGCCGGGGAGTGGCTTGGTGAACTCGTCGAATGTCGTTTGTAGTCTATGCGTCGCGAGTCATGAATCGTGTCCTCATTGTAATGGTTGTCGTGGCAGTCTCGGCGAGGTATTAGAAATCTTGTCTAGTGGAATCGAGACGCGCCGGCACTTCCAGCGCGAGGGGCATTGTCCGAAGAGTCTATCGCTAGTTAGACTTGGAGAGGTTCGGTCAGGTAAAGGGAAGGGGGCATCGTGAAGACTAACCGCTTCCGCGTTGCATGTGACCGTTGGAACGGTTGCGGCCGTTGAAACCAGCAGACGTTTCCCACTCGGGACCTCGGGGCTGCCTCTCGGGGGCGTTGCGGTTGCCGCTGTTAGCACCAGGGCGCTGGCTCCCAATGGCACCAGGTGTGCTGCGCGCCTGGGAGTGAGCGGCAGACTCGTACGATCCGAGGTTGAGTCCGCCGAGCGAGCTGAGGAGGCTGCTGTCGGTTCCCGGAGTACCAACCGTACCGGAAGTGGGCGTCAGGTTGGGCGTAGCGAGCTGACCCGACTGGTTCACGCCTCCGTTGTAGTCGCCAAAGCGGGGATTCGAGTTACCTGACTGCGGGATGTTACCAATGCCGTTCATTGCGGTCAGGTAGCCCGAGGAGGACGCAGAAGGGCTGGGGCTAAAAGATCGCAGGTCGGCAAAGCTCTTGGCAGCACGAAGATTAGCAAGACCGTTTCCATCAGGGCTGCCGGGAAGCTCCAGTGTCGGGCCTTGGCGGCCGATGGCATGGGAATAGTTGGTGCTGGCACTGCGAGCCTCCCGGTCCGCGGCGAAGTCGAAGGTAGCTGCTCTGCTGAGACCCTTCTTGTGGTAGTCCAGCCCCACAGCGGGTGAATGAATCTGGGCCGTGGGCGACGGAAGCTGTCGCTTAACTACGTGGATCTGGCGCGACTCGGCCTCTCCAACAGAGCTATGCTCTAGACCCATGTGGTGGGCGAGGATGTGAATCCGTCGGCGCTGCTCAGGCGCAATGGTGGAGGGGAAGATGAGAATTTCGCGGGATGTGTCACGCTTGAAAAGAGTGAGCTCGGTGTAGAATTCGAGAGTCTCCGGGTCATTCAGGTCAATATCTCCATCTGTTTCGTCAGTATACACTTATTGTACAATACAGCAAGTTTAGCTTACCTAGTGGACCGCGGGGCGGGTTGCTCGAGACACTGTTCAGAGTCTGCAACGATGGCTGCTGGTGCAGCATTGGGGCGCGGTGCTGCTCCTCGAGTTGTCCGCGTCTTTCTCTCTTCTCACGTTCAATACGCTCTCGCTCGGCCTCCGGCAGCATCTTCTTGTATTCAACCCTCAGCTTGCGACCGTGAACTTCCATACCATTCATGGCATCGATGACAATCTTGGTATCTTCGGGAGACTGGAAGTTGGCAAAAGCCAAACCGCGGAAGACACCGTTGTCGAAGTGGTAGTTGAAGGCATAGGGTTGAGGAAGATGCATTTCCAGCATGACGGCAGCAAGGGTCTCTTTGCGAACAGCGAAAGGAATGTTCTTGATAACAATGGCGGTAGGGATCAGCTGCTCTTCTGTTTGTGAGCTGGGCCGCATGTCGCCTTGTCCGTCGTAGCGAAGACCGTTCGACATTCCGCCGTTAATGCTGGATCCGTATGACCCATGCATACCGAGGCCCTGGTCGGTCCAGTTCTTCAACAGTGGAGATCAGTTTACAGCTACACTAAATGTGAATGGTCCGAGGTCATCAAAGACTTACTGTGGGCAGGGCGGCTCGGCGGTTGACGCTCCTCTGTCGATTGGCGCCATTCATGGCACCGCTGACGGTTGCAACACCGCCGGCATTGTAGTTCCATGTCTGGCTGTTGTCTAGCATATATCCTCCGGGCATTCCATTGGCGGACATTTGATCCATGGCTCTAGGGTTGTAACCAAGGCGGTCAGAGGGGAACAGGGCAGAGGAGCCCAAGCCGTTGTCGTAAGGACGCTGGGCCTGACGGGGTAGGGACATGCCAGATTGGAAGCCGCCCGCGTACGCCCTCGAGGAGCTCGGCGAGCGGTTTGGGGGGGCTGAATAGTCGAGATACATGTCGTGTTGTTGCTGGCTCATTTTTTTCTTTGAGATCGCGTCCCGGAGACTGGCAGCTACTGGGTCGAAATCCAGCACCTGTGTGTGATGCGCCGACTAGGGAGTGGTATGGGAGGTTGGTTGAAGAGGGAGGGGGATGCTGGTTGGCACAGGGGCAGCTAGCAAAATGCAACGGGAGAAAAATGTCCTCGACAAAAGACTGACGTGTTGCAGGATGGGGAGGAATCGACGTCCTGAGGCTTGGTAGACGATGCAGTTGCAGTATGCGGAGCAGGAATAGAATGCAGTTCGCCAGACACGCAAGACAGCATGCAACAGAAAGTCGCAGGAATTCTTCTTCTCCGTTGTTGATGTCGTCGTCGTCGTCGTGGCCGTCGTCGTTGCTCTATTTCCCCCTTCTTTTTCCGATGGACGGCCGTTCGCTCGTTGGGATCGCTCGTCGTTACAGTCGTGCAGGTTCCCAAAGATGGGACTGAGAAATAGAATGGGAGTAGGCGAACGGCAAAAGAGTCGCACACCGTGGGCCGAGGGGAGGGGGAAGGGCAAAGAACAAATGCCGTGGCGGATGTTATGTAGGGGCGTGGGAAGGTAAGATGAGAGAGTGCGGCAAGTAACCTGCGGGAAGACGTGGATGCGGGATTGGTATGTATTGAATTTGGATTGGATGCTGCGGGATGGGCGCAGATGGGTCGGTGCTTGCTTTTTGCTCGCTTGCTCTCGTTTCTCCGCCGAAGACGTAGCGCAGCGCAGCAGCACAGAGACAGATGCAGTCGCAGTCGCAGACACACGATCGCCTGGGCGTGCGCCTTTTAGGGGGTGGAGAGCAGGCGCGCGCAAAGGATGAGTGGCTGGCGTTGGTGGATGATGTAGGGGTCGTTGTGTGTTGGAAGGCGAAACGGGAATGTAGAGGACGAAGCCAGAGCAGTAGGAAGGGGGAGGAGGAGGAGGTGAGGGGAATTACGACAGGTGCTGTAGCTCTTCGCCTGGTGTTGAGGCTCAAATATCCAAGAGCGAGGGGGAAGGGAAAAGAGAGAGGGAAGGGGGGGTTAAGGGGAAAGTTAAGAGGATGGATGGGAAGATTGAGCGACGAGGGGGGGAAAATTGTTGCAGTAAAAAAATAAATAAAAAAAGAAGCTGAAGAGAGGAGGCTAAAAAGGGGAGCTTCTCTTCTCCTTCTTCTTCTTCCTCTTTTTTTTTTTTTTTTTTTTTTTTCCTTTCTGCCCCTTCCGGTATTTCTTTCCCCCCCTCGTCGTCGATGGACAGTGGACGCAGCTGATGAAGAGGCCCACAGCGAGGACGGGTACCAGCCAACGGGGGTGTGGGAGGAAATGGGTGTGGCAACGGCAGAAGGCGAAAAGAAGGCCAGGGCACTAGGAGGAGTGGGTAGGGATACCATCAGGGACGGTAAGGAGAGATGGGCGACAAGGGCAGAAAGCGACTTGGGACTTTTCTTCTTAGTGAAAGTACGTGTATCCGTAGCTAGGTAGGTACCCAGGCTGGTGGGTGCCTGAATGTCTATACATTACCTAGGTAGGTAGGTAGACAACATGGGGGAAGGAGCAGGGCAATACCCGGGTCTAGGCGACGGGGTAAGGTTAGGTTAGTACCTGGTCTAGGTAGATTGGCAGTCTGTCACTCGGTGACTTTGCGGTGTGGCTAGCACGCACTCTCCCTCTCCCTGATCATTGACGAGGGATGCCCGACAATTGGCACTACTGATGAACACACCCATCCGGTCAACGGAAAGAGCGATGTGCCAGGTGTGCAAATGGACATTGGTATCTATCTATCTACCTTACCTCAGGTAAGTAAGTAATAGGTAGGTTAAGGTAGGTAGGTACCCAAGTAGGCAGGTACCTGGTAATAGGGTGCAAAGTAACGCGTACGCACACACAAATCCCCCAAACACACAGGCCCAGGAACGAATGGACGGGCCAGATCTTGACACTGACAGGGCCACTAATGGCCCGTTCAACGCGACCGGCGACGGGCACTGTCACTCCCGTCAGAAGGAAGACGCCCTGATGGGGAAAAGGTACCGAGTTCAACGTACATTTTCTCTTCCCCCTCGCTTGTCGTCGTTGGCTACGAGTCCTATTTGCCAAAGTAGGTAGGTAGGTACCACCTCACCACACACCACCTGGCCTCTGTAAAATAAGGGGTCCACGGCACTTAGGGTCAGTCAACCGCCTCGCTGGGAGCATTGTGAGGAAACATTGCCCCCCAGTAGTCGCTAAAAGGTCCCTGACGTGTCCCTTTTTGTGCCTGTCCCGTCCCTACCCAGTCACTCTCCTTCGCGTCTGGGTTCTCTGGGTAGTGGGGGGTCGTTGACCGACCATTTGACGGCAAAGAGACCAGAATGTCGGGGCCCTGGGGGGGGGGGGGGAGGCTTGCAATATCACGGATGGGGCTATGGTTAGGGCTATCACAGCCCGTCCAGGCTTTTGTGTCGTAGATGTGAAGAAAGGTGTTCCGGGGTCGGCAAACTTTGGCAAGCCCGCGATAGCCGGGTGCTCGAGACGTCTTTCTGCTGATGTACCTTTTGGCTTTGCGACCAGAGAGTGTCTTCGATGCGAGAAGGGAGCTGTGTGTTGACATCGGCACTGGCTCTCTGACCGTCCAGCCCGCCCCCTCCCCCTGACAGGCTATGACAGTGTCTGGCTCTGAGAGAGGATCGTCCGCCTGCCTGACTACCTATGGAGTTGTAGCCCTGTCGTTGTGACCACTCGTCGTTGCCCTGTGCAAGCAAGCGGAAGGACGAGAAATGAAGAGAGTGGCAGAGAGAGAAAGAGGGGGGTGGACAGTAGGTAAAGCCGGGTACTGCAAAGCCAGGTACCCCCGGCAAACCGTGTGCGGTGCGGCCTGCATGGTGAGTGTGGATAGAATGGAAAGGAAGGGCTCTTCTCGTCTCGTCTCGTACCGCTTTGTCGCGTGCGAGCTTTCTTGTGTAGACTCAACCAAGTGAGAAGGGGAAAGGAGATGGTCTGGAACGCGACAAAATCTGCGACTGCGAGGCACCCGTGCCAAAGGTTGATGAGAATTGGGTGCCAAAATGCCATGCTGTGTGCTATACCATGCCGTGCTATACCGTGCTGCGCCCATGCTCACTCGAGCCCGTACCCTAGGTTTTGGATGCCGAATGGGCAAGGAAACCCGTCCTTCGGAAGACAACCCTTACGTGAAAAACCGGGCCCATCTCTCCAGACTTTTCACCATCCATTTCTTCAGCCTTTGGCTCACTATCAGTGACGGGGGGGTTGGGTTACAGTGCGTGGGACATCTGTCGGCTCCGAAGACGACGAGCAGTCAACGAGTCCGGGATGGAACCCGAAAGGTAAGAAGGGTCGCAGCGGAGAAGGGGACCCTCGGCGGATATTGGAGCTTCACCTGTGCAAGGGGGGAGGGGGCAGGGCAGTGAAGTGAAGCGACGATGAGGCCCGAGGAGGAGAATGGAAAGAAAAAAGGGGGAAGACGAGCAAGTGTCGCTGATGATGGACCTGAAGTCGAAATCGAACTGTGACCTGCCCACTTAGCGAGTAGCAGTGATAGTTTCAATGGTCCCTGGTCTACGGATACCCCTCCGTGAAATATCTGTACTGTTGGTGGGAGGCTTGTCTGATTTGACAAGAGGGCCGGCGTCACGCAATCTCTATTTCTATCTGGCCGACGCCGTAAGAGGAAGACGAGGTGGATGATATCGCGGGTACACTAGAGGGACGATGGGTTTGGTTGCCGGGCTGCCATGAGGACGGTGGGACCCACGGCAGCCGTGATTACCTACCTACCTCATATCCGTCGAGGGCCTTAGCTGCATTTCGATCGTGGGAACTTTGTTCAATTTGAGACGCAAGGACGGGAAAGCACGGATGCCGTGGAGTTCGTACTCGGAAGTGTAAAACGTGCGTGTGTCTGTCTGACTCTTCTTCGTGAGAATGGGAGGTCCCCCTTTTGATTTATGATTTTTTTTTTTTTTGCTTTCTTTCCATTTCTTTCCGACTTGCTACCTGCTTTCCTTCTCCTCTTTCATTTATTTACGGAAGCGTGTAATGATCGAGAGTAAATGAGGGGCCAAGAGGCTGCACTTACCTGAGACGTACAATTGGAATCGCAATCGCAATCGCAGTCGAGATTGTAGTCGTAGTTGCACCTTCTCACGATGCCATGGGTGTTTGTTGTCGTAATTGAATAGGAGGGACGGGAAGGTGGCACCGGAACCACGGCCGGGCTACCTACTAAACTATTATAGAGTGAAGACGAGGGAAGGAACGGCCCAGGGCCCAAGGGGCACGGCAGGTGCCAGGCACAACGCGCACAACAACAGGAAGGCGCTACGCTAACACAGTGTCAGCTGTGAACGGTCACGGTGACGGCGGCTGTGACTGGTCGTTTGCTGACGCACTGGTAGTGATCTAAAAACGCCTGCGGATGCTCTCCGCGGGATAGGTCGAATGGAAAGAGGGAAGAAGCCTGTCTCTCGTTCGTGCCCGTCCGTCCGCCTGCTGTCGTGGCGATTTGACACCCTTCTCACACCGGTCGTCCAAGGCTATGGCTCGTGCCGTGCGTTGCTGGGAAACACGCACTATAGATGGATCCCACAAAACGTCCCGCGACATCTGCACCCGAGCTGTGCAGCCATGACTAGCGGGACTGGCTAGGCCGACTAGCAGCGGCCGTGCGATGGCGCGATGGTGTGTGTTTTTGCACGGTGCCGTGGAAGCACAGCGAGAGAAGTACCTACTAATTACTAAGTGTAGGTAGCCCCCAAACCCAACGGCAAACAAGGGATCCCTTCCCCAAATGTCGGGGGCGAAAGAAGAGTTGCGATGGCCACGATTCCAGGACAATAACCGCTCATCAGACGAACACAGGCGAGGGCAAAATGGTTCGTATGGTCCTTAGCTCAGGTGTCACCGCATCATCGAGTAGGGTTTGTGTGCGCTACTGATCTTCAGCCCTAAATAGCGAGAAAGAACACCGTATCCGAATCAACCTTTCTGTGTCACCATCGCGAGTGTTTCCAA